AGACCGTCTAGGGTTCAGACCACTGAAAAAAGAATCAATGTTATTTGTTTTATTTGTGTGGCGTGGTTGGGTATGCAAGTAGTAGGCTTTGTTGTGTGGGGATGCAAGTAGTAGGCCTTGTTGTGTGGGTGTGCAAGTAGAAGGCCTTGTTGTGCGGGGATGAAAGTAGTAGGCCATGTTGTGTGGGGATGCAAGTAGTAGGTAGGCCTTGTTGAATGTGGTGGTAGATGGGTATGTAAATATTTGGCCTTGTTGTGTGTGTGTGGGGGGGGGGGTAGGAGATGTAATTTGTAGGCCTTGTTGTGTGGTGTTAAGTGGGGATATGAGTACGGTAGTTGGCCTTGATTAGGGTGTAAGGTGTATCACCTGCAGAAAGTTTGTCTGGTTCTTTTGATTTGATCAAAAATGGCTATGGAACCTTATTCCTAAAGTTGTTTTCTTGTTGTAAAGAAAGTTGACAGTTATTAACTGTCTTGTCGCTCAAATTGTCTGAAAAATTTTTTTTTAACCATATGAAGTGGTAGTAAATGTAAAACATTCTTTGACAGATGGAATATCAAAGAAAAGGAAAAAAATGATTACATCGACTTGAGACAAGCTACCAGTATCCATGAAGAAGTATTTTCTTTATCTGTATCCGTATCCAAATTTAACCCTTTGTAAAGTGTCGATAGTCAGATGTTTTAACTATCGCCATTATAGTTAATTGTATATGTTACAAGTCCCTGTAGATTACAGGTCCCTTCATTCAATATCAGTTTTCGTGATACAAGACATCCGGGTTACTTGTATTGTAATGGTGGTTTGTCAATTAAAGTTATCAACAGTTGTCGCTGTCTGTGTTTGTTCCTGTAGTGCTCCCTACTAAACTGTCATATATCTTTCAGGATGCCCGGGCGTGGTTTCCCCTTGTCAGTGGTGCAGAACGGAGGGCCTGACAAGGACAGCTGTCTAGTCCTACGGATGATACGAAAAACCGAGGTCCCGTGTATACATTGGAATGCACGTAAAAGATCCCTTGGCAGTTGGAATTCGACATAAGAGTAGGCAATAGTGCCGCTGCCCGGGCAAAATTTCCCTCATAGACGTTAAACCCCATTTCATTTCATTTCATTTCAGGATGCCATGTTTATGCCTGGAGCTGAAAATATCAATTTTTCTGGTTTAACAGCCTCAGCCTCTTTACAGAAGAAACCGCATGAACGAGTCATCAACCCGAGTATTACAAAGGGAGATAAATCACCATGGGGGGACGTAGATCCTAAAAACTGGGCAAATATGTAAGTCTATTATTTAACTCAAACATTGAGTTATTAGGTTCATGAAAATATCGAAGGTCTCATGAATTAATTGCTGTGTTTTAAAATCAGTAAAGGGGAGTTGGGTGGATGAATGGTTTAACATATGCTTTAGATCGTAAGGTCTGTCATTAAGTAAACTGAAGGGGTTTCGATTCTCAGCTTGTACGTGACAATCGAATTATTGAAATAAAATTGAACCCAGTGGATACTCTCTCTCTCTGGTTTCCTCCCACTGCTAAAGACCCCTACAGGCAAGCGAATTAATGAAATAAAATTTAACCATATGTTTGTGTCGAATAAACCCTCTCTCTCTCTCTCTCTCTCTTAACATCATTAAAGGAGCATGTTGAAAAATTAAATTATTTTGGGTTTTCCCTAATATGTATACCCATATTCTGATATTGGTACCTTTGCGTCATGAAAGGATCTCCCAACCATTCTTATTGTCATATATCTGACATAAAAATAAAAAGAGGATTATAGACCATAGAGCAAGGCAATTCTAAGATAGTTGAAGAAGCTACTGTGAGTCAAAGTTAAAAGGTGTTCATTAACTTGTACTGCTAGCAGACACATGGTTTTTTGAAGTAGCTGTGTCACATTTAAACTCAGCTAAAAAAAAAAGAGGGTTTCTTTGATAAAAGTGTGTTTATGTATGTCAGCTAATTCCAATTAAATTCCTGTTTCCAACCACTGCTAAAGACATCTACACGCATGCAAATTATTGAAAAAAAATAAACCATATGTTAGACCTGAAATAAACTAGTATGTCTTAAGTGAATGTTAAACCCCATTTCTCTCTCTTCTGACACAATTTTATTTTCTGACTTCATGTTCTTTACTTTGTGTATAGGCCAGAGGGATTTGGACAGTTAAAGAAAAGTCTGGATGAAAGTGAAGTGAAATCTACCAAGGTAGGAATGATCAGAAGAAATGTGACCGACTCCCACAAAACCAGGCGCTTTATTTTGTACTACAGGCACAAAAGCATAAACTGTATGCCTTCTTGTTGCTGTGAATGAGCTGAACTCGACTCCAGATGATACGACAAATTTTAAAAGAGTTGCATTTTAGAAAGCTTAGGCTGTAGACTATTCAAATATCTTTTGCCAGCTCTATTTTTATAAAAATGACCAAGAGCCTGGTTTTGTGCGAGCAGCTTACAAATGTTTCATTGCAGTTGAAATATTTTAACACTGTATTAGATCATCTCTTTAACATTGTGACGTTAAACCCCATTTCATTTCATTTCATTTCTTTAACATTGTGATTTTCAAGGATTAAATACAGACTTTTTTACTTGTTAACACAATATGGCCTCATTCTGCATGCCTTATGATATGTAATGATTGCATTCCATTTACCATTACCATTACTATTACCCATGATTATTACCATTACCCATGACCATTATGCATTACACATGATCATGACCCATGACAATTATGATTACCCATTATCCCAGCTCTGTCTTAATTTTTGTGCCTGATTTTGAGATTACCTCCATTTAGGATTATTGATATCGACCGATTATAGTATTAGCTATAGCATCAAACAATGTGAAACTTTACTCATTATTGAAGTCAAATATGCAGAATATTCAAAATCTGAAATAAGGGACCTGCAACATGCATCTTGATTAGCCAAAGCTCGGATAACGTAGAATGTTTCTCATCAACGTCTTTGTTCCCTGATATTTTTTGTAGTGATTGAATTCTTTTTCTCCAGAATACGAACCTGACTACAACAAATACCCAATCAAATCCAGATCAACAAATGGGAACCAATCAAAAAATATCTTCTTGGTTAACCTGGTGGAGAAATACTGTAACCAGTGACGATTATATGAAATATTTATCAACTCAGGTAATAATAAAAATAATAATCACCTTCTTGTTATAGTGCTGGAGAGGTGGGGTGGGGGAGGGGTGGTGGCCTAATGCTTGCACTTAACATCATAAGGTCTGGTAGTACATAAATATTTTTAATTGAGCATGACACTAGTTCACTCAACTGGTGTTTTTCCACTATTCCCCCCCCCCCCCCCCCATGTCAGTTGTGCAGACGGAGTGCAAAGAATTGTTTCTAGTCTTTCGGATGGAATGTAAAACTCGGTGTGCACATTAAAGAAAAGTAAATGAAAACGTCATTATTTTTTGAAAAACTATTCCATCCTAAACTGTTTCAATGGCAGTTAGTAATTTAATTCACAATTCTATGTAATACAATTACTGCTTATTACTGAGGGATGTTTCAACTAGGTTTCTCTAGTCATTATCAAGCAATGATAAAATCTACTGAAGTCATTATATTCCATAGAATTGTGACCTGTGTATTCCATTCTAACTGCAGGGTAAATTTGTTTTGTATTTGACAGGAAACAGATTATTTAGGAGCAGTTTATCATTTTTACGATTCCGAGGATGAGGATGATTATGATGCTGGTGGTGGTGGAGGTCCTTCATATCGTGGTGGAATTTATTCTCGTGCATCACGTCACAGTAAAATAAACATTACAGAATCCAAGTAGGTGGAATATATCATTAGGCTTCTGTTCAACCTTGTGGGTTTTCTCTGGGTCCTCCAGTTTCCTCCCACTGCTAAAGCCCCCTATGCGCAAGCAAATTATTGAAATAAAATTGAACCATATGTTAGTCCTGAAATGACCTACTCTCTCTCTCTCTCTCTCTCTCTCTCTCTCTCTCTCCCCCCACACACACACTTTTAAAGAACTTTAAATTAGTATGTGCAATAATATTTTAATGACCTAGATATTTTGTTTCGATCTTGGTATATTCCATATCATTAATTGACATAGTTTTACTGACATAATGGCAACTAGCAACAGCAGGTATTGTCCATTGTTTTCAGGATCCATGGTGTTTAACTCCATCTCTTTCCACTCACAGTATTTTAGTGCTTATGACATATATTTCTATTTCTACAGAGAAAAAAAAGAGAAACGCGAAGAATTATTAAAACAGAAAGAGGAATATCTACCGGGAATGTGGAACGTTAATACAATTTTACTGGGTGGTTTGGGTAAAGATCCCACTCTAGAAGGTAAATATGTGGTTTGGGCAGAGATCCCACTCTAGTAGGTAAATATAGGGTTTGGGTAAAGATCCCACTCTAGAAGGTAAATATGTGGTTTGGGCAGAGATCCCACTCTAGTAGGTAAATATAGGGTTTGGGTAAAGATCCCACTCTAGAAGGTAAATATAGGGTTTGGGTAAACATCCCACTCTAGAAGGTAAATATGTGGTTTGGGCAGAGATCCCACTCTAGTAGGTAAATATAGGGTTTGGGTAAAGATCCCACTCTAGAAGGTAAATATAGGGTTTGGGTAAAGATCCCACTCTAGAAGGTAAATATAGGGTTTGGGTAAACATCCCACTCTAGAAGGTAAATATGTGGTTTGGGCAGAGATCCCACTCTAGTAGGTAAATATAGGGTTTGGATAAAGATCCCACTCTAGAAGGTAAATATAGGGTTTGAGTAAACATCCCACTCTAGAAGGTAAATATGTGGTTTGGGCAGAGATCCCACTCTAGAAGGTAAATAATGTGTTTTGGGTAAACATCCCACTCTAGAAGGTAAATATGTGGTTTGGGCAGAGATCCCACTCTAGAAGGTAAATAATGTGGTTTGGGTAAACATCCCACTCTAGAAGGTAAATAATGTGGTTTGGGTAAACATCCCACTCTAGAAGGTAAATAATGTGGTCTGGGTAAATAAAGAGCAGTTAGTCTGAAAATGACAGTTGTGAGTTAGACATTAAAGGGAGATAATACTTGATTTAAAGCCTCTTCAGACTGTTTTATTTGCACCGATATGGACTGTCACTATCATATTTCTACATCCAGATTTTATCGGTCAAAGACTTATGGATTGGATAGAACCTGAGTTCCCAAGCTCTGGTAGCACTTTTTGTGGGGTTGTGGCAGATTACTCTGAAACTTTTGTAGAAATGCTACGTTTTCATGAAAAGTATATAAGTCTCTGATCTATACACCTCTTGCCAATCGTCAATTTTTTATAAAAGTGTAAAAATGTAAACAATAAGTTTTAAATAAGTAAAACAATAATAAATGTAAATAAATGATGATGTTTCATAGTAAAAGGCGACTTTGTTCTTCGAGGGTTCACGATCAGATGATGGTTTCTTGAATCGGGTTGCAACCAACAAAAGGTTGGGTACCACTGGGATAAAGCATGACATTTGACAAAATTATGTTATATAATTTCTTTTACAAATGTTTTTTGTATTTCAAGATGAAACTGATGGTAAAGCTGTTGTGAAAGAGAAGCCACATTCAGCTAAAACTTTAACAGAAAAGGCGGCCATAGCCAGACAGACAAGGGCTTCATTAGGTCACTCAAGGTAAACATATTAAAGATACATTCCCACATACAAACTGGGTGATTCGGTGATATATATCTTACAGCATGTTCAAACAAATTAAAGATGCCTTCCCGCGTACAAACTGAGTGATTTGATGACATATATCTTACAGCATGTTCAAACAAATTAAAGATACTTTCCCGCGTACAGACTGGGTGATTTGATGACATATTTGTACTAAAATCATATTTAAACTAATTAATCTATCAAATTTTTGCTTCAAATCTCTCTCAGAACATTGTATTCATGAGGAAAAATCCCAACCTGTAAAAAATGTGTTAAAAGAAGTCATGGTTTGTGTCATGTGACTTGGCTGTCTCGCTATCTAGAAATGGGAGCGAAGCCGGAGGAGAATTCGTGCAATATAAAAAATGATGTTGTCTTTAATCGCTGTCCATTTATCATAAATATTGATGCCTAAGTTAATTCTCGGATTATCCCCTGCCCACGTTTTTTGCCATGGTTTTTATCCCAGCACACCCTATCTTTATCTAGAATAATTGATATGCACTTCTACTATAGCCTATATTCTTTATAATGATGTCTTTTTTTATTGTAGGGGTCCATCTTGTATATCTAAGTCAACTGTAACACCAGTGGAAGCTGAGAAAACACCACAAGTAAGTAGATCCTTCATGGCCCCAGTCATTACTCTCTTACCACAAGTAGATCCTTTGATGCCCCAGTCAGTACTCTCTTACCACAAGTAGATCCTTCGTGGCCCCAGTCAGTACTCTAACTCTTACCACAAGTAGATCCTTCGTGGCCCCAGTCAGTACTCTAACTCTTACCACAAGTAGATCCTTCGTGGCTCCAGTCAGTACTCTCTTACCACAAGTAGATCCTTCGTGGCCCCAGTCAGTACTCTAACTCTTACCACAAGTAGATCCTTCGTGGCCCCAGTCAGTACTCTCTTACCACAAGTAGATCCTTCGTGGCCCCAGTCAGTACTCTCTTACCACAAGTAGATCCTTCATGGCCCCAGTCAGTACTCTCTTACCACAAGTTGATCCTCGTGGCCCAAGTCAGTACTCTAACCACAAACAAAAAATCTCTGGGGACTTCAGTACGAACCCTAACCCATACCCAGTGGATTATTTTCTTCAGTGAAGCACATTTTTGTCGAACTGAATGAGACTCTCATCACCTAGAAAAACATTTTCCAGTAGGCCCAGTATCACTTTGAAAGTGGTCCCTATCTGCTTGATAAAAATATGGTATGACAAGTTGATAGAGGTGAATGAAGGACTTTGTAGCCCATGTCACTCTCCAATTTTACGAAAGAATGCAGATTGTGTAGTACTACTGAACTTCTTTGTTCTGTTTTCTCCATGATCGAAATTACAACTTTATTTTTTAAGCTGCGTGACACAAATTATATTCCACATTCTTAATAAAATAGCTGCTCTGAGAGACTGGGTGAGCTCTAATTCTCTCTACACCCTCTTTTATAACCCCCTAATTTTTTTACGTCATACACTAACCATGGTGTTAATTTCCTTCAGAAATATGGAATAAACATCCCTCATACCCCAAAGATCGGGAGGAGAACATTACCTTATTTGATCTACCAAACACATTTCATAAACAAGATAGTATTTGATGGATAGTTTGATAATGGAATGGACATAATCAGTGTTTTTACCAAATTTTCACTGTTTTTATATATAAATATATCACTCATGTAATTTGAGTGTGTGAGATATGACTTCTATACAGTGTATGAATCTAATAATAAGCTAATTATGGTCGCAAAGACCATATTATTACACAAAACCACTAAATTATATATAGGCGTATGATAAAACCACACATTGTCATTTTACAAACGAATACAGATTGTTATTGTGTTTACATGTTTTTCAGCCACCTAAAGTAACACCTCAGGATCGGTTAGAGAAAGTATGGACAGCTCTTCACATGCCAGATGGTTTAAAGTTGGACATGGCCATTAAATACAGCTGTAATGAATTCTTCTTACAATTACCACAGGTACGGTGTGACCATTTGTATTGCCTTAAACACCCACTCTTACAATTACCAGAGGTATGGTATGACCATTTGTATAACCGTGAACACCCACTCTTACAATTACCACAGGTACGGTATGACCATTTGTATAACCGTGAACACCCACTCTTACAATTACCAGAGGTACAGTATGACCATTTGTATTGTCTTAAACACCCACTCTTACAATTACCAGAGGTACAGTATGACCATTTGTATTGTCTTAAACACCCACTCTTACAATTACCACAGGTACGGTATGACCATTTGTATTGCTGTAAACACCCACATATAATACACAACTTTCACCATTGGGGAGCCCCCTCCCCCGCACCCCATTGATCGAATATCCTTATTAGTTCCCTATCTGTAGTAAACGAGAGGTACAGTATCACCTTTATTAGTTCCCAACCTGTTGTACGGCAGGTATAAACATTATTAATTCCCTAGCTGGAGTAAACCACAGGTACAGTAGCACCTTTATTTGTTCCCTACTTGTAGTACCACAGGTATCACCTTTATTAGTTCCCTACCTGTAGTAAACCAGAGGTACGGTATAACCTTTATTAGTTCCCAGCCTGTTGTACCACAGGTATCGCCTTTATTAGTTCCCTAGCTGTAGTAAACCACAGGTACGGTATCACCTTTATTAGTTCCCAGCCTGTTGTTCCACAGGTATCACCTTTATATGGGGAACCACGGTGGCTCAGGGAGTAGGAAGTTGGCTCGCTAACCTTGAGGTCCTGTATTCAACCCCAGCATATGGGAAAGAGAAAGTTCATAGTGATTTTTAGACTTGGTTCCTTCTTGTCAGTGGTGCAGGACTGAGGGCCTGGCAAGAAAAAATGTTAAGTCGTTTGGATGGTCCGGAAAAACAAAGTCCTGTGTACACATTGGCGTGCATGTAAAAGATCCCTTGGTTGTTGGAATTCGATATAAGAGTAGGCTGTATCGCCGCTGTCAGGGCAAAATTTCCCTCATAGCACACTGTATGGCATATGCCCATCTGCATTAGCCCAGTTGGAGCAGAATAGTAGGACGTTAAACCACATTTCATTTTGTTTCCTATTTCCTATTTTCAGGCAATCTACCACTGGGAGAAGGTTACAGCTCAGATACTAAAGCGAGAAAATTTGTTAGAAAAATTAGAAAAGTTTGAACGAAAAGCTTCAGATCCAAACAGATTCTTTGAGAAAGGTAAGATTCTTTCTATTCAAGACAGGAATATCTCACGCAATTCCATGTCACTTGATTGTAATTTCGTCAATTCGGGACTTTCCAGGAACTCACACCCTTAGTTTGATTTGAATTTTAAAATTAAATGAATTTATTTTTGTCAGGTCATCGAGGAAGTTCTGTAAATCGTCTGGAAGAAGCCAAACAAAGAAGTGCATTTTATAAGGTAACTTGTAGAATTCATAAGGGAATATCAGCACATATTTTGTGTAAAGTAGGGATATTGTTATCTATACTAATATTCGTGACTGTCGTTTGTTTGTTTGTTTGTTCAGGGTTGGCGGCAGCACTAGGGCAGTCTCAAGGCTGAAATTTGGTGGATAGGGCTTGATCGGACCGGGGGGTAACATAGTCCTGGTGTCGATGACTACCACTTCTGGTTTCGGAGTTATACTATTCTTCTGGTTCATGATTATAAGAGTGCTATGCTGGGTCAACCACTAGTTATTCTATAAAAACAAACCACTTTGGTGTTTGCCTTGTTTTACACATACTGTATTTTATGGTCATCTACAAATTTATTGAACTTATAAAGCTCCATATTTATCAGATCTATATGTTTGAAAATTCTTCGACTTGATTGGCTACCAAAATAATGTTTGTGCTATATAAATGTGATATATATATAAATGTTGTGTTATATAAATGCCAGAATTACCATATTATTATTCAATAATATAACAAGTATTAAAGTTTGTACTGTTTGAATTTTTAAACGTGATATTTAACTAAAATGAAATTAAAGACAAGTTGTTTAAATAATTAATATTAATTCTTTGTTTTTTTAGAGAGAATATAAGTTGTAATATAGAATTATGCCTTGTCCATTTTATCATGTTTAAATTATTATTTTTTATTTTTTTATTTTTTTTTAGAGAATTGATTTGATAGAAGAAGAATTAACAAAAGAATTAGAATATATCAAACAGACTTTCCAAGATATTATTACATATAGGGTATATTAATTTAATCTGTAACTATACTAATGTCCAAAAGAAAGTATACACTGTGCATTTTGTGCTGCATCAACCAAAGTCGTTTTTCCATGGTATGCGGTATTTGGGTAGAATGTCAATTTGTTTCACATTTTTATTTTGCTTAGAAATGTTGAGTTTGGACGCAAGAGACAAACTCAGTAATGCTTTATAAAATGTTTTTAATCTAAACAAAACTTAGTCATACTTTTAGTGTGTATACTTTCTTTTGGACATCAGTATACATGCCAATACAAGCAAATATCATTGAATTTAACCATTCAACACAGCCATTGAATAACCCATGGTTGTACACTCGGCAAACCTTGGCAGATTCCGGTACCCTACATCTAACCTCGGCTGTATGATAGTAATTGATATGTACCTACGCCCATACATTTGTGATGCGGCTACCGGTTTACTTTAACAGGAAAACATGCCGCTTTTACAAAAAAGTCCCAAAATGGCGTCTTTTGTCGAGTGTATATAACTAAACGAGCAGAGATATTGTCTCAAGGCTGCTGGTTTGATATAATTCCCTGGTAATTCCCCAAACCCAATGCCAAACTTGACGTTTGTTGATATAATACACTCTCCACAGAAATCTCCATGGGCGCAGCCATTTTTCATCCGGGACCTTTAAAATAGTTCCAATATGGCGGAATTCGTCATACAGCCGAGATTAGATGCGTAGAATCTGTCGAGGTTTGCCGAGTGATGGTTGTATTTAATGGCTTTGACACAGACTACTTTGAATGACATCATCACAACTGTAATGACGTCACTACTTGGCAACCACTGTTTTTGAAAAAAGATAATGGTGATGATTTTTTGGATAATCTGGATAGTAGTGTCTACAGTTAAAGAATTAGAAACTATGACTTGTGGAATACTTGGGCAGGGATACACTCTTGTGAACCATTGAATAACCAAAGCGGTATTCAATGGTCATTGAGTTCTGTCATGGACCATGGTTCTATCTATATATTCATTATCTTTAAGTTCTTGTATAAAATATACTTGTATACAGTATATGGGACCCAAACTCGTTGCACCTCGCTTGCTTTATTGTCGAGTCGAGTTCCAATTCTGGACTGTAGAGTTCGAAGTCAAGTCTTTGCATGTATTTGATCTCACTACAATATGGATTACAACATTTCAATGAAATTCTAATGTATTAATTGATTTATAGGGTCATTTATTTTTGTTTTGTTGTAATTTCAGGGTCGACCGTACGTTGATAAGATGAAATGGGATCGTATCGAGATGTTATATTGGCTACAAGAAGAAAGAAAAGAACATGGCATCAAATACGAGGCTGCTATTCGACAATTACCACTTAAACAGGCTTTATTAGACCCCATTCAACATCAACATTCCTAAAAATATATAACAGGCTATCAACATTCTATGAAATTGGCTATATAACACCCAAGTGTGGACATAAGGCACCTGTCACAGGCTGTCACAATCTGATTAAAATATAGATCTATATTTCGTTTCTTTTTCTTTATACTTTCGATGGCCTACACTACATGAAGATCTGACAAGTTTTAACTATAGGTCACGTCAGGGGTCAAAAGACCGACTTATGACCCTATGACGTCAGAAATTTGATTAACCAATCAGCATTGATGTTACTAGTGGATTACCCACAGTTCCGTGAAAAACACGCCTAAAGCTTGCCGTAACAGACCGTTTCATTGGCTTATTCCTGACACCATTCAGAACACGAATTAAATAACAACTCTTCCAGATCCAAGTGTAGTAAAGACAAGTAAAACGAAATTTTGAACTATAAAAACGAAACGAAATAGGATCAGTGTTTTAACCAGATTGAGGCTGTCAGACATAAATTATCACACAACTTATGGTATAATATAAAACATGTGATAATTTGTTTCTTCTGACATAGCATGTGATAGGTGCCTTCTGTCCAGACTTGTCTATAATTGTACTGACAAAGTCTGACGGGTTCCTTCTGTCCAAGATTGATTACCGCCTATTCTATAAAACATTGGGTGGTGGTGGGGGGGGGGGGCTGAATGGTTAGTTTGTGCACTTTGTATCATATGGTCTGCCATTGAGTCAACTGGCATGGTTTCATTTCTCCGGTTGTCTGTGACAAGGAGTAGGGCTGCCTGTCCATCCTCAAGGGTTTTCTCTGTGTCCTCCAGTTTCCTCCCACTGCTAAAGATCCCCACGTGCAAGTGAATCATTGAAGTAAGATTTAATCCATATGTTAGTCCCGAAATGACCTAGTTTATGTCAAATGGACGTTAAACCCCCATTTCTCTCTCTGTGTCTATAAAACATGCTTTCTTATTTTCTATTCAACATTAACATTCCCCAATCACCGACCACAAATCCACAACTGTTCATATTCTGTAAGACAGGCTTTATAAAGAGCCTAGTCCATCAACATTGTCTAATAAATAGATTTATATGATCCGAAGGTCAACATAAATATATGATGTAACTAATGACAACAGTTGTATCAGTCTTCTAAAGATATATACTGGCCTTTAAAAGTAGGACGTTAAACCTCATTTCATTTCCGGCCTTTAAACAGAATGAGGCCAAGTGTATAACTGTTGATTGTCAAAATGAAGAATCTAAATCGATGTCCTGTAACAAATATATTTTGCTTTCAGTAGTTGGGTATGTCTTCTAATGAGTCGTTTTGTCACATCTTTCAAGGATGATTTTTATCATATCCTGTAAAATCCGAAATGAAGAGCAAGCTAATGTCAAGCATCTGAGTGAAAGGTTTTGAAATTAACACCAAGTATGTGAAAATATAAAGATAGTGTCAGAACTAGCCCCAGAAGTGTGAGGAGTAAAAGAAATTCATGAAATAAAACAAAATTCCTATCAAAGATGCATTTTCACTGAGCCAAACTAAAACAGCATTATTACTGTCTTTCACAATCGGTCCAAATTTTGTTGATAATCATTTACCTATTTCTGTTCATTGTACATGTACATGTATATACATTGATAATTATTGATAGTCTAAAAGTCATTTCAGCCACAGATAACGGATAAAAATGTTAGTCTTAAAACCAATAAATGTTCCATTTTCTTGAATATGTACTGGAAGCTCATTCCAGGCCTTGTTTTCACAACACATTCTCAGACTTCAGTTAAAGAATTTATTAACAAGAACTAAATCTGCCTATTGCAGGTCTTTCTTTAGGCCTTAAAAGTTATATAAACTATTATATATTTATAAACATAATCAACTCTCAATCTGATGGGTTCGATTTTCAACAGATTTGAATCCGATCTGCGATTCAGCGGCTGTTAATGATTAACCATAATCGAGACTTTGTTAATTATCGTAACAATGACAATTGAGGCTCCAGTGTTATTAAAATGAGGATTTCTCGGCTTAGAGTGAAGTAATTTGACTGAAATTTTCCGCATATTCTCTTTTCATTATCTTTTTTTAAACTATTAAAGCAAGAACTGCCAGCTCTTTATCTATTCTCCAATAATGACACTTTAAGTCTGAGAATGCTTTGTGAAACGGGGGCCAGATGTTTCAACTGGTAGTGAATATTTCCCATGGCGTATAAAAATTTTGGAACACAGAGTAATGGTGAATGGTTATACAGTATATATATTTTTTTTAGGTATGTGTAATTTTTTTAGGCAATGATTGTTGATTTTGTAAAATAGTATTTTATTTTTCTTGTATAAATTATTTATATTATTTTGTAGCATTTCTGTGATAATAGTTTTATAAAGAATAACATTTACTACCAATATGTGTGTATCCATGCTGACAAACTTCTCTTAACCAAAATCTGTGCTGCTGTTCTATTGATAGAAATAAAAATATTAACCTATATTTTATTTTGTTCTGGGAGCTGCAGTGGCTCCATGTCCCTGAAGCAACAACCGCATGTTTTACAACCTCTAACCGTTGCTAGATTTGTAAGAAATTCCTGAACTTATAGGTACATTATCTCCCTTTACAACAGGCCGTGACACAAACACACTCAAATCAAACATGGCAATTTCCACGCACGGAAACCTTGACATTGACCAAACCTTGAACTTTGCAACTCGATTATCACAGGTAGACATTTTAGGTGGAAAGCACAAGAATTGGTATTAGCGATGATAATGTCCATCAAGGGGGGGAGAGAGAAATGTGGTTTAACATCCACTCAACACAAACTAGGTCATTTCGGGATTAACACATAATTCAATTTTATTTCAACAATTCACTTGCTCGTAAGGGTTTTTTAGCAATGGGAGGAAACCAGAGGACCCGGAGAAAACCCACGAGGTTGGACAGGCGACCCTACTCTTTGTCACGTACAAACGGGGAATCGAAACCACACCGGTTGATTCAATGACAGGCCTTATGATACAGCACGCACGTGCTATCCATTCGGCCATCCAACCCCTTTGTCTATCAAGGAATCAGAGAGGTCCCCAGCAGCTGAGTCCGAGCAATCGAAATTAGTGACGGAATATGCATGGGAAATACCCAAAGGGCTTGATAAGATGTACGGAGTTAAAGCGAGATCAAGCCTTCTAATGAAGACGACAACAAGGAGGCCCTGGGGCCGATCTCAGTGTTACGGGATGTTAGAATGAGCCCAAAGCATGGTGTATGCCTAGTGGTCTTTATCAGTCGGAGGGAACCGGAGAAAACCCACGAGGTTGGACAGGTGACCCTACTCAATGCATGGTGTATGACTGTGTCCATTACCCTATTGATGTAGAAAACTAGGTCAATTTGGGATTAACACGGTTTAATTTTTTTTCAATAATTCACTTGCGCGTAGTGGTCTTTATATATCAGTCGGAGGGACCTAGAGAAAACCCACGAGGTTGGATAGGTGACCCTACTCCTTGGAATCGAAACCACGCCAGTTGACTCTATGACAGACGCGTTAACCATTCGGCCACCCAACCCCCTCTGTCAACAATATGAAAGAGACCCGGTCATTTGGGGATATGTTTATTTCAATAATATACTTGAGCGACCGAGCGAGGTGGTTGTGGTTGTGGTTGGGGGGGGGGGGGGGGGTATAAATGGAGAGAAAGAAGCTAGAGAACCCAGAAAAACCCTATGAGGTTAGGCAGAGGCGACTCTTTTCAGACCCTAGTACTAAATGAACCTTTCACATACAAACCAGGATTCAACCCATGACTTTCAATTCCCTGGTTGTACGTGACCAGGAGTAGGGGCACCTGTCCAACCTCGTGGGTTTTCTCAGAGTCCTCCGGTATCCTCCCACTGCTAAAGACCCCTACGCGCAAGAGAATTATGGAAATAAAAGTGAGCCATGTGTTAATCCCGAAATGACCTAGTTTGTGTCGAGTGGACGTTAAACTCCTCTCTCGCTCTCTCCCTTCTCCTCTCTCTCTTTCCTTTCTCTCTTCCCTCTCTCTCTCTCAACCCATTGTATTTCATTTAAAGACTTCAAGACCTAAAGCCAGGTACATGTATTATGGCAGGGGTTGCTCACTCTTAAGAACATCTAATATCACTTCTTATTTCTTTGGGGGGAGGGGGGGCATACATGTACATAATAGATAACATTCCCATTGAATGCTTGGAAGTAGTAGTATATGTATAGCATCACTATATTAGGTAAGTATATGTATAGGGGAGACCGGGGTTGATCGGGACACTTTTAACACTTTCTAATATTCGAAGACAGAATTTAGCCCAGTAAGGTAAATTTTATTGTCGACATCATAAGCTAATATTGCTCTAATAGTTGTTACCTATTCCAGAATCCAATAAAATAGTGTTTACTTTCTTTCGTCAATTTAGTACATTTCTTGAAACCGTCCTAACCTAACCCATGTCGGGCCGGTCGGGACAGCATACGGGGAATGTTGGGACAAGGTGTCCTAACTTAACCCAATTTAAAAGTTTCTTAATTTAAGCAGGATAATCTTTAATAACACCAGGCTGATACAATCTAAATGTTGGGAGGGAGGGGGGGGGCTAGGGGCAGATGCTTCATAACTACAGGAGAGAGGAATTAACATATTTTTATTTAATCTGAAATAAATAAAATATGAAACATACACCTGAAACATATTTGAAATAATATTTGTTCTTGTCATTGTCTTTCAGTATTGTCTTATCAATTTCAAGACGCATTGTTTATATATCATCATCCGAATCACAGTTTTGACAGGTGAAAGCGAGTGTGTCTTGAGGAGTGCACAGAACATGGGCCCACATCTGACAGACAACACAACTGACCCATTTTTCTCTAGGGCGAATACTGGAGTAGGGTTCGCCACAAACAACACAGTCTACATCAGCATCGTCTTCTTCGGAATCAGAAATTTCAATGCGATTTTTCTTTCTTTTCTGTACTTTCTTTCTGTTATTTTTGTCCACACCCGTTTTATCGAGACTGAATTTGATTTTCTTTGCTGCTGATTTTTTCGATGTTTTCATAGCTTCTTCAGCTGCTAGTGAATCTTTTACTGGGGTGTCGGTCAAAATTGCTGTGTGTCGCCTCCTCCTATTAATCAATTTCTGTTGACTGACGGGCGCCTTTGGCAAGGGTCGAACTATTGATGGTGGACTGTTAAATGGTAGTGTGTCCACTGACATTGTCTTGTGAGGTGTATGTCCATTTTCACCATCTGTAGTTGGAGAGGGGTTTGGCTCGAACGTTATATCTAATAGTTGAACAGTGTCGATCACTTTCGTTTGGACACTGACGTACTGAGCTCCAACACCATGTCCAAATAAGGCTAATTCAATACTCAGATGAGCTTGCTCTATATTCCTTGGTGGATGCTGTCGTCGGCAGGTATTTCTATTTGCATCAAGTTGATGCAAATCTATTTGGACTCCAAGGGCATTGCATATACCATCAAGTAACATATCAGCAGTATTTGTGTTGTAATCCTTGCAGAAAAGGTACTGTTTTAGCTGCTTAAATACATCGTCGTCGTCAATGCTGAACTGTTGGTAAAAGCCAATGTTAGTTTCAACCTCCTTCATCAGCTTTTCACTTATTTGCTGCGTAGTCATACATATATTTTGCTCTAGCAAACTTTGATTAACAGCCTGTAACAAACAGTGACCATCACCTCGAACATCAACAAGGACCTTCCCTCGTTCTAACAAATGTGATTCAATTATCTGTCTCTCTTGGGTAGGATTACTTGAATTTAAAACTTGTGATGGAGATGGGTTATTGTAAGGTTTATCTGTCACAGTTGATGGCGCAAAGGCTTTGTCTGAGAATATCACAGGTTTAACAGGTAAAATACCAGCAACACGAAATCCACTCACACAATTTTGATAAGAAAATGACTTATGCCACACCTCTTTTAATAAGCCAGGAATTTCATATATTGTAAGAGTTTTAACTGGGTGTACACGTAACCAGGTGTCCATTACTCCAGCTATGTGATGCTTAAATCGGCCGAATACTGAGCAATCTAAGGGTTGTAGTTTATGACAGCAATGAGGAGGGAAGCTGAGCATCACAACTCCGTTGCTCTTGGCATATTCAATCATCTGAACACTGAGATGCGAATCGTGGTTGTCTACAAGCAATAGAACTGGTCTATCGGGGGTAGGTTTTACAATATTCACAAAATGCTCCATTGTTTGCAGAAAAATATCTCTATTCATCCATCCTGACGCATTTCCAGCATCAACACAGCCAACTGGACCATCAGTTATAAAATGATTGTGATATCGGACTCTTGGAAATATAATCATCGGTGGTAGAACAGAACCAATAGCTTTGGTCCCTGCACAAACGGTTACTAGTTCACCACGTTCGCGAGACACCAATCCACCAACTTGTTTTGAACCTTGAGGTGCGACGTTTCGCTTTGATTTCTGGACGGTTGTAACACCTGTCTCGTCTATGTTCCATATATCAGCAGCTCCAAGATTATATTTCTCAATCACGGAGATGAGTTTATCGAAGAACTTTTGTACATTCACAGGGTTGAAACCAGTCGCCCTTGCAAAGCTTGTTGCTTCAGGTGTCCTAAGGCTCAATGGATGGCGCTTGATGAAACCTGTGAACCAATCAGTTCCTTCAATGTGATTTTCTTTCCATGATTCAGGGATCCTGACATCATTTTCTAATGCTACCTCATACGCCAATTCGCGAACTTCTCTAGGTGTTAGACCGAAATATATTGATGATGCTTGGAGTAAATACTGTACAATTTCCTTCTCCTGCAAATCTGTTAAGATCTGTCGATTCTTCTTGTAGCCTAGCTATACTAATGTTCTCCGTGGATCCACATAAGCCCACCCTTCTCTTATTTTCTTGGTTAACGTAGGTGTGTAAAGAACTTTTAGGGATACCATACTTAGTGGCGACTTTGCGAATAGATCCATTATCATTTACCACTTCACTTACTGCTCGAAGAACTACATCAGGAGATGTACTTGCTCGATGGGAAAGTCTTACATATCCCTAAATGATTGTTGAAAGAGGTAGAGGGGTAGGTCTGGACATAGTGTGGGGCAGGTTGGGACAATGTCCTAACCTACCCCAATGCGAGTGTCCCAACCTCTCCCACTGCAACTCGCGACGTGTGACTGAAAATATCAGATTCAGGACTACTTTAAATCCACGTGTTATCCCCTTAACTTGTGGTCCTATAATAACCATAAAATGTTTCCGGTATAATAATGCTTGAAGTTTCTTACTCTTCAAGCTAATCACAAAAACTGCATGCATTGAAGTTTTTACTTTTTTACTTTAAAAACTGTTTTTCGAAAAAAAAAACCTATTCTTACCTTAGTCTACGCCTGGGAAGTATATCGGAGATGGCGGACGACGTGTGACGTGTGCTGGTGCATTGCGAGTTATCTCCCTTGAAACTAGTCTAAGGAACCGGTGTCCCAACCTGGACGTGTCCCAACCAACCCCGGTCTCCCCTAGCATCACTATATTATGTAAGTATATGTTAGCATCACTATATTAGGTAAGTATATGTATAGCAACACTATATTAGGTAAGTATATGAATAGCAACACTATATTAGGTACGTATATGTATAGCAACACTATATTAGGTAAGTATGTGTATAGCAACACTATATTAGGTAAGTTTATGTATTTAGCAACACTATATTAGGTAAGTATATGTATAGCATCACTATATTAGGTAAGTATATGTTAGAAACACTATATTAGGTAAGTATATATATAGCATCACTATATTAGGTAAGTATATGAATAGAAACACTATATTAGGTAAGTATATGTATAGCATCACTATATTAGGTAAGTATATGAATAGCAACACTATATTAGGTAAGTATATATATAGAATCACTATATAAGGTAAGTATATGTATAACATCACTATATTAGGTAAGTATATGTATAGCATCACTATATTAGGTAAGTATATATATAGCATCACTATATTAGATAAGTATATGTATATAGCAACACAATATAGGTAAGTATATGTATAGCATCATATTGAACTTATTCATTAAGATAGACTTTATAATAGTTTGATATAAATCTTATCAAAATCCAAGTTAATAATTGAAAATCAACCTATAGTTATATCTAGAGATATCAGTACTGTCAACTATACTATAGCAATGATATTGATTACAATGGTTTACATTAGTTCAGCTCTGAACGTATATCATTAAAATCGCCGTGTACGTTCAGGGATCGTCCGATTTGATTTAGCTTAGACAAGTTAGAGTGAGAGGTCATATTATCATCATAAGATAAAGACGCATAGATCTACTTCTAGGCCTACAGTGCTCAGTACTCTACATTAGAATATCATAATATGCAATATAATGCCAATCAAATATGAAAACATCTTTCACCAAATATGTACTCGTACAAAATAAATTTTTTGATGATATATATTGCTGTTCGTATAATCTATTAGATCTATGTTATTATGGCTTAGTATTTATTATATATTTATAGCACTAGGCCTAGCACTAGGCCTTGCACTCGACGATGACTTGTATCGTACTCGTAGCAGACTACGCGACGTAGACTGAGCTCTTTTTCTTCAGAAATGCTGATTTTTTTTAATCCCTCAATAGTCCCTAAAATTAAAACACCCGGCATAGGACCTACTCTGGGTACCATATCCACCACCCGGTCTGTAGCCGTGCCACATGAAATGTGTGGTAACCTGATATCTCCGAAACCGCTAACCGGAAGTGGTCGAAATTTGGCTACTCTGAGATATTATTAATGTAATTATAATTTGCAAGTTTCATTGAAATCGATCGGTATTTGCAGACTGTAGCCGTGCCACATGAAATGTGTGGTAACCTGATATCTCGGAAACCGCTAACCGGAAGTGGCCGAAATTTTGGCTACTCTGAGATATTATTAAAGTAATTATAATCCGCAAGTTTCATTGAAATCGGTTGATAATTGTGGTCTGTAGCCGTGCCACATGAAATGTGTGGTAACCTGATATCTCGGAAACCGCTAACCGGAAGTGGTCGAAATTTTGCATACTCTGAGATATAATTAATAAAGTAATTATAATCTGCAAGTTTCATTGATATCGGTTGATAATTGTGGTCTGTCGCCGTGCCACATGAAATGTGTGGTAACCTGATATCTCCGAAACCGCTAACCGGAAGTGGTCTAAATTTTGGCTAGTTTGAGATATTATTAAAGTAATTATAATCTGCAAGTTTCCTTGAAATCTGTTGATAAATGTGGTCTGTAGCTGTGCCACATGAAATGTGTGGTAATCTAATATCTCGGAAACCGCTAACCGGAAGTAGTCGAAATTTTCGCTATTCTGAGATGTAATTCAAGTAATTATAATCAGAAAGTTTCCTTGAAATCTGTTGATAATTGTGGTCTCTAGCCGTGCCATATGAAATGTGTGGTAACCTGATATCACCGAAACCGCTAACCGGAAGTAGTCGAAATTTTGCCTACTCTGAGATATTATTAATGTTATTATAATCTGCAAGTTTCATTGAAATCGGTTTGAAATTGCGGTCTGTAGCCGTGCCACATGAAATGTGTGGTAACCTTATATCTCCGAAACCGCTAACCAGAAGTGGTCGAAATTTTGCCTACTCTGAGATATTATTAATGTTATTATCATCTGCAAGTTTCATTGAAATCGGTTTGTAATTGCGGTCTGTAGCCGTGCCACATGAAATGTGTGGTAACCTGATATTTCGGAAACCGCTAACCGGAAGTGGTCGAAATTTTGCCTACTCTGAGATATTATTAATGTAATTATAATTTGCAAGTTTTCTGTACGTTTCGTGGATATCGGTTGATAATTGTGGTCTGTTGCCGTGCCACATGAAATGTGTGGTAACCTGATATCTCATAAACAGCTAACCGGAAGTGGCCAAAATTTTGGCTACTCTGAGATATTATTAAAGTTATTATAATCTGCAAGTTTCATTGAAATCGGTTGATAATTGTGGTCTGTAGCCGTGCCACATGAAATGTGTGGTAACCTGATATCTCGGAAACCGCTAACCGGAAGTGGTCGAAATTTTGGCTACTCTGAGATATAATTACAGTAATTATAATCTGCAAGTTTCATTGAAATCGGTTGATAATTGTGGTCTGTAGCCGTGCCACATGAAATGTGTGGTAACCTGATATCTCGGAGACCGCTAACCGGAAGTGGTCAAAATTTTGGCTAATCTGAGGTATTATTAATGTCATTATAATCTGCAAGTTTTATGGATATCGGTTCATAATTTCGGTCTGTAGCCGTGCCACATGAAATGTGTGGTATCCTGATATCTCGGAAACCGCTAATCGGAAATGGTCGAAATTTTGGCTATTCTGAGATATTATTAATGTCATTATAATCTGCAAGTTTTATGGATATCGGTTCATAATTGCAGTCTGTAGCCGTGCCACATGAAATGTGTGGTAACCCCCATATCTCGGAAACCGCCAACCGGAAGTCGCCGAAAGTTTTGCTACTCAGAGATCTTATCGATGTTATCATAATCTGTAAGTTTCATTCAAAATCGGGTAACGGTCTGTAGTCTTAAGGCTATTTTGAAATTCTTCCTTACCATATGTGGGAAATAGCCACTGCCAACAATCATTAACATCAACATGGTTATATACTGTAACAACTTTAGACGTAGTGGTTGTATAGTTGAGATATATCATGGTGTATATCTGTGTATGCGTGTGTGTGTGTGATTTCTGAAATATACAAATGTAGCCTTTTGGAAAAAAATGATGTACGGTTGTAGAATTCTGAATATCGATACGTTTCGTTCTATTATTACCTCAAAATGCTTCTCCCACAATTCAATGGCATTCTAGGAAGAGGAGGGTAACTCCATAAGAGGGTTACAGAACTCTGTATATCGATAGGGTTCGTGCTTTCTTTATCTCAGTGTGTGTGTGTGTGTGTGGGTGTGGTGGGGGGGGGGCGAATGGTTAGCATGTTCGTGCTGTATCATACGTCATACTGAACTGACGTGGTTTCGATTCCCCGGTTTTACGTGAGAAGATTTCCGCCCACTGCTAAAGACCACTACGCGCAAGCGGATTATTGAAATAAAACTGAACCATCTGTTAGTCCCGAAATGACATAGTTTGTGTGAGTGGACGTTAAAACTAGACCCCTCTCTCTCTCTTTCTCTCCATTTCAATAGTCCCTTGCTTTCATCGAAAGGCGGGCGACAACAACACTATTTAAAACACATTTGTAGGGGGGGTGGATGGCTGAATGGTTAGTGTGCGCGCACTGTATCATAAAGTCTGTCATTGAGTCGACTGGCGTGGTTTCGAATCCCCGGTTGTACGTGACAAGGAGTAGGGTCGCCTGTCCAACCTCGTGGGTTTTCTCCCGGTCCTCCGGTTTCCTCCCACTGCTAAAGACCCCTACGCGCAAGCGAATTATTGAAATAAAATTAAACCATATGTTAGTCCCGAAATGACCTAGTTTGTGTCGAGTGGACATTAAACCCCATTTCTCTCTCTCTCTCTCTCACAGATTTGTAATTATTCATAATCATGGTGTAAGACTATCATTGTTCCATTATATAAGCAACCCCTAGAAACTATGGATTGGTTTCTTTATTGTTAGTATGTATGCTTACAAATGGAGGGGGGAGGGGGTGTCTCTCTGTGGCTGTGATGACGTCATACCAGAACCTGACCCACAGCGCGCTGGAATTTTTTTTTTTGTCATTATACGGATTTATAATTTTTCTCAGGGTGAAGATACAATATGATTTTCCCTCATTTATCCAAAGTTTTAATTCTAACAACTGTAATACACACGATATTAGGTAAGTATATGTAAAGCATCACTATATTAGGTAAGTATATGTATAGCAACACTATATTAGGTAAGTACATGTTTATATATATATAGCATCACTATATTAGGTAAGTATATTTACTACACACTATATTAGGTATGTATATAAACCAACCCCTGGTCCAAGTTGGTCCGAGTTGTCATGCATGCACATAAGAGCAGTTGACAGTACATGTGAGAGAGAAGAGAGAGAGAAGTGGGGTTTAACACATAAACTAGGTCATTTCGGGACTAACATATGGTTTAATTTTATTTCAATAATTCGCTTGCGCGTAGGGGTCTTTAGCAGTGTGAGGAGATCGGAGGACCCGAAGAAAACCCACGAGGTTGGACAGACGACCCTACTCCTTGTCACATACAACCAGGGATTCCAAACCACGCCAGTTGACTCAGTGACAGGCCGTATGATACAGCGCGCATGTGCTAACCATTCGGCCATCCAACCCCCCATCAGTAGGCCTACATGTAACTTCTATGTGTTAGATTGGGCTCCTGAACAATTTTGGAAAACTACATGTAGGAGACGACCATTTGACGATATGGGTGACATTTGCGAAATTCAGAAGAAATGAAATGAAATGGAGTTTAATGTCCTACTGTTGAAATTCAGAAGACTGTTGATAAATCTTGTTGAAGTAAGAGGCATGTTATACTTACATGTATCATAAAAGAAGGTAATTTATACACCAATTGACGAGTAAAAAACATAAAATAACCGAATTTATAGTATCACTAACTACAAGTAGCACTCATTTATATTCATATTAACACTCTAGAGTGGATCTATTACACTGTCCTTTAATCAAACCTGGACATAGGGCACCTGTCCAGTACAAATTATAACACACAATGTATATGTTATATACAGTAAACCTCACATAAGTCGGATTCGTATAAGCTGGATCTTCGCTCAACTCGGATAAAATCGTTTGGCCCCTTTAATCCTGCTTGTTTTTCTTATTAAAGATCTTTGCTCAACTCGGATCAAAATGTTCGGTCCATCTGATCTAATTCCGGCTTTTTTCCTTTCCTGAAGTCGGATTGGCAGTACATGTATGTTCAGAATTTGACTAAGCTAGTTTCGTACCAATGGTCTAAAACACGGTTAGGTATTCCATGCACAGAGCCCCAAAATACTTTAATTTCCCTATCATTTTGACTCAAATCTGCCTATTTGACGCGACGCAATAATAGAATTTTCCAAGAAAATTCGAAACTCGCTGTCTGCTGTATGAGACACTATCCGGCAAAATTTAGGACATTTTTCAAAGGTGGCGACAAAACGGAAGTTATCTACTCGCACACACGATGAAAAGTGCCTTTGAATCAATTATTATCCAGCTCTTTCACTTTATTTTTAATCAGGCCAAGATTGAATTCCGGTCTTCGGCTAACTCGGATCTTCGCATAACGTGGATAACATTGGTCAATCCACTTAGATCCGACGTATGCAAAATGAAATGAAATGAAATGAAATGGAGTTTAACGTCCTACTTTTCTGCTCCTAACCTGGGCTAATGAAGACAGGCATACGCCATACAGTGTGCTATGAGGGAAATTTTGCCCAGACAGCGGCACTACGGCCTAGTCTTATATCGAATTCCAACTGCCAAGGGATCTTTTACGTGCACGCCAATGTGTACACGGGACCTCGGTTTTTCGTCCCATCTGAACGACTAGACAGCTTTCCTTGTCAGCCCCTCCGTCCTGCATCACTGACAAGGGAGAACCACGCCGGAAAATCGGGATGAACTTTCTCGGACAATGCAGGAATCGAACACCCGACCTCCAGGCTAGCGAGCTAGCGTCTTACACACTTAGCCACGTGATCCCCGACTTATGCAAAGTTTACTGTATGTTATATGATAATTTGTGTATGACAATGTCTGTTACAAGTGTCTGATGTCCTGGCCTATAACACTACAACCCAGGTATCATTAGTTGTTTTAGCAGGGGTTTCTGTATTTAATATTTAGTTTTAAACCATGTTCAAATTTGTTGAGAATCATAGAAAACTATTGGGTTTCTACTGTTGTGTGGTTTAATGGGTCCGTCTAGATAATGAGTGTTGAGTTTATTATAACTGTAAAATACAGAAACTTCTGCTAAAATGATACTCAAGTTGTTGTGTATATATCTATATATGTTGTGTGATAATTTGTACTGGACAGTCTGTGACAGAGGTGTCTTATATATCCAGGCTTTTAGTGTCCTTCAATCACACACTCAACAAGTTTCTGGCCAGTGATGTCGTTCACTACACATGGCATTTTAAAATTTCCTTAAACTTCAGTATATGGCATATTTTTAGAGGCATTTCAAAATTGCCTTGAACTTCAGAATACATAGAGAATTAAATGCCTCACGTTTATAACTGACAAGTCACATGGCACGATTTATAAAACCTAACAACACTTTATAACTCTCTTCTTTTCTTTTCACGATCGATCAATGCTTAATTTGTTTCCGTACTTAAGTCGAGAGGATTTCTACTGATAAATTCTGTTTGTGACAAAATCTCCAAACTTTCAGCAGGTAACGTTGGTTTCATGTTAATATTACGTCTCTCTGGTTTCATTAATAAAAATTTTAACAAAGTTTCACAAGTTTCGTCGTTAAAACCTATAACTTTGCCATCTTCTATTTTTTCATAAAGCCGAGTTTCGTCCGTATACCAGCAGATATTTTGACGAGGATTGGCAATATTGTTTTTTAACATGTCAATTGTATTAAGTTGGTACGCAAAAAATGACATTTTCCGTCCGTCTGATAAAACTGTTTGTGTTGTCATTGGATATGTAACATCTAACAACGAATTGAAACCTGAAGAAGAAATAAGATTGAATGTTAAAATAATGGGTATGACAAATGAATCAGCAAACAGAATGAAAGAGAAGTGGGGTTTAACTCTCACAAACTAGGTCATTTGGGGGCGTGGCCGAATGGTTAGCGCATGTGCCTTTGATCATTGAGTCAAGTGGCGTAGTTTCAATTCCTCACCTGTACATGTACGTCACAAGGAGCCGGACTCCTTGCTCGTTTTAATTAAGTATCCTGGAGTAGACATTTATGTGATTCTGTGTAAACTAACTAGTCACGAGTCTCGGCCACGACTCCTCTTTTCCCCCAAATAAATAAAAACAAACCTTGACTATAAGCTTGAGCAAGTAACCATGTGAAAGATGCTGTTAATCCCATTCCCTGCCTCATCTCCTCGGTTACGGCATCACCATATTTACGACGCTGATAATCTAACCAGACTGTGTTATGAAATGAAACTAAACCAAATTCGCACGGATCCCCAAAATTATAACCTGAAAAATAACATATAAAAAAACATTTCAATATATTAAGAGAAAAATGGGGAAAGACTAGGTCATTATGGGACTAAGATATGGTTCAATTTTATTTCATTAATTCACTTGTGCATAGGGGTCTTTAACTGTGGGAGGAAACCGGAGGACCCAGATAAAACCCATGAATGTTTCAAAGGAAAATGGGGTTTAACATTAGCTCAACACCAACTGGGCAATTTTGGGGACTAACATATGGTTCAATTCTACTTCATTAATGTACTTGCACCTTGGGGTCTTTAGCTGTGGGAGGAAACCCGAGAACCCGTGCAAAATACACTGTAACCCAGGTATCGTTTAATCTTGTGTATCTAGCACTAATTACTTTCACATTCGTTTAATATAAAATCTTTGTTTAAAAATTTGTAAATATCGTTTAAAATCACCATAAATCATCTAATTTGTACATGTGTCCAGTTTAAAGCTGACTGATTAATTCTGATAATGAGTGTCCAATTTACAAGTATTTAATTTCCTGATCACTGTTCAAAAATTAATCATTATACATCATTAATCAATTGGGTTGTTTATTTTTTAACAATGATTGAGAAATTAAACACTTGTAAATTGGACACTCATTACCAAAATTGAATGGTCAGCTTTAAACTGGACACAAGTACAAATTAATCGATTTATGGTGATTTTAAACAGTTTTTACAAATTTTTAAACAAAGATTTGATATTAAACGAATGTGAGAGAAATTAGTGCTAGATACACAAGATTAAACGATACCTGGGTTACAGTGATACATGTACATGAGTTTTCATTATATTGAATAATAATACACATTGAAGTTCGAAAGAGAAATGGGGTTTGACACAAACTAGACCATTTTGGGACTAACATATTCAAATAATTAGCTTGAGTATAGGGGTCTTTAGCAGTTGATTTAATACCTGGAGTCAGCTGTGATTTCTCACGGTCTGTTTTTGAGGTTCCAAAAACTTTAGGATGATATTCCAAAACAGGAAAATCTTCATTTACACAAAGTTCATCATCAATTGGTAAAAACTGAAGGAAGAAATAAAGATATAAAAAAACTTGTAAACTCTGTCATAGTTTAAACATTTTGATAAAAGTATTTCATCACCAACTGGTAATTAAACAATGCAATAACTCTGTGATATTTTGACAACTGACTCACATCAGCGCTACAAATATATATACTAGCAAAATGGTGAGGAAATGAAATGAAATGGGGTTTAACGTCCTACTGTTCTGCTCCTAAACTGGGCTAATGAAGACGGGCATACGCCATACAGTGTGCTATGAGGGAAATTTTGCCCAGGCTTGGCGCTATGGCCTACTCTTATATCGAATTCCAACTGCCAAGGGATCTTTTACGTGCATGCCAATATGTACACGGGACCTCAGTTTTTCATCCCATCCGCACGACTAGACAGCCGTCCTTGTCCTCCGTTCTGCATCACGGTGGGGAAATGAAATGGGGTTTAAGAATCTACTGTTCTGCTACAACTGAGCTAATTCAGTTGGGCACACGCCATACAGTGTTTTCTTTGAGGGACATTTTGTCTGGACAACAGTGGCACTAGGCTATAGCCTACTGTACTCTTATATCAAATTCCAACTTCCAAGGGATCTTTTACATGGAGGCCAATCTGTACATAGGACCTCTGTTTTTAATCCCATCCAAATGGCTATACATTGTCCCTTGTCAGGCCCTCCATCCTTACATGTACCACTGACAAGGGGGGGGGGGGGACGACGCCCGAAAATCCTGATGAACTTTCTGTCAACACCAGGTTCGAACAGGGGAACTCCAGGTTAGCGCATCAACGTCTTACACACTGAGCCACCACGGCTCCTTGGAGAGGAAATAACATTGATCTCCGGTCTAATGAAATATAATATAACCTACATGGAGCAAAAATAAATGCACACAAAGGCGACAACATGTGAACTTAAATTGTATACATTTGTTTTAATCTCCCTTATGCGTAAATAATCTGCACGATTTTAACCTAGCACAACCTGAAAATGAAATGAAATGGGGTTTAACGTCCTACTGTTCTGCTCCTAACCTGGGCTAATGAAGACGGGCATACGCCATACAGTGTGCTATGAGGGAAATTTTGCCCGGGCAGCGGCACTATCGCCTACTCTTATATCGAATTCCAACTGCCAAGGGATCTTTTATGTGCATTCCAATGTATACATGGGACCTCGGTTTTTCGTCTCATCCGAAGGACTAGACAGCTGTCCTTGTCAGGCCCTCCGTCCTGCATCACTGACAAGGGGGAACCACGCCGGAAAATCTGGATGAACTTTCTCGGCCAATGCAGGGATCGGACACCCGACCTCCAGGCTAGCGAGCCAGCGCCTTACCCACTCAGCCACGTGGTCCCTAGCACAACCTGAAAGAACGTACATGTCACAACAATTCATTTTATCAGATAGACAATTTTTAATGCCAGTCTCACACTGGCTGTATTTAGATATAGGACGGTGTAGGCCCTATGCTACGTGTACATTTTAAGATACACGTGCATTCTCTGGACTGATCCAGCCCAAATTTATCCAATTCCACTACTACAAATATATGGACAAAATAGCACTGTTTGTGCAAATGGTAATTGACTGTGTGGCGGGTCATACATGTATATTATGTGTTCTGCACAGTCCACCCTTCAAAAACCTGGTAACCTTTGACATCATACCCACAACAATTGCTACGTATTTTGTCGAGACTAATATTCATTCTAGTTGGAGCAGGAGTAGGTACATTTTGGTCTGGCTGGATGAATCAAGACTACGATGCCGGAACAGGTATACAGACAACTCATCCCAAAGAGGATGTAAATAAATTCTTATATGACTGATTAATTTAATAAATAAAAATGATAAATAAAATACAATATTTGTTGTGGTATTTGTGATCTTCATAACTTGGTCCGAGTGGTCTTATATCTCGACCCATGTATTAAATGAAATGAAATGAAATGGGGTTTAACGTCCTACTGTTCTGCTCCTATACTGGGCTAATGAAGACGGGCATATGCCATACAATGTGCTATGAGGGAAATTTTGCCTGGGCAGCGGCACTATCGCCTACTCTTATATCGAATTCCAACTGCCAAGGGATCTTTTACGTGCATTCCAATGTATACACGGGACCTCAGTTTTTCGTCTCATCCGAAGGACTAGACAGCTGTCCTTGTCAGGCCCTCCGTTCTGCACCACTGACAAGGGGGAAACCAGGTCGGAAAATCCAGATGAACTTTCTCGGCCAATGCAGGGATCGAACACCCGACCTCCAGGCTAGCGAGCCAGCGTCTTAACCAACCAGCCTCCGTGGCTCCCCATGTATTAAACTAAACAAAACCATTTTGGGATGAGTGTTTTTTTTAAGTTGGGATGAGTTGTCTTTTATCTTAGGATGAGTTGTCTTCTAACTTGGGATGAGTTGTCTTTGAGATAAGTTGTCAGGTATCCCCAGAACAATGATTACCTCTTTTAATGGATCCTCTGTCCTAATAGAAACATCACAGACATGTGCAGTCTGGAATCTGACATCATTTGCATATTTAATTCTATATTCCTTTGGCCTCTCCATCGCAGCATCGTACCACATGACACGTTTAAAACCAGACCTATCCCAGAATCCTTTAATATCAACTTCTTCGTCAACTTGGGACGTTCGTAAAGCTGTGTTATGTTCGTATAATAGAGGGAGTAGTGTCTGTATCAAGTTTCTCAATATTAAACTATCTCTGTGAATGTCCCTGAACTTACTGCGAAAGAGTCTCTCTTTTTCTAACAATAAAACTTCAATAATGTATGGTTTAATCTTTTCAACTATAGAACTATCCACTTGTAAAGAGTCATAAATATTTGGCAGACCCTTAATCAAATGAGATTTTGTAACATTTTTCTGAAATTCTAAAACCCGAACTGATTTATTTGTAACAGGAAAGCGATATGCTCTCATTTGCTTTTTGGTTAATTTTTCTAATCTTTCTTTCGCTGTCGGGACAGCCGTCATTTCTTGCATGTCTTCGTATCTTGTCCATGCCTCTTCTTCAGTCATTGAAGTCCAGTTTCCTGGTGGAAATCTGGGTTTAACCGGCGGGTACAAAGATTCCACATCTTCATTAGATACTGCCTGAACCGCACTACTATATTTTAATCGGAATTTCAATGTCAGGGAACGTCTATTTCTTGACTGAATAAGAAAATGACGACCGATCAAGGAGGCTGCCATCTTGACTTTGAGTTGTTCAAAATTTGGGATCACTGTAGTTCAGAAACGAATGTTCAATTTAAAAATGCATGTATATTATGAGTTTTCTTTTAAATTGTATATAACTCAATGTACTAAATAGACGATTTCAATGAATTTAAAAATAATTTATTTGTCAATGAAACATTAATTGCAGCTAGTTTATAAATCTTGTTTTTCGTTAAAAGTGATTCTAGAAAAATGTATGAGTTATTTTTCTTGGATTGTTTTTTATTTTGGAGGAAGAAAAAGTATATAATATTTGTCTTTTTTCTCCAGACGTTTTACTAATAATCATTTCTTTGGAAAAACAGACATGGAAACCTAGACTACTATATTTACAAACCTTGGGTACACGTTCTGGTGATTTCAAGATTTAAAATCTAAATAAATAAGTTTCAGGGAACAGTTTTCGATGGGAAACAAAGAAAAGAAGAAAAACAAATATAGATCCAGATCGAGAGATCGATCAAGATCAAGGGAACACAAGAAGAGAAAGAAGGAAAAAAGAAGGTTGAAAATAATTTGCACAGTCTAAAGTCTTATTAAACTTAAAAAATTTTAAAAATAAGGAAACGATAAAGGCAACACTCTACTATCAATTGAGCATTCCAGAATTAAATTCTCTTAATCCAACGAATAGTGACAATCAAGTCAAAAGGGGGGATTTCGTAACGCATGCACCGATTTAATTTAAAAAACAACCCAACTGCAATCACAACGGCCAAAACTTTCATGTTGGTGGTTAAAGTCACAATTCTACTCACCACCTCAGACCTCAGTTGACAGGACTGAATTCTGTGTCACTCAATTGCAATACTATCCACTTGATCACCCCCCAAAACAATAAGTAAGTGTGGTGGCAGCACCATAGAAATATGTGTGCCCCTCTCTCTCCACTCCCCTTCCTCCTTCCAATAGGGGTACATGTAAGGACGGGTCACACTGTAACAAATTGTACACAAAAACAATCTTCTCCATGGTCCACAAAACCATACAGTAAATCATTGGCATATTGTTAAACATACAACACCCCCCAAAACCACACAATAATCAATGATAATTGATTAAACATGCATTATGCAAGAGCTAAATCTGTCTATTGCATGTCTTTCTTTAGGCCTGAAATGTTATCTAAATTATTAATTAGACATTAATTAACCTATCTAGACCATAATCAATTGCTGGCATCGCTAGCCTGCGATCTTTAGTGGATTATGAGTCGATTTATTGCATGTCTTTCTTTAGGCCTGAAATGTTATCTATTATTAATTAGACATTAATTAACCTATCTAGACCATAATCAATTGCTGGCATCGCTAGCCTGCGATCTTTAGTGAATTATGAGCTGATTTACTGCATAACTTTCCTTCGCGATTTAACGATTAAATGGATAATCGAGACTATGCTATGCTGTTTATCGTACTGACTTTAGTAATGATGATCGAGGCTAGGCGGAAATTTCAATCGCTTATAGTTCTTGGTTTATAGTGGATCAATTTGAATGAAATTGTCAGCAAATTGCCTTTACATTATCCTATTTTTAACTATTATAGCGAGAACTGCCAACTCGTTATCGAATCTCCCATAATGTATCTATAAATGACATGCTAATTAAAGATACCTTCCCGTGTACAAACTGGGTGATTTGATGATATAATTGGACTAAAAACATCTTCATACTAATTAATCTATCAAAATTTTGCTTGAAAATCTTCTCTGAAACTGTTGTACGTTTAAGTCACTTACTTTTTCCTCCTCCGCTTACCGTCAAGTTTATCAATCTATACATCAAGTGCTCCCTAATGCTGAGAGATCATAAATTTTTGTGTGCAACCTTTGACGTCTTTAACGCAGAAAGCCCTTCTCGATTGCTAAAGATTAATATAATGGGCAATATTGTCAACTGATTATCATATTTATAGTCTTATTATTGTTGCTTTCTACATTCTGTGTTTCAGGCCATCTTCATCTGAAGAAAGTTCGGATGAATCAGACGCTAGCAGATCAAGGTCATCTAGACATAAAAAGTCGAGTAAACACAAATCACATAAACATGACAGACGTAAACATTCGCAGTCACCTGATCGTAAAAAATCTAAACGAGCTGAACCAATTGACCCTGAGAAACGGAAAGAAGAAATCAGGTAAATCTTTTCAGGGAGATATGAAATGAAATGGGGTTTAACGTCCTATTGTTCTGCTCCTAAACTGGGCTAATGAAGACGGGCATACGCCATACAGTGTGCTATAAGGGAAATTTTGCCCGGACAGCGGCACTACAGCCTACTCTTATATCGAATTCCAACTGCCAAGGGATCTTTTACGTGCACGCCAATATGTACACGGGACCTCGGTTTTTCGTCCCATCCGAACGACTAGACAGCTGTCCTTGTCAGGCCCTCCGTCCTGCATCACTGACAAGGGGAAACCACGCCGGAAAATCTGGATGAACTTTCTCGGCCAATGCAGGGATCAAACACCCGACCTCCAGACTAGCGAACCAACGTCTTACCCACTTAGCCACATGATCCCCATCAGGGAAATAAACATATTATTTGTTTGAAGGCAAGGGAGTGGGATTAGGAGGTTGAATGGGCTTTAGATCACACGGTCTAACATTGTGTAAAGCGTGGCTGCGATCCTAAGCTTGTACACGACATGGAGATGGGATACCTGTCAAGCCTCATGGGTTTTCTTCCTGTGCCCTGTTTTTGTTACTTGTTAGGGTCTTCGATGATGGTTTAAAAACGTCCATGTGACCTTAAAGTTACATGGGAATTTTGAACCGTCATCGTAGACTCGACTGTCTAATTAGTGAGAATTAGTGAGTATCCCGACCGATAGACGGAATGTAGGGTAGTGAGTGAACTTAGATCCCCCGATAGTTGTACAAACAATTCTCACTCTTAGTATTATATCTTGTGACAGAGAATCGGTTTCAAACAAGTTATTTTCCCTGAATTAGAAAATCGGATTCAAACCAGCTATTTGATTTACAGACATTATACTTTGTCATAGCCTTTATAGTATTTACTTTTGAAAGAGATTTTCTATGTTACAGGTGTCTGGGATGTATGCCTGTCGTCCATTAGCCTCGTTTCCTTTCTTTTTGCCTGCAAATCCGTCAAGTTGATCGCCAAAATTTAAATTGGTTTGCCCATTATTTATATGATTATATGATTTTATTGCAGACAAGAAAAAGAATTAATAAAAGCTTTAGAAACACCTGAAGAAAAGCGAGCAAGAAGAATGGCTAAAAAAGTAAGTGGATATATTTTATTTTTTCACCTGTTATTTAGACGGCCCAATAATATTCCAGAATAAGATGGAATGTACTCTTGTCATTGAGCAACTAATATACAATGGTTTTCTTTTGTAAAGGAGAGTTTTGCCCAGACTATTGCGTTTTCTGACTACCAGTACTCTTCAAAAATGTTCTTTTACTTGGAATGCCATGTAAACCGTTTACATGAAAGAACCTCATATTTCGCCCCATTTTGCAATGACACACCAAAACATTCCTCATCAGTCCTTCAGCCGGCTATCCATGACAAGTGGGAACCAGACTTAAAAATCCCTAGATAGATCATGGACCAACCATGGACTGATTCAAACTGTGACATTCTTTTGGAGAATCCAGTGATGTTACTGTTCAGGGGTGGTTGGATAGCCAATGGTTAGCGCGTGTGCTGTATCATAAGGGTTGTCATTGGTCGTCTGTCTAACCTCTTGGATTTCCTCCAGTTTCTTCCCACTGCTAAAGGCCCCTACACACAAGCGAATTATTGAAATAAATTTGAACCATGTGTTAGTCCTGAAATAACCTAGATTGTGTTGAGTGGACATTAAACCCCATTTCTCTCTCTCTCTCTCTCTCTCTCTCTCTCTCTCTCTCTGTTTGACTACCTCTTATTTCTGAATAAAAAGTAAATATAGGCAGTTGGAATTCAATATAAGAGTAGCTCGTAGTGCTATTGTCAAAGAAAAATTTCCTTCATAGCACACTGTATGGCATAAGCCAATCTTCATTAGTCCAGTCGGTGCAGAACAATAGGACAATAGGACGTTAATCCCCATTTCATTTAACTTTGACTTTCAGACTACACACAATAGAAAATAGTCTTATCAAAAGACATACTTGTCCAAAAATCAATCAGTTTTAATGTGTTATAAACTTATAGAATTGCCTTTTAAAGTTTACATTACGTTTGTGTTTTTAATTTTTTTTAATTTTGACCCCTGAAGAAATTTATAAATTTATTAAATGTGTTCAAGTTTGAAAGAAAGTCTGATTAATGAAAAGTTTTTATTTTTTTAGGAATTAAAAGAAAGAAAGAGGAAAGAAGAAATGGGTTGGGATAAAGATTATGTTGTAAGTAAAGACAAGATCATTTCACGATTATTAGATACGGTGCAGAGGAGATAACTACAATGACTTATTTACTTGTCACATGATATAATGTTTCTAACAAAATCTCGAGAAGAGAAATTAGATAGCATTCCACCTCATGTAGTCACTTTGATTTACCCCTTGACAAAGTTTATATTTTCCGACGTGGTTTCCTCTTGTCAGTGATGCAGGACGGAGCACCTGACAAGGCAAGCTGGCAAGGGATAACGTATAGTCGGCTGGATAGGAAGAAAAACTGAGGCCCCATTTACATATTGGCATGCACGTAATAAACCCGCTGGCAGCTTTAGGCCTTAGCACAGCTGTCTGGGCAAAATTACCCCCAGAATACACTGTATGGCATATGTCAGTCTTCATTAGCACAGCCGGAGCAGAACACCTTAAACCAGTGATGGGATTTCAAAAAAATTCTTGTCGGACATTTTCCCGAAAATAAAGGGGCATAACTCTTATCGTAATTTAAGCAGACGTTTTTAAAACACAATTAAGAATCACGTGTCAACAAAATATATTCAAATTCATATATAAAAAAAATAGGTGCACCTCGTTATATTTCATGTTTAAAACCCGTACGGCATTCAAATTTATGTCAATAATATTCCTACAAAATTAAATGACATCGTAATACTATAGAATGGCAGCGTGCCGACTGCTGCCGATCTGTTTCAAACTCCCCCAAAATTACCGTATTTTTCGGGTCATACGTCGGTACATTTTTCAGCCAAGTCCGACATTCGTCTGATACTCCGTTTCGATTTATATACGGAAGGTAAAAAAATGACATCCCGAAATTTATTTGGCCGTAAACCGTAGTTAACGACGCTCTAATACAACGAGCGAGTGACACCAACTGCTCAATAATTTCATTCGACTGTAGCACGCGCTATCGTCTAAAACAATTAACTACTTACGTCATTCCAATTGAAATATTCGTCAACATTTCTTAGCGTGTTTATTTATTGTCCCCCGCCTTTCGAAGAAAGCAGGGGACTATTAAAATGGGTTCGTCCGTCTGTCTGTCTGTCCGTCCGTCTGTCCGTCTGTCTGTCTGTCACACTTTTTGGGACACAATAACTCTCTTCCTAATTGAGCTAGAATGTTCAAACTTGGTGTATGTGTTTATTAGGTCAATGCCTTGATGGAGTTCGAAGATGAGCATTTTCCGCTTAGGGTAAGCAGAGATAAGCAATTTGATTGGTTGATGCTTTGGGACACGATAACTCTCTTCCTAATTGGGCTAGAATGTTCAAACTTGGTGTATGTGTTGATTAGGTCAATGCCTTGATGGAGTTCGACGATGAGCATTTTCCGCTTAGGGTAAGCAGAGATAAGCAATTTGATTGGTTGATGCTTTGGGACACGATAACTTTAGTTCTAATTAAGTGAGATTGATGAAACTTGGTGTATAGTTTCATTACAGTAATACCTTGACTAAGTTTGATAATGAGCATTTTCTGCTCAGGGTAAGCAGAGCGATACGCAATTTGATTGGTCGAGACTTTGGAAAACAATAACTCTCCTACTTTGATTGTCCCCCGCCTTTCGAAGAAAGCAGGGAACTATTAAAATGGGTTCGTCCGTCTGTCTGTTTGTCTGTCTGTCCGTTCCGCTTATTTGTGATAAATTTATATGTGTCCTCTAATTATTTTCCTATTTCGGCGGGGGACATCAGCCTCACTGTTGGCTTGTTTATTTAAAGACATAAACTCCCTTCAAAATATGATCATAAATCCGACAATATGCCATCAAAATAGAATCTTTTCCCGGACATCAGGCATATTGGATTCAGCACGTATACATCTTTTAATTTCACGTGTCTCGCGAGATTTGTACTTTCATTTTAATTACTGAACTATATAAGCGACATTTGCGTGTGTGTGAAATATCTTTATTTAATTCGGCTTCGCTACCACCGAAAATATATCACAGAGAATTTATCGGATACAATGTATGTTGATTTGAGGTGTTATATACTATCAGGATATGTGACATATTATATGACTAATTTCTACGTGTTATTGTCCGACACAAAGGAGATTAAAACGTGAAACAATGGTGAAATCACAGGTTAATCAGATTAAGTTTATAATCACTCTTATTGGATTGATATATCATCCGACAAAGGAGAAGCAATGACTTCTGTTCAGGATTGATTTGATGAATTGTCCGACAAAGGATTAAGTAAGCCAATCAAGGCAGAATAGTAGTTAATCAAGGTAGGTGTGTATAGACGATATAACACAATAAATAGTCAATCACTTAATTACCTAATCAATCCAGCCTATTATCAACGATAATCGGGTTGCACGGTAGTTATACACTCAGTACACTATATTAATTTTGGGATTTGAATATTATTCACCATGTCTTGATGTCCGATTGGGCATATTCCCGGTTGGACAATTTTGGGCGTTTCGAAAAAAGATTCGGACAAGTCCGGAATATACGGGTAAAATCCCATCACTGCCTTAAACCCCATTTCATTTCATTAACAAAGTTTATATAAGTTTATCAGGTCACTCATGATTTCCAAATTTGAAGCAATCCCTCTGAAAGGATTTTACAACCCTTATAAACTGTGTTGGAAATTACTTCGCAACTTTCAGACAAGGTAAAAACGCAATTTGTTCACAAGTTGACATGTGATACGTATAAATAAAAAAACTTGTGAAAACAGGGTCCTGTTTCACGAAATTTTAACTAAAGATAAAATCCAAATTTTAGTAGATACTTCAATTTTGATTGGCTAAGCACTACAATCAGTCTAATATTATCCAATCAAATTACTAAAATCTGGATTTTATCTTAGTTAAAATTTCGGAAACAGGCCCCAGAACACTAAAATTGACATATACTGTGATAAAAATGATAAAAATGAACAAGTTGTTAAGAAAATCTGCTAAAAATGGATTTATTTGAAAAAATCAAATGGATTTATTTGAAAAAATCAAATGGATTTATTTGAAAAAATCAAATGGATTTATTTGAAAAAATCAAATGGATTTATTTGAAAAAATCAAATGGATTTATTTGAAAAAATCAAATGGATTTATTTGAAAAAATCAAATGGATTTATTTGAAAAAATCAAAAGGATTTATTTAAAGACAACAGCACGTGTCCACCTTATTGCGAGTATATTCGATTATGATTGGGTACAAAAATGGGGTTTTTCTGTCTCTTAATGATATTCGTACACAGAACTATCATTCCGTTCATTTTTTACTGACAGTCTTTATTTTATTCTTATCTCTTAAATGTTGAGATCGGGTAACAAAATGGGGAATATGACTGCAGTAGGCCAGGGCCAGACTCTTTATATATGGCTCTGGACAATGATGCAGGACGGAGGGCCTGAAAAGCACAGCTGTGTAGTCTTTCAGATGGGACGAAAAACCAAGGTCCCGTTACACATTGGCATACACGTAAAAGATCCCTTGGCAGTTGGAATTCGATATAAGAGTAGGCCGTAGCGCCGGTGCCCGGGCAAAATTTCCCCCATAGCACACTGTATGGCGTATGCCCGTCTTCATTAGCCCAGTATAGGAGCAGAACAGTAGGACGTTAAACCCCATTTCATTTCATTTATTCTAATGATGATAATTATTTCTATCTAGGGTTATTCTATCGATTATAATTATTTCTGTCTAGGGTTATTCAAATGATTATAATTATTTCTATCTAGGGTTATTCAAATAATTATAATTATTCCTCTCGAGGGTTATTCTAAGGATTATTTTTCTCCATGGTTATTCTAATGATTATAATTATTTCTATCTAGGGTTATTATTCTAATGATTATAATTATTTCTATCCAGGGTTATTCTAATGATTATAATTATTTCTATCTAGGGTTATTCTAATGATTATAATTATTTCTATCTAGGGTTATTCAAATGATTATAATTATTTCTATCTAGGGTTACTCTAATGATTATAATTATTTCTATCTAGGGTTATTCTAACGATGATAATTATTTCTGTCTAGGGTTATTCTAATGATTATAATTTATTCTATCTAGGGTTATTATTCTAATGATTATAATTATTTCTATCTAGGGTTATTCAAATGATTATAATTATTTCTATCTAGGGTTATTCTAATGATTATAATTTATTCTAATGATTATAATTATTTCTATCTAGGGTTATTCTAATGATTATAATTATTTCTATCTCGGGTTATTCTAATGATTATAATTTATTCTAATGATTATAATTATTTCTATCTAGGGTTATTCTAATGATTATAATTATTTCTATCTAGGGTTATTCTAACGATGATAATTATTTCTATCCAGGGTTATTCTAATGATTATAATTTATTCTAATGATTATAATTATTTCTATCTAGGGTTATTCTAATGATTATAATTATTTCTATCTAGGGTTATTATTCTAATGATTATAATTATTTCTATCTAGGGTTATTCAAATGATTATAATTATTTCTATCTAGGGTTATTCTAATGATTATAATTATTTCTATCTCGGGTTATTCTAATGATTATAATTTATTCTAATGATTATAATTATTTCTATCTAGGGTTATTCTAATGATTATAATTATTTCTATCTAGGGTTATTATTCTAATGATTATAATTATTTCTATCTAGGGTTATTCAAATGAATATAATTATTTCTATCTCGGGTTATTCTAATGATTATAATTATTTCTATCTAGGGTTATTCAAATGATTATAATTCTAATGATTATAATTATTTCTATCTCGGGTTATTCTAATGATTATAATTTATTCTAATGATTATAATTATTTCTATCTAGGGTTATTCTAATGATTATAATTATTTCTATCCAGGGTTATTCTAATGATTATAATTATTTCTATCTAAGGTTATTCTAATGATTATAATTATTTCTATCTAGGGTTATTCTATCGATTATAATTATTTCTATCTAGGGTTATTCTAATGATTATAATTATTTCTATCTAGGGTTATTCAAATAATTATAATTATTCCTCTCTAGGGTTATTCTAAGGATTATAATTATTTTTCTCCATGGTTATTCTAATGATTATAATTATTTCTATCTAGGGTTATTCTAATGATTATAATTATTTCTATCTCGGGTTATTCTAATGATTATAATTATTTCTATCTCGGGTTATTCAAATGATTATAATTATTTCTATCAAGGGTTATTCTAATAATTATAATTATTTCTATCTAAGGTTATTATTCTAATGATTATAATTATTTCTATCTAGGGTTATTCTAACAATGATAATTATTTCTATCTAGGGTTATTCTAATGATGATAATTATTTATCTCCAGGGTTATTCTAATGATTATAATTATTTCTATCTAGGGTTATTCTAATGATTATAATTATTTCTATCTAGGGTTATTCTAATGATTATAATTATTCTAATGATTATAATTATTTCTATCTAGGGTTATTCTAACGATGATAATTATTTATCTCCAGGGTTATTCTAAAGCTGATAATTATTTATCTCCAGGGTTATTCTAAAGCTGATAATTATTTCTCTTCAGGGTTATTCTAATGCTGATAATCCATTTGGTGATGAACATTTAATGGATACGTTTGTGTGGAATAAAAAGTTAGATAAAGAAGGAAAAAAAGATATGAATGTCGTAGATTTACAACGACATAATAAAATCAAGATGGGAGAAAATAGAGTGAGTTATTTTTTTAATAATAAGTGCAGGAAAAATAATATAATGAGGGAAAACCGCACTACATGCAAAACAAAACCGATAAGACAAACCTGCAGACACAGACAAACTAAACAGTCCCCCTGGCATGTAATTATACAGGATTCCCAACCTTAGATTGGTTACGACCCCATTCCAGAAGCCATCTACTAATCGCAACCCTGTCAAGAACAAAGTCACAAGGTTGGACAGGCGGACCCTACTCCTTGTCACGTACAAAAAGGGAATAGAAACCACATTAGTTGACTCAATGACAGACCTTATGATACAGTGCGCACATGCTAACCATTCAACCATCCACCCCACCCCACTCCCCCCCCCCCATTAAATACAGAAATCCCACTAAAATAACACAACTATACAATACCTATTCATGACAAAACACAACACAGGGTATATATGGATATAACTACTTCTCTATTATTTAATAACAACGTTTTGTAACACATACAGGTCACGTTTTTCAAGTTAATGATAAATATCCCTTTCGTTCGTTCGTTTCTGGAGTTTTACGTCCACTTCCATCTAAGGTGATATCGTAGACAAGATAAATATCCGTTCGATCGTTTCTGGTGTTTTACGTCCACTTCCATCTAAGGTGATATCGTAGACAAGATAAATATCCATCTAGTCAGCCTATTTATACATATTAAAGCTTACACCAGCTTAATTACAAAAACCAAAAGAAACCATTAACATAATTAGCAGTACCTAATTAAACTAGCCATACATAATACAAACAGTAATAATGACCTAACTGACCCTTAGTAGGATCATAACAGGTAATCAGTACTAAAGATCAAAGATCATAGTGATAGGGTTTCACTATAAAAATATATAATGCAAACATTAATAATAGGGGGGTTGGGATGGCCTAGTGGTCTAGAGTGTCACGCTTCGACCTCTAGTTGGCCGGTCACCTCTGGCTTGCGGCTGTGGTTTCGATCCCAGGTGTGAGCGTATGTGGCTTGGAGATAGGGGCGCCTTCTCAACCTCGTGGGTTTACTCCGGGTACTCCGGTTTTCTCCCACAGCAAAGACCCCTGCGCGTGTGCTAAGATCATCAAAATGACCTTGTCTGCGATATCACCTTCGTTGGAAGCGGACGTTAAACGCTAAGAACAACAACAACATTAATAATAATCGCTCATTGTGTTGTGTTTTGTCATGAATAGTTAACCGTGTTTCTACATGTCATTTAAAGATTTTATACAATACCTGTGTGTTGTAGGTATATATAAAATACCTGTGTGTTGTAGGTATATATAAAATACCTGTGTGTTGTAGGTATATATACAATACCTGTGTGTTGTAGGTATATATACAATACCTGTGTGTTGTAGGTATATATAAAATACCTGTGTGTCAAAGGTATATATATATATATATGATAGACAGTAATACAGTCATCGATATTTATGAATGTTTTATAAAAGTCCAATATCACAATGAATTTTATTTGATTTTTTGTGATTTTAGAGAGAATTAGAGAAAGTGAAGAAAAGACGACAGGAACGTGAGAAACAGATGGAAGAACGAGATCAAGAACGAGTAAGAATCTTTACATTTCTACTGGAAGATAGTGACTTACCTTTACCTTTAATCGTGAAGGTCAAAAGTCACAGCTAATTAGGGAACAGTTACAGAGACTGTCGTCATCACTAATGTTCAAAATGTCTAATCAATTAACCTGTTTATTCTAACCATGGAGTTCGTCTAATCTACACTGGTTACAACGGTTGCATCTCGTTATAAATGTATTATATTAAATTCCAGGAACAGTTACAATCACTTTATTTTAACCTGTAAAATATGTTATTTCTATAAGTCTAAGAATAATTTACAGAGAGAGTGTTGCCGATTTCCTATTTTAACCTGTAAAATATATTATTTGTATAATTTTAGGAACAGTTACAGAGAGAGTGTTGCCAATTCTTCTATTTTAACCTATAAAATATATTATTTGTATAATTTTAGGAACAATTACAGAGAGAGAAAGAAGCTGAATATTATAGAACATGGGAGTTACAGGAAGATAGCGTATGTATTTAATTCTTACCTATAGTCAATAATTACTACGACCCACTTCTATTCAATAATTACCACCAACCTACTTCTAGTCAATAATTACTACGACCCACTTGTAGTCTATAATTACTACAACCTACTTGTAGTCAATAATTACCACGAACCCACTCCTATTCAATAATTACCACGCCCCTCGTGTAGTCTGTTCGGGACCCATTCCTATAGTTGATTAATTGTAAATTATTTTATTTTAGTTTCACTTGAATCAAGCCAAGATGAGATCACAGATTCGTATTCAAGATGGCAGAGGTAAATATTTAATATTTAATGATAAATACTCCACAATATCTTTAAATAATGATGATGATGATGATGATGATGATGATTAGGCATTTATAGAAAACCTGAAGTCAATATGTATAACTTTCCAAATGGCTGATACATTTTGTCAACAAATAGTGCATGCCATAGGCATTAACAATCTGACTAAAACACAGATCTTATTTCGTTTCGTTTTTTATAGTTCTAAATTTAATTTTACCTGTCTTCACTACACTAGGATCTGGGAGAGTTGTTATATAACAGGCGTTCTTGGCGTGCGATGCAGGGAACTGTGAATAAACCACTAGACACATCAACGCTGGTTGATTAATCAATGTCTGATAACATTGAGTCAAAAGGTGCTCGTATGACCTCTGACGCGACCTCCCACTACAACTGGTCAGATCTTCATGTAGTGTAGGCCATCGAAAGTATAAAAAAAAAACGAAACAAAATATAGATCTGTATTTTAATCAGATTGGGGAATCAACAAATAGCAGGTTTAACGGCAGTTTTAAAATCATCTGCCTCAATTCATCTATGGAGTGGGGGTGATTGGCCGAATGGTTAGTACGTTCGCGTTGTATCATAAGGTCTGTCATTGAGTCAACTGATCTGGTTTTGATTCCCCGGTTGTCTGTGACAAGGAGTAGGGTCCCCTGTCCTACCCCGCGGGTTTCTTCGGGTCCTTCGGTTTCCTCCCACTGCTAAAGACCCCTACGCACAATTGAATTATTGAAATAAAGTTGAACCATATGTTAGTCTCTCTCTCTCTCTCTCTCTCGCTCTCAGTCTCAATTCATCTATAGAATATTGCGCGAAAATAGCTTCTTTTACACAGAAGATGACTTATTTGGCCCAAAGACCCTCAACATGGGAGACTGCATGGTTTCCATAATTTGTATAACAATTTTGTTTGTATTATTTCAGCTAAACCTATAGATTTATTGGCCAAATATATTAGTGCTGAAGATGATAAACTGGCAATAGAGATGCATGAACCATATACATATCTTTATGTAAGTAATAAGTTTATGTAAGGGAGGTACACTGTCATGAACCATTTTGATGTAAGGGAGTGTAACTGTCATGAACCATTTTCATTTAAGGGAGTGTAACTGTCATGAACCATATGCAGTTTTATATACTATTCAAAAAAGTGCTGGCCAAGGTAATGTGGTGATGTTCTGTTGTTGGAGGTAACCTGTAACGATCCTGGCCCTGTGACATCTTGCGTTGTCATCCTGGAAGATGAAACGGCGGCCATGACGTCGTGCGAACGGCACAACATGGACTGCCAAGATGTTGTCCCGGTAGTACTGGCCTGTAACACGCCCTGCAACAACATGTAAAGCCGTTCTTCCAGCAACAGTGATGCCTCGCCGCACCATAACAGAACCACCCCCAAATCGATCATGTCTGATGACGTTAACGTCTTGGAAGCGCTCGTGTCGACGACGCCACACCCTCCTACGTCTGTCCAAAAAATCAACAGTGAACCTTGACTCATCTGAAAACATCACATTGCTCCAGCGTCGATTATCCCAGTGTTGACGATCCCTACACCAACGACGTCTTGCCTGAATGTGATGATCTCTCAAACAAGGGATCATGCGAGGACGTCGGGCGCGAAGGTGACCCCTATGCAGTCGATTCCGAATCGTCTGGCCACTCACTCTCACACCAGTGTCTGTTTGAAGACGAGCGCTGATCTGATTTGCTGTGATGACACGATTTCTCAAGGCCAAGGTACGGATAAATCGATCCTGGGCTTGAGTTGTCGCCCTTGGTCGACCTGAGCGTGGTCTGTCCTGTACAGATTGTGTATCACGTTATCTGGACCATAGCCTGCATATGACAGACTGAGAAACATTCATCGTCTGCGCCACAACCGCCTGTGTTGTGCCGATCTGTAGCATGCCAAGGGCACGTAACCTTTCATTTTGGGTAAGCCGACGCATATCAAAATTTGTTTTCTGGTCACTAAAACAATTAAACTGATGTTTCCACCCTGGAATTCAATGCCACAATGACTGTAACATTCAAAGTCAGAGTCGTGCAAATCTTGGGTTGGACCCCCATGATGATCCCAAGCATCACCTGCATTCCATGCGGTAGCTATTGGTGCGTTTGGGCGTCACATGTAACTGGAAATGTTTCTTCTGTTAGGTTCTATAGTGACTTTTTTCGTAGTCATTTGCATATTTTAGTATTATGCCCCCAAAATCAAATATCCCCTACTTTTTTTGAATAGTATATAAGTGTCATTCCAATAGTAGTTTCAAAACTTGCGAAAGGGTACCCCGATTTAAAAGGTCATGTCTCAGTCAATATTGTTACTAGAGTCATATAACTTTCTAGTTTTACAAGAGTTTAACTATAACATATATTCTTTTCATAATATTCTGAGGGGTTCATCTGACAACTTGACATTTGTCCACTTGACATGGAATAACAACCCATAAGGTACATGTAGGTAACCGTTGTAAACCATAATGCAGTTTGATGTAAGGGAGGTAACTGTCATGGACGGTCTGATATCACTATTTAAGTAATAAGTACAGGAGGACCACACTACACACAAACAAACCTGCATACCAGACACAAACTACAAGAAGTTAACAACAATATCGAATCAAGTAACATTTCTGTTGACTCTATGGCTGCAGTGGTCAATTGGTAGTTCGACCTCTTGACAAGAACAACCCTGGTTTCGATCCCGATATGAGAGAACCTTCAGAGTTTTTCAAGCATGTTTTATTTTGGTGTATTTTAGGGTCTGACGATTACAGATTTAGAAGATTTATTAGAAGATATTAAAGTTTATTTAGAATTAGAGCAGGGAAAGAATGCTGATTATTGGAGAGATATTATCACAGTGTCGCAGGATGAATTAAATAAATTACGAAAACTAGACACCACTAGTAGAGGTATGATTCCTGTCTGTCTGTAAACTAGACACTATTGATACCTTGTTCTATGCCATTAGGAGCAGAACAGTAGGATGTTAAACCCCATTTCATTTCATTTCATTTGGTCGAACCTTACGTTGGCCAAGAAAGTTCTACAGGATTTTCTGGAGTGGTTCCCCCTTGTCAGTGGTGCAGGACAGCGAGGGTCTTGCAAGGGACAAATTGTTCAGATTGGGCGAAAAATCGAGGCCCCGTGTACATATTATTGTGCATGTAAAAGATCATTTGGCATTTAGTATTCGATATAAAAGTAGGCCATAGCGCCACTATCCAAACAAAATGACTGTATGGCGTATGCACCTGTCTTCATTACCCCAGTTGGACCTCCATTTCTTAGCCAATAGAAAGGCTGAATCCATAAACAATTGCAATTAAAGTTTTCATGAATACAGTCCCTGGCCAATCTGATTAAATTACAGATCTTTGTTTTTTTATACTTTCGTTGGCCTACACTACATGAAGATCAGACCAGTTGTACTGGGAAGTCACGTCAGGGGTAGTACGAGCGGCTTTTGACCCAATGATGTCAGGCATTGATTAATCAATGAGCGTTGACATTTCTAGTGGTTTACTCACAGTTCCATGCATCGCATGCCAAGAAGTCGCCATAACAGACGGTTTCGTTGGCTAATCTCTCACGCAATCCAGATCTTATATAACCACTCTTCCAGATCCTAGTGTAGTACAGACAAATAAAACAAAATTTTGAACTTTAAAAAACGAAACGAAATAGGATCTGTGTTTTAATCAGATTGAGACCCTGGCTTTACTCACTTATACCTACATATTTTGGGTGCTTTTTGTAATTTTAGAATATTTCGGTGATCGGCGTGATGGGATAAATCAAGCGGTAACTACGGAAGTAGCAGACGTATTTAAAGGTAAATCAACCAATCAGCTGAAACTATTGGAAACACAGATAAAAAGTAAACTAGAAGGAGGAGAAGGGATTGATATTGGTGAGTTATGATTGGATGATTCATTATACGTCCCGCAATTCACATTGCAGATGTTCAACTGTTAGTCCAGAACGTTTCGAATTGACAAAATTACAATCACAACAAACAGAATTCAGTCCTGTCATAGTTCTATTTGTCCCGAAAACATATACCATACTCTTTTTTAATTGACAACTGTTGGGGGCAGGGATCTAAATCGGCTGTTTTTTGTCGGCTTTAGCCGATTGATCTTTAATCTAGCCGATTGGTAAAACAATGAACCGGCCACTAAGGTGTCACTAATCAATCTACTTTCGGCCGATTTACAAAGAATTAATTATCAGGCCGATTCTTAAAACATTGAACCGGCCACTATGGTATCATAAATCAATCTACTTTCGGCCGATTACAAAGAGTTAATTATTACTCGTCGATTAAGAAACCCATCAAAGAGTCAATCATTACAATGAATACCTTCGGCTTATTTCATAAATAAACAACTTAATTGAGGTAATCATGCCAAGCACTTGAACACCTCGCAGAATGACACCAGGAAACGTAAACGAGATTTAACTGAAGATAGAGATGGCGGCGTTGACCTTGAACTTCAAGCATGCACGTCGTCAATGGAAATTCCAAAAGCCGGAGATCCTCCCACGTGCAATATAGGTCAACCAAATTATCGGCAATAAAATACCATATTAATCTGACGATCATACCTACGTAGCAAAGAAAGACGATGGCAGAACAAAGAGTTTAATTCCTAAAATTATTTCAAACCGGGCGTTAATCCGAAATGCGTATTTCATAGCAAAAAGAAACATTGCCATCGAAAATTATGATTATGAACAATAATTGAACGATTTGACAGAACGGGACATGAAATGACAAAAAAATTATATCGTGATTTTAATTATTGTGGTGAATTTATTTCTTTAATATTCAGTGAAATTGAGGAAGAGATCTTCTCAGATATCCGAACGAGTCCTGCTGCGTATACTGGTAACACTCAAAATAAACTAACCTGAATCACGACAATTGGCCACGTGACCTTTTGTACGTACAGCATATTTCCGAGTTCCGACTACACGGAAACTGATTTTTGCGACTTTGTTATTGATATACTTTTTGTCCCCCGCCTTTCGAAGAAAGCAGGGGACTATTAAAATGGGTTCGTCCGTCTGTCTGTCTGTCCGTCTGTCTGTCCGTCTGTCTGTCCGTCCGTCTGTCTGTCCGTCACACTTTTTGGGACACAATAACTCTCTTCCTAATTGAGCTAGAATGTTCAAACTTGGTGTATGTGTTTATTAGGTCAATGCCTTGATGGAGTTCGAAGATGAGCATTTTCCGCTTAGGGTAAGCAGAGATAAGCAATTTGATTGGTTGATGCTTTGGGACACGATAACTCTCTTCCTAATTGGGCTAGAATGTTCAAACTTGGTGTATGTGTTGATTAGGTCAATGCCTTGATGGAGTTCGAAGATGAGCATTTTCCGCTTAGGGTAAGCAGAGATAAGCAATTTGATTGGTTGATGCTTTGGGACACGATAACTTTAGTTCTAATTAAGTGAGATTGATGAAACTTGGTGTATCGATTTATTATATGAATACCTTAACTAAGTTCGATAATGAACATTTTTTGCTGAGGGTAAGCAGAGTGATAAGCAATTTGATTGGTAGAAACTTTGGAACACAATAACTCTCCTTCTAATTGAGGTAGAATGTTCAAACTTGGCATAGGTGTCTATTAGGTGAATGTTTAAACTTGATGTATATGTAGATGTTCATTAGGTGAATGTCTTGACTGAGTTCAATAATTAACATTTCGAGCTGAAGCTAAGCAGAGCTAATCGATTTCATTTGTCGATGGTTTGGGACAAGATAATCTTGATTCTATCTGATAGAGAGTGATGAAACTTAGTGAAAAAAATAAATGTGCGATTAATTAATATGTGTCATCTATTTATTTTGCAATTTCGGCGGGGGACATCAGCCTCACTGTTGGCTTGTTTATTTTTATATATATTAACATGTGCTTACGAATAATATAATTTAAAAAAAAAACATTTGTATGTACTTGTAGTTTTTACTAATTTATAACTTCCGTTTAGTTGGATGAAAGCAAAAGTAGGAATATGCAATGCTAGTTGCTGAAATAATAATGACTATAAATGTCGATATTATAGCGATGTATGGATACAAGTATGCAATTATAAAGGTCCTGTTTATTCAGAGTTTCAGCTATTATTATCCCGAATACGTTATGCAATTAGTGAATTATGCAATTACTGTCGTGAATAGAGTATGAATAAACCAACATGTTTGTTGTTGAAAAGACGACTATTCGTTAGGCCTACCCGTGGCCAGTTCATTTCAAAATGGATTAAGAACCCTGGTTGGGGGATCTAATAATGTCCACAACATATCGGTTGTATATATATAGTATATATTGTACATTCCCATCCATCTCATTATATATGTATTTACACTTATATATGTATGTGTTTGTCATTTTAACTGTGTATATATACACCCATTTTGTTCCTTTGTTTTAATACTATGTATGTATATATTATCTAGGGAGAGGGGTTTTACATAGGTTAAGCCTGTTCCCCAATCCCATTCAGACATCCTGAATAAAAATATTGTTTTAAAAAAAAAAGTTTTCTATCCCATCCGAATGACAAGACATCCAATTGAAAGAAATCAGTATACTTTTGGCTGATTTATGTGTAACTATGGAATTATTTATTGTAGGATACTGGGAGTCGTTATTACAACAATTAAAAGCTCACATGGCCAGAACGAGGCTGCGTGAACGACATCAAGATGTATTACGACAAAAACTGCACGAATTAAAGAGAGAGGTTTGTGGGAAGATTTTATTTTTATTTCCGCATGTATCGAAAATAGAATTTAATTAAAAATGCTTAGATTTATTTTGCTAATGAAAGCAAAAATTATTCAAAATTAGTACTGTCTGGCATCTATTTATCTTATATTACAGCAAGGTATAGAACCTACTCCATTATTTCCTGTTAAAACTGAAGATGGTGAAAATAACATATCGACATCTAGCCCAGGCGACACCACCACTAGTAGAACTATAGATCAAGTTGACATTAAACAGGAAGAACAGCCATCGACGTCTGGTACAACTGAGGCACAACAGACTGAAGAAGGAAAAGATAACTCTGATGATGATGATGAGTATGTTTCACGTTTAAAATTCTAATATTAAATGTCCCTTGATTAAAATACAAATCTATAAATTGTTTCGTTTTATATACTTCTGATGGCCTCTACTACATGAAGATCTGACCAGTTGTAGTGGGATGTCGCGTCAGGGGTCATACGAGCGACCTTTGACTCTGTGACGTCAGACAGTTGATTAATTCAGCATTGATGTTTCTAGTCTGATACCTAAAGTTCTGTGAATCACATGCCAAGAACTCCCTGCAACAGACGGTTTCATTGGCTAATCCCTCATATCAATGAGAACGCGGGTTATATAATAACTCTTCCAGGTCCTACTGTAGTAAAGACAAGTAAAGGGAAATTTTGAACTATAAAAATGAAACAAAATAGGATCTGTGTTTTAATCAGATTGTAAAACCGAGTTCCTGAGTACACATTAGGGTGCACATAAAAGTAACCATGACAGTTGGAATTCAATCTAAGAGCAAAATTTCCCTCATTGTAGCAAACTGTATGGCGTATGACCGTCTTCATTAGCCCAGTAGGAGCAGAACAATAGTATCTTAAACCACATTTCATTTCATTTTCATTTCTGTAATAACAAGCCAACTGTAGCTCATGTCCAAGGACAGCTGTCTAGTCATTCGGATGGGACAAAAAACCAAGGCACTGTGTACACATTGGGGTGCACGTAAAAGGTCCCTTGACAATTGGATTACAATATAAGAGTAGGCCTTAGCGTTGCTGTCTGGGAAAAATTTCCCATGTAGCACACTGTATGGCGTTATGCCCGTCGTCATTAGCCCAGTTTAGGGGTATGCCCGTCTTCATTAGCCCAGTTTAGGGGTATGCCCGTCTTCATTAGCCCAGTTTAGGGGTATGCCCGTCGGCATTAGCCCAGTTTAGGGGTATGCCCTTCTTCATTAGCCCAGTTTAGGGGTATGCCCGTCTTCATTAGCCCAGTTTAGGGGTATGCCCGTCTTCATTAGCCCAGTTTAGGGGTATGCCCGTCGTCATTAGCCCAGTCAGAGCAGAACAATAGGATGTTAAACCCCATTTCATTTTATTTCTAATATTAGATGAATAAAACCAGATGAAATGGCATTTAATTAATGACATATTTTTTCTGGACCAACTGGGTGATGGGAACAGGCATATGTCATGCAGTGGTTATAGGGAACATTTTGCCTGGATAGCGCCATTCACACCCACTTTTTGTCATCAGTTGCATTGAGTGTGCATACACAAGATCTATAAATATATTTCATTTTATATTTTAGTAGTTCAGAGGAAGAGATAATAACAGAAGCTGATATTGAACAAGGTTTTATTGATGAGTACGAAGCAGGAGGATATTCACCGAAACTAATGCAACCGTCGAACCTCGATATTGATGCCGTTGTTTATGATCCCGTTGATGACCTCAAGAAACTGGAGCTAGCCAGAAGTCAAGTACAAAGTACTGGTCGAGTCAGGGTACGTTTCAAAACATTGATTGAGTCAGGGTACGTTTCAAAACATTGTTTGAGTCAGGGTACGTTTCAAAACATTGGTTGAGTCAGGGTACGTTTCAAAACATTGATTGAGTCAGGGTACGTTTCACAGGGTTCCTGCGGTCCTTGAAAATCCTTGAATATCCTTAAATTTAAAATTTCATTTTCAAGGTCTTGAATATCCTTGAATTTCGCGGAAATAGGAAAATATCCTTGAATTTCAGTTGAGATCCTTAATTTTGTTTCAAATGTCTTCAATTCCTTTTAAATATGAGATTATAACGATAGTTGGTAATGTTTTGGTTATTTTTAAGATGAAAAATTGTAACTTTAGACTAAAAAATGTCGTTGAAAATCCTTGAATTTGATGTATATTTATCCTTGAATATCCTTGAAAAAATGTTTGACGAAGCCGCGGGAACCCTGTTTCAGAACATTGATTGAGTCAGGGTACATTTCAAAACATTGGTTGAGTCAGGGTACGTTTCAAAACATTGACTGTCAGACACAAATAGTAGTCTTCAACACAATATTCTGTCATCTTGGATGTTAAATTGAGATTAAATTATTTTGTTCTGTTACTATTTAATAATTGTATGCGCACATTCCATTGACGTATGCTCATGATACAATTGTCAATTTTCTACCTTTGCATATGCTGGAAAAACTTAATAAAATGAAGCAAATAGATATTTAATTATGACTTGGATGATTCTAAGATCTTTTATTGATTTCTTTACACTGTAACCCTGGTATCATTTAATCTTGTGTATCTAGCAATAATTTTTTTCACATGTGCATTTCTGAAGTGCCAAAAAGTGTTCGCAGCAATTAGCTTATCTACATAGAGATTTTTGATAAATAGGAAAATGTTTCTTTTATCTCCCTTTTTTATATTTAACAGCTTGACGGAGAAACAGAGTTTGAGAAGAAAGCAAGGGAAGGCATGAATGATGATGAAGCCACGTTTAGTGTAGAAGTAGCCTTGGATAGCCAGGCTTTTCTATGGTCTGATAAATACCGTCCTCGTAAACCCCGATTTTTTAACAGAGTTCACACGGTAAGTAGCCTACAACTATGTAACAAATGATGAGAACTGAACAGAGGAGCTGTGGGTATTACACATTGTCAACAACTTAGAGTCTGGACGTGATGAACGATATCACTCAGGGCTGGCCACGAATAAATTGATGGCGAGCAGATGACTGCTCACGCAAATTTAGGTTTGGGCGAGCAAGGCAAGCAATAAACATTCTTTACTTTAGACTCGATTATCACGTGTTTGTTACTGGTGTTCGTAGGAAAACCAGTCATGACGTTCAGGTCTAAAGTGTATTTTTAGTAACACAAGTTGCGAGTAACTTTATTAGCCAATCAAATTTCAGGAGGAAATGCCGCGTGCAGCTGGGTGAATCTCAGTTTGACAGACGAATTTATGACGTTATTGACATTGTTGGGTTAGTTTCGGCAATAAACTTGTCAATATTTTGATTATTTTTACAGGGTTTTCTTAAAATTTTGCGCGAGCAATGAACCGCTCGCGTAAATGTAGATTTACGCGAGCACAGCGCGAGCGCGAGCAACTGCTCGCGTCTGTGGCAAGCCCTGTCACTGTTGGTCGAGTGTACAAATCTGCAATTAATAAAGAAATTTGATTTCATTAATTGTTTCAATTATGACCATTGTAAAAATATAATTTTAAAACTATTACTACATGTTGATTATTAAACAAAATGGGGGTGGAATTGATGAAACCTGGGAATGCATCAGAAGTTCTCTGGGAGTCAGTGGTGCAGGGCGGAGGGCCTGACAAGGACAGTTGTCGTGTCGTTCGAATGGGACAAAAAAGACGAGGTCACATGTATACATTGGTGTGCACGTAAAAGATCCCTTGGCAGTTGGAATTTGATATAAGAGTAGGCCATAGTGCCACTGCCCAGGCAAAATTTTCCTCATAGTACACTGTATGGCATATACCTGTCTTCGTTACAATATGTCCGATTACGCAGAGTGTTTTTATTTCATTTAGCATGCGTAGGCATTTTGAATAGGTCAAGTCTGTCGTTAATTTATCTTCTTCATTGTCTCTGTCTCCAGTTGATTGCAAACTTGTCTTTGCTGTCACGTGTTCATTGATAATCTGTCATTCTGTGTCCAGGTCGTCGTCACACTCGGTCAGAATTCCATTGTCAAAATTGATCAAATCGTCTTCTGTTGCATTTGTTTCGGACACCATCTGTAGCAAGTCGGATATTGTCCTCTTGGTCGTTGACGCCTCATTTGACGGTTTGAGCCAATCAGAATAAATATTACTTGTCATCCAAGCCTTACGATTGGTCGACCAATTGACTGGCAGGTTGTTCTTGTCCACGTCTTTAAAACATCGAGGATTCTCCACTTTACCGATTATAAAATTATCAAAGTAATCAACAAAGATCTACGCGAGCGAGTTTTAATCTTACTGAAAATTGATTGGTAATTGCTTGTTAATCTTTTGTGGCTTCACACCCACCGATTGAAGGCCGGATTAAACAATGTTGATTCAATGAAAATTGTGTGATGGGACGGCTGATTGATGTCGTTATTCGGAATATTCAGAGTCTGGATTACTCAAAGATTTTTTGGTTGAAGTAATAAAGAAATAAATTGGGACAAAATGAAATGAAATGAAATGGGGTTTAACGTCCTACTATTCTGCTCCTATACTGGGCTAATGAAGACGGGCATACGCCACACAGTGTGCTATGAGGGAAATTTTGCCCGGGCAGCGGCACTATCGCCTACTCTCATATATTATTCCAACTGCCAAGGGATCTTTTACGTGCATTCCAATGTATACACGGGACCTCGGTTTTCCGTCTCATCCGAAGGACTAGACAGCTGTCCTTGTCAGGCCCTCCGTTCTGCACCACTGACAAGGGGAAACCACGTCGGAAAATCCGAATGAACTTTCTCGGCCAATGCAGGGATCGAACACCCAACCTCCAGGCTAGCGAGCCTGTGTCTTAACCACCTAGCCACCGTGGCTCCAATATATTGGGACATGAAAAAGATGTCGGATTTCACAGAATGTCATAGTATTCAAATGTCGGATGTGACAGAGTCCACTGCAACATTATTTTGGAGACTCAGTGAAATGTGTGATTTCTGCTGAATGTGAACAAGACAGTTTATATTATTATGTTTGTATAATTTCAGGGTTTTGAATGGAATAAATACAATCAAACACATTATGATATAGATAATCCACCACCAAAAATTGTTCAAGGATATAAATTTAATGTAAGTTAATCTACTGTCATTCTCTTAGAATAGTCAATTCAGTACTATTTACCAAGCCCAGCTTATATAAGATCACTGACAAAGTCTACTACATCAGCTATAAGGGGGGAGGGGAAGGTACCCGAAAAAAAAAAATTTCTTTAAATTCCTAACTACTTGTACCATTTTAAATTCAATAACTTTAAAATTTAAGGGAACATTTTTCAGGTAGCTTCACCCCAACTATGAGTGATGTATAATTTAAAACTGCTGAATTTTTCCATATTTTTTCTTAAAACTTGCTTTTCACATTTCCAATAACTGTATAATTTTGATGTATTGTAGATATTTTATCCTGATTTAATAGAAAAATCGAAAACACCAGAATATACAGTGGTAAGTTCTGCTTGAGTGGTTGGGTGGTCAAATGGTTGAACAAGTGTGTGTTATATCATAAGGTCTTTCATTGAGTCAAGTGGTGTAGTTTTGATTCCCAGCTTGTACATGATAATGAGTTGGGTCGCTGCACTAACTCATAGGTTCACTCCGGTTTCATCCCACAGCTAAAGACCCCTACGTGCAAACAAATTATTAAAATAAATAGAGGATATTTGTCGTTTTAGAGTGAATAACATATATTATTTCATCGAGAAGCAAGAAAACTTATATTTTCACGAATGCGTAGCATGAGTGAAAATATAAACGTTTTCTTGCTTAGAGATGAAATAAAATATGTTATTCACGACAAAACCACAAATGTTCTATTTATTTTATGATTTTACAATCATTTTAGGTAAAAACAACATGGACTTCTTTAGCCAGTGGAATAACACTTTTATTTCACTGATAAAATGCGGTATTCCACTACTGATCATAAAATAAAATTGTACATATGTTAATCCTAAACTGACATAGTTTGTATCACTACAGCGCAGTGGATGCTTAGGACTAGCCCCTGGATCCATTCACTTAATTTGATATGTTCGTTTGTTTGTGATTTCTGCGCATTGTGTCTTGTCCGTAGATTTGTTTAGTGTAATTATGTGTGGTGCAGTTCGCCTGCACTTACTATAAGAGTCATATCCATTGTTATTTTCTTGTCTTTACTGACCTACAACTAAACACATTTATTGCATTGAAGGCCCTGTGCAATTCGATGAAGCATGGGTATATTTTGACACCCTTCTTTGCCAGCAATCTGCGAAACCATGCCAAAATTATTGTTCTGGATACACGGTAACCCAGATATCATTTAATCTTGTGTGTCTAGCACTAATATCTCTCACATTCATTCCATATCAAATCTTTGTTTATAAACAATTTAATTTCTTGATTATTGTTAAAATATAAACAACCCAATTGATTAATGATGTATAATGATTAATTTTTGAACAGTGGTCAGGAATTAAATACTTGTAAATTGGACACTCATTATCAAAAATTTAATGATCAGCTTTAAACTGCACACAAATCAAGTACAAATTAGATGATTTTGGGTTGTTTTAACTGTGAGAAAAATTAGTGCTAGATACACAAGATTAAATGATACCCAAGTTACAGTGATACATATGAAATTAATATTTTAAAAGTTATTAAAATGTATTTTCAGACCCCATGTGAGAATGAGAAAGATTTTGCTATTTTAAGATTTCGTGCCAGTGCTCCATATGAGGTAGGTTTTGTTATTAGTTTATTACTGGACTTGATTCCTTCAAATTTTTCATGTTCAGTTTCATGGCTCACTTGTACTTCTTGGTTGACTTTAGGCGTGAAATCTGCAATTTATGAAATCTAACCAGGCTAGTAGTCTCCCCTTTCATCCGCCTTCTCCATTTTATGAATTGTAATTCATAATAAAACTTAAAGAGGCATTATGGGAGATAAGATAAAGAGCTGACAGTTCTCGCTATAATAGTTAAAAATTGGATAATGTAAAGGGAATATGCTGAAAATTTCAGTCAAATTGCTCCACAATGAACTAAGATATGAGCGTTTGAATTTAGGCCTAGCCTCGATCATCATTACTAAAGTCAGTACGTTAAAAATCATAGTCTCGATTATCCATTTTGACATTAAATCATCAATCACAAAATGTATTTAAATCCAGTAAATATCGCAGGCTAGCCATGGCATCGAGAGTTGATTAATGTCTAATTAATAATTTAGATAACATTTCAGGCTTAAGAAAGACCTACAATAGGCAGATTAGCTCTTGCATAATGTATGTTTAACCGAAAATCAAATAAGTCTATGTGTTTATTTTAACTCAAGTCTATATGTTTATTTCAGGATATAGCTTTTAAAGTGGTAAACAGAGAATGGGAATATTCATACAAACGTGGATTTCGCTGTCAGTTCACCAATAATATCTTCCAACTCTGGTTTCATTTTAAACGATTTCGTTACAGAAGATAGACTGGATATTCAAGATAGACAGTTTAATATTATAGTTGTATTGACAATGACAATGGGGCTGGATATTCAAGAAGGTATTCCAAAATAAGGAAGTTGAATAAATTACAATATAGAAGGAGGAGGAAGAAGAATATTAAAATATGTACGAGTAAACAAAAAAGAAGGTTATTCCTAAATAACGCGATATTGACAATACCGTTAAGGCTGGATATATTCAAGTCGTTATTTCTATATAAGGAAGTTGAATAAAATTACAGTGTAAATAGAGACGGAGAAGAATACTTGTTCAAGTAACAAGAACGTAATTACACGAGGAAATCAAGATAAGATTAATATGAATAAGACCCTGTGTACAACTGGGTCAGGGCTCATATTTTAACAGGTCTGACAGTTAAACATTCCAGCTTGTCATATGCTCTAAATTTAATTCTGGTTTAAATATATGAAATGACATAAAATGGAGTTTAAAGCAAGCCTGGAAATAACGGTTTTAGATGTACCCGACAAAATGTCCGGCACTAATGAAATAGTACCCGACATTTTCAACTTAGTGTCGGACATGTATTAATAATATCAATAAAAAAGACAAATCATTGCTGAAAAAATGACAGGCACCAGCGGTTTTGTGCCTGACAAACCCTGAATCTGTGCCCGACATTGTCTGTGACAGGTGCCTTATTTCCAGGCTTGGTTTAAAGATACTTTCTCAGAAACGTATTTATCAGGTGGTTATTTCTAAAAAAAAAATGTATGGCAATTTTGGTATATATGGAATGTAGAAATATCCAATCTTACTAGAAAAATATTGGATTCCCTTAAAAACACTCATGGGATACATACAGGACAAAAATGTAAGGGTTTCCGTAATCGACAGCCCGACGATTACATGAAGGAATGTCTGCTTGCGTCATGTCAAAGGTAGCACGCGAAGATTGAGCGCTTGATGTATATGGTGATAAACTTTATGAAGAGTTAGACATACAACACTTTCTGAGATAAAAACCATGAAAAAAGACGTGGGCAGTGGATAATCTGAGAATTTAATTAGGCTTCTACATTTATGATTTATGGATAGCGATTAAAGACAACATCGTCTTGTGTATGCAATAAATTCTCCTCTGGCTTCGCACCCAATTCTAGGTAGTGCGTCAGCTAAGTCACGTGTCACAAACATGACTTCTTTTAATAGATTTTTTATAGTAGGGGTATTCCCTCACGAAAACAGTGTTTTGAGAAGGATTTGAATATGTTTTTAGTCCAAATACATCATCAAATCACTGAGTTTGTACACAGGAACGTATCTTTAACATCCTCCTGTTCTGCTTCGACTGGGCTAATGAAGACAAGCATACGCCATACAGTGTACTATGAGGGATATATGGATGAAACCTACATTCAATCCACGTTTCAGTGAAATATAAAGGAAATTAAAGTTAATATTTCTGTCTTGTTTGTTTTTTTAGTCAGTCATATAAGTAAAGAGAATAATATGATGTATAAATGTAAATATTGATGAACATCTGTATATATAATCTATAAATAAACATCTACATCCATCTTGAATTTCTCATCTTGTCGCTTTCATTTTAGTCTGGTTTAACCAGACTAACAAGATGGACTACGTAGATTACCTATCCCGAGTCTCGTTTCACAAGAAATCCCAACTAGGACTTGTGAAAAAGTACATCAAATATTTTGCTATAAGAAATCTATCAAATGACAAACAAGTAACCATTACACATTGTAAAAGTAACTGGGGAGGGAAACGACCAGCCAACCTTTAACTATAAATTATTAGGAAGGGAAACAGCACAGCTAATCTTTAATTGTAAATAATCAGGGAGGGAAACAGCACAGCTAATCTTTACACATTGTAAGTAATTGAGGAGGGAAACGACACAGCTAACCTTTACACATTGTAGGTAATTGGGGAGGGAAACGACACAGCTAACCTTTACACATTGTAAGTAATTGGGGAGGGAGACAGCACACCTAACCTATACACATTGTAAGTAATTGGGAGGGAAAAGGCACAGCTAACCAATACACAATCAACAATTTAAACCTAAAAAACATAACACAACAAAACTTTTAAGTTTCCAAATAATTTTTGCATTGATCACATTAACTGGTAGAGAAATTAGGCTTCATACAAGCTTTCACACTGTATTACCAAGTTTAATAATGGGACTGGATTATAGGGAAACAAGTCTTGATCGACTAGTCTTTCTATCTTCATTCTTACACGAATAAACATACCCATAACCCGTTCTAAACACAACATATCACATGCTCTTGCTGTCCAATCAGTTTCACTGTTACACGCAAGTTCAGAAATATTTGGATTAACGTCACTTTTATTAACACTTTCATGTCTATTCGAAGAATTTTTATTGTTACTTCCCAACTTCTTGCTCCCGGCAGATATTTTAAAATCTGAATATTGTCTTTTCTCAATATGTAAGGAATTATTATCACAGTCTATGTTTTGGTCATCATCATCATCATCACTACCACCACCACCACCACCATCAACATCATCAACACCACCACCACCACCACCATCATCATCATCATCATCATCATCATCATCATCATCATCATCATCATCATCATATGACATGATAGCAGCCAATCCACTCGTTACTTGTCTGATATTATCATCATGGACGTTGAATTTAGTGATCTCGTTAATACTGTTCACTCTTTCATTACTTTGACTTATATTCTGAATACCTAGTAAATGTTTGCCTTCCCGAGTCATATCATTTTCTTCAATTTCTAAATTAGTACAAGTTTCTGCGACATTTTCAACAGAATTTTGCGTCACAGAATCGGTTTCCATTTCACACAATTCATTCATCGCATTATCGGCCGTTACAACGACACAATCTTTGTTACAAGCATCTGTGACATTTTGAACGGAATTTGGCCTTACAGAATCAATTTCCATTTCACACGATTCATTTGCCACATTATCGGCCATTAAACCATTTGTTGTTTTTCTACCATCTACAACAGACACTTCAACATAATTTTCAGACATTTCTTTAGGTGTCACCAGACATGATTTCTCTGATTTTGATTCTGATTCTTCAACAAACACCATTTTTTCTTTTTTACAATCCTTTCCATATTTGGAATGAACAGCAGCAACAAACTGTGACCAATCACCGACAATAGTTCTTAAAAAACGGAAGAAATAGAGCAGAAAACATGTTTCAGGGGAGACAAGCCAGTCAATAACAACGCTATGATCGTAATTTGTCGTTTCTAACAATTGTAAAAACGGAGGATATGGATCAATGCTCTTCAAAACTCGCAATTCTGGATTTCTGAAATAAACAATATAGTTTACAAGTGAAAGATAAGCCAATGAAATGGTTTGTTACAGCGAGTTGTTGGCGTTTGATGCACGGAACTGTGGGTAAACCACTAGAAATGTCAACCTTGATAGATTAATCATTGTATTACATCTTAGGGTCAGAAGCTGCTAGTATGACCCCTGACACAACCTTCCAGTACAGCCAGTCAGATCTTCATGTACTGTAGGCTGTCGAAAGTATAAACAACAGCATCGCTAACGCTGCAATATACGCCACATTCTTACTTTGATTGATATGGTACTTTTTAATATGAAGAGAATGAAATATGAAATGGCTGTAATATGACAAGAGGCAAAGAAGGCTAGGCATTGGGTTTGTTTTGCCAAATTTACAGACAAAATATTAACAAAAAAAGTGGGTGTGACACTGCCCCAGGGGGTCGGGGCATGCACGTGGACGTATAAAAAACCAAACGAAATATAGATCTGTAGTTTAACGAGATTGCAACTACCTGTGGCAGGTAGGGCACAAACTCTGGGAACCACTGACAGGTACTGGGAGTATTGCATTTGTTTAGACAGGGGTGCAATTTCAGTGGTTGCCATGCCAATATAGGCACAGGGGGTTGGGTTGCCAAATGGTTGGCGTGTGCGCGCTGTATCATAAGGTCTGTCATTGAGTAAACTGGTGTGGTTTCAATTCCCTGATTGTACATGACAAGGATTAGGGTCACCTGTCCAACCTCATGGATTTTCTCCCACTGCTAAAGACCCTACGCACAAGCGAATTATTGAAATAAAATTGAACCATGTTAGTCCCAAAATGACCTAGTTTGTGTCGAGTAGACGTTAAAATCCATTCTTTTCTCTATCTCTCCATATATTCCAAAGAAATGATACTAGTGGCTATAAGATCATAAAACATACCTTTTATATAAGGAGATATTTAAATCTAATAAACAAAGTAAACATTCGATATACGCATCATCCTGGTCTTCTAATACTAGAGGGAGCCATTGTAGTGATATATCATCATCTGATAGCGACATCAACTGACCAATACTCTTTATACAATTCTCTAAACAAATAACAACATCATCTGTAAAATAAACAAACAATCAACAACATCTGTAAAATAAACAATATCTGTAAAATAAACAACCAAACAGTAAAATCTGTAAAATAAACAACATCTGCAAAATCATACTCCTCGCAGTGTTTGGTTTGATTAGACCTAATCCCACTCAAGCACTGCCTTAATGAAAGCAAATTTCTGTTCCAAATTATGACTGGTCGATAGTCCGATTAACAACCAATGCCTAACTGCGTAACAATATCATTCGGGTTTAAACAGAGCTCGACATTGTTTACATAACATTACATCATGACTCACAAAATATTTACGCACGATAGTGTGACAAACGATGCTATCAAGGGTTACAATGTAAACAATACTGTTTGGAGACAAACAATGTACTTCCACCATTTTTAATACCTTAAATCACTGTCCAAAGTGTCAGGGAAGACCTCAGATTAAACGAGGGGTTGTCATGTTGCTGTACTTGGGATAGATTTGATTGAATGGGAAGAATAGACACACTCCCTTACTGTACGGCGTATTCCTGTCTTAATTAACCCAGTTGGTACAGAAAAGTAGGACATTAAACCCCATTTCATTTTCTTTCTTCAAACCATGATCTGAGTCACGGAATCACTTTAAACTACTGTATGTACATGTATACGGCTATTTCTAGCTTGAAACCATCTACAGAGAGGGAGAGAAATGGGGTTTAACGTCCACTTGGCACAAACTAGGTCATATCGGAACTAACACATGGTTCAATTTCATTTCAATAATTCGATTGCAGTGGGAGGAAACCAGAGGTTGGACAGGCGACCCTAATCCTTGTCACGTACAACCTGGGAATCCAAACCACACACGTTGACTCAATGACAGACCTAATCTTACAATGCGCACGCGCTAACCATTTGGACATCCAACCCCCCTGGTCTACAGAGCAGTAGTATCAGGCACTTTCAAAACAAATGTAAAAAAAAGAACACTTTGATTGGCGTAGTCAATATTTACGTACGTTTAAAATAAATGTGGCAGCCACAGTGGCTAAGTGGGTAAGACGCTGGCTCGCTAGACTGGGGGTCGCGTGTTCGATCCCTGCATTGTCCGAGAAAGTTCATCAGGATTTTCCGACGTGGTTTCCCCTTGTCAGTGGTGCAGAACGGAGGGCCTGACAAGGACAGTTGTCTAGTCATTCGGATGGGAAGAAACACCAAGGTCCTGTGTTTACATTGGCGTTCACGTAAAAGATCCCTTGGCAGTTAAAATTCGATATAAGAGTGGGCCATAGTGCCACTGACTGGGAAAAATTTCCCCCAAAGGATACTGTATGCCGTAAGTCTGTCTTCATTAGCCCAGTCGGAGCAGAAAAGTAGGACGTTAAACCCCATTTCATTTCAAGAGTAAAAAAGATGAATCATGATCACAAATACTTACCGAGTTCCAAATCCCGATCATGTTTAATTATCACATTAAACACAGTAAAAGTCAGTAAAATTAATCTCCGTAATAACGGAAGATCAAGTCGAGACCTCCGAACCAAACAACCCGTAAATCCAACGTTACGTGTCGTCACATTTTCAAAAAATCCTTTCTCAGACAAAGACTCATAAAACTTCAAACAAAATCTTAAAAAAAATTCATCCAAATTTTTCTGTAAAATCAAATAATCAGAAAAGTTCAGCATCGTGTTGAAAATATCCAATAATTTTCTGATCGACATCTTGTCTAAATTCGAATCACAGAATATCACAGGAATCACTTCTAATAGAAAATCACCTAAAACTGTTTTCATCCGTTCTTCACGTTTTGGTTGTCGATTTATATATTTTACAGTTTTTTGAACGAGTGTAAAAATTTCCAGTTTAAGAACCGAACCCGATCCACATTTTGCCAGCTGTAAAACGTGAGGTAATTTTGATTGCATAATTTTAAAACAAATCTCATTCAGAGTTTGATCGTTCTTTCTCGACACTAATTGACATAATATTTCTAGAACTATCTGAACTGATCTGGATTCCTTTTGTTCAATTCCTTCCACGATTTTTCTTAGAAGGTTTGATTTTCTTTCCTCCTGAAATAAAAAAAATTAAAATTAACATCCCCGTTTTCTGCACTGACTCCGACTGAAATGAAATGGGGATTTAACGTCCTACTTTTCTGCACCGACTGGGCTAATGAAAACAAACATATACCTTGCAGTGTGCTATGAGGGAAATTTTGCAGTGATAACAGTGCTACAGCCCACTCTTATATCGAATTCCGGGGGGTTGGGTGGCTGTGCGAGTTGCATCATTAGGTATGTCATTTAGTCAAGTGGTGTGGTTTTGATTCCCCACTTGTCCATGACAAGAAGTAGGGTTGTCTGTCCAACTTTGTGGGTTTTCTCTGGGTCCTCTGGTTTCCCCCCTCCCCCCACAAAGACCCTTACGCGCAAGCAAATTAATGAAATAAAAAGTGAGGGAGAAGTTTGCCTGGGCAGCAACATTTCTACATAGGCTTCATCAAATTCAAACCCTGTTCATGGGTGGGTTTGATTTTTGTTGTTCCACCCGAATAATACCAGCCCTGCAGGAACTACCTCTTCCAAGTTTGAGTTTAATTATTGTCGAGTGGCCCTTAAAGCTACATTCCCAGAAAAGTATTTATCGGGTGGTTATTTCCAATAAAAGTATGGCAATTTTGGTATATATGGAGAGTAGAGATATCCAATCTTACTAGAAAAATACTGGATTCCCTGAAAAACACTCATGGAGCGTATACAGGACAAAAATGTAAGGGTTTCCCTAATCGACCGCCCGACAATTAGAAGTGTCTGCACGCGTGACATCGAAGGTTGCACGCGGAGATTGAGAGCTTGATGTACATTTTAATAAACTTTATGAAGAATTAGATGTACAACATTTTCTGAGATAAAAATCACGGAAAAAGACGGAAGCAGTGGATAATCTGAAAATTTAATTAGGATTTGATATTTGTAATAAATAGTCAGCAATTAAAGACAACATCGTCTTGTGTATGCAATGAATTCTCCTCTGACTTAACTTGCGTTGCTAGGTACTGAGAGAGGTAAGCCATGTGATACAAACATGATCTCTTTTGATCGATTTTTTATAGCCAGGGTATTCCTCGACAATTGCAATGTTTTGAGAAGGATTTGAAGCAAAATTATGATAAATTAATTAGTTTGAATATGTTTTTAGTCCAAATATATCATCATATCACCCAGTTTGTACCTGGGAATGTATCTTTAAACACCCCCCTCACACAAACGAAATACCAAAAATAACTCACCAAATAAATATCTGACTTCAAGATGGCTAACACAGTCTTTTGTGCAGAATAACTCATAAATTTATCACCTTGAAATATACATTTTATCTGGAATAAAATCACAAGAAAAAGTTGGAAAAAATATATATACTGGTATAGCTACACTGTACAGGCCAGTGAATGCATAGCCCAGTGTGAGTGGATGCTTACAGCTCACCCCCAATCCAAACACTTGATTTGATATTTCTTGCAATGTCTGCAGGATTGTCTTATCCTATTAAATCACACCAATCTAACTAAAATACAGATCTATATTTCGTTTCACTTTTTTATACTTTCCATGGCCTCTACTACATGAAGATCTGACCGGTTGTGGTGGAAGGTTGTGTCAGAGGTCATACGAGCGGCTTTTGATCCTATGATGTCAGACATTTGATTCACCAATCAGCGATGATGTTTCTAGTGGGTTACCCAGAGTTTCCGTGTTCTGTGTACCTCACGCCAAAAACTCGCCGTAACAGACCGTTTCATTGGCTAATCCCTCACATCATTCAGAACACAGGTTATATAACAACTCTTTCAGTGTAGTAAAGACAAGTAAAACAAAATTTTGAACTATAAAAAACGAAACGAAATAAGATCTGTGTTTTAACCAGATTGAAAACACCCTTTCATTGTCTTTTTGATTTTAAAATCTAAGCCAATCAAATCAATGTTTTAATGGATCAAACTGAAAATACTTTTGATTATATCATGAGAGAAAAACTTAAATAATGTCTAAAATGACTTAAAAGTGGAAAAACCAGGATTTCCAAAAAAGGGGATCCAAAGAGAGAGAGAGAAATGGGGTTTAACGTCTACTCGACAAAAACTATTTCATTTTTTGGGACAAACATATGGTTCAATTTTATTTCAATAATTCGCTTGCACAGGTCTTAAGCAGTTGGAGGAAACCGGAGAAAACTCACGAGGTTGGGCAGGAGATCCTACTCCTTGTCACGTATAACCAGGAAATCAAAACACGCCAGTTGACTCAATGACAGACCTTATGATAAAACGCGCACGCGCTAACCATTCGGTCATCCCCCCACCCCCTTGTCATACATAAATTATCACACAACGTATATATTATTATATATATGATGTGCAAAAATTTGTAGGCCTACCTTATGTCCACCCTTGTGCATGTATATATACATTACGTTAAGTAAAAAAGAAATTATCACTTGACAGAGTCTGTGACATGTATGCATGTCTTATATCAAGGCCTGCTGAGGTCCCAGGACTCGGTTCAGACATGCCGCAATATCTCCCTCTATATTCGCCATTGCATGAAGATAAATATACCTACCAATATATCCTCTAAACACCCATCAAATGTTAAACAAATGCGTCGCCATGGTTCTTCATTACAATTCTCATATAATATCTTGACAACCGTTAACCCTAGCAACTGATGACAATGTAAACAACGAGATGGATATAGGTCACATGATTTTATCTCCAATGACAACAGAATTTTAAACACTGAGCACAGATTAGTTGATTCCTTCTGATTTAGGTCTGTACAACCTGTTGAAATCATCTGATGAATTATCTTTAGTGTTTTCCATCTTTGCTCCATTTTGATGCAGCAATTTCTGTTCAACTTCCGACGTTTTTCTTTACGGTGTCTGGAACATAGATAAAGATAGGTTGCCATGATTCGCTTGCAAATATGTAAAGGTTTAAGCAGTGGGTGGAAATCAGAGGATCCGGAGAAAACCAATGAGCTTGGATAGGCAAACCTACCGACCCCTTGTCAAATATGAGCAGGAAATCGAAATCATGCCACTGGACTCATAACAGACCGTATGATCTAATGCGCACGCGTTCAACCATTTCGCCACCTAACCCTGACCATTTGCTTGAAAATATGACAGCTAGAGAATACATTGTTTGTGATTATAATATCATGGGTAACAATGTATTACCCTTATGAAAAAGTCCTATAGAAAAAGTACAGGTTTCTATAGAAGTTTGTGGGATTCTATAGAATGCTATAGAATGCTGCAGGAAAACGAATTCATTCTGTATATATAAGGTCGATGATAATATGTTCTTGTCTCTGTCCCTAATGTAAATAAAGTTTATATTTACAATACCGATATTCTGTTACACACTGATCGATAGTGTTATAACAAATACACTTACAGCCCCTTTTACTCTAGCGGTGTAGGATATAATCTACTCTAGTCATTAATTAAATAACTTTGGCAAAAGTAAAAGTCAGCTCCATCACGATAGTACTCAGTAGGCCTATCAATCGGTGATAAGTGGAAATTCTCCAGGGAAAAGAAATTGTATTAAAGGTATGGTCATTGTCCCTAAGTATTTATCAGGTGGTTATTTCCAATAAAAGTATGGCAAATTTGGTATATATGGAAAGTATAGATGGCCAATTTTACTAGAAAAATACTGGATTACCCGAAAAACACCCATGGGGCAAGAACTTGACTGTGGTCTGAAGCATATTGTATGCTAGCTTAAATTGCCTGAGGGAACGGTTGTTATTTCTTGATCAAATGGTTAGCAGCTTTGGGAAAAAGAAGTTGACAAAAAATAATCAAGAATTTATGGACCTTATATGTGTTAGGCGCAATCTTTACCCCTAGCGCAGATTGCAATCTGCGCTTATCAAGCTGGAGCGCAGATGGCCAAGTTTGCGCTTATTACCCCTCGATGTTTTTAGAGATGTTAGTGTTTCAGACGTAACTAGATATATGATCTGCCCCCTATTGACTTTGTAGTGAAATATTTTCAAAATCACTACATAATTAGCGTGTGTTCTCGAAAATAAGATTTTTAATTCTAGTTATCTTAATCGGTGCTGATCACGTGACTGCATGTGCATAATCAAAACAATAAATCAACCAATCACTAATGATATCTATGGTCAGACACGTAAATAAAGGTTAAGGTATTTCCAGCAGACACCACCAACCGCACAACCCATTGATTTAGAAAGTCATTAGCATAGTATTTTTTAGTAGTAGTCAACTATGGCTATGCGGTCATACTTTTCTTTCCGTATATCCTTGCTCGTGCTTGTACCAGTAAACTGACGGTCACAAAATTCATTAAAATGACTAATACTAACGCAGTGATCCATGGCGAATACCTTTAAGATTAGGCGGATTATCTACTATTACTACCTGCGTAACCTAGTGGATTATCATCGCAGTAATCCATTGAATAGCCCGGACAAAGTCCACTTCGCGCGCGCAGATTACTCAATGGAAATTTGACGGATATTCGCGCATGCGCGGGGGTAATCTGCGCGAGGGGTGAAGATTGCGCCTAACATATACTATTCAAAAAAAGTAGGGGATATTTGATTTTGGGGGCATAATACTAAAATATGCAAATGACTACGAAAAACGTCACTATAGAACCTAACAGAAGAAACATTTCCAGTTACATGTGACGCCCAAACGCACCAATAGCTACCGCATGGAATGCAGGTGATGCTTGGGATCATCATGGGGGTCCAACCCAAGATTTGCACGACTCTGACGTTGAATGTTACAGTCATTGTGGCATTGAATTCCAGGGTGGAAACATCAGTTTAATTGTTTTAGTGACCAGAAAACAAATTTTGATATGCGTCGGCTTACCCAAAATGAAAGGTTACGTGCCCTTGGCATGCTACAGATCGGCACAACACAGGCGGTTGTGGCGCGGACGATGAATGTTTCTCAGTCTGTCATAAGCAGGCTATGGTCTAGATACCGTGATACACAATCTGTACAGGACAGACCACGCTCAGGTCGACCAACGGCGACAACTCAAGCCCAGGATCGATTTATCCGTACCTTGGCCTTGAGAAATCGTGTCATCACAGCAAATCAGATCAGCGCTCGTCTTCAAACAGACACTGGTGTGAGAGTGAGTGGCCAGACGATTCGGAATCGACTGCATAGGGGTCACCTTCGCGCCCGACGTCCTCGCGTGATCCCTTGTTTGAGAGATCATCACATTCAGGCAAGACGTCGTTGGTGTAGGGATCGTCAACACTGGGATAATCGACGCTGGAGCAATGTGATGTTTTCAGATGAGTCAAGGTTCACTGTTGATTTTTTGGACAGACGTAGGAGGGTGTGGCGTCGTCGAAACGAGCGCTTCCAAGACGTTAACGTCATCAGACATGATCGATTTGGGGGTGGTTCTGTTATGGTGTGGGGAGGCATCACTGTTGCTGGAAGAACGGCTTTACATGTTGTTGCAGGGCGTGTTACAGGCCAGTACTACCGGGACAACATCTTGGCAGTCCATGTTGTGCCGTTTGCACGACGTCATGGCCGCCGTTTCATCTTCAAGGATGACAACGCAAGATGTCACAGGGCCAGGATCGTTACAGGTTACCTCCAACAACAGAACATCACCACATTACCTTGGCCAGCACTGAGTCCCGACCTCTCCCCCATCGAGCATGTCTGGGACATGCTTGGACAGAGGTTACGTCAACGTCAACAACGTCCTGCCAATGTCCAAGAACTTGCTGCTGCGTTGCAACAGGAATGGGACAATCTGGACCAAAATGACCTTAGACGTCTCATTAGGAGTATGCCACGTCGGATCAATGCTTGTTTGGCAAACAGAGGAGGATTTACCCGTTACTGACTTGGTTGTGATGCTGTGGTAACTTTGCTGTTTGACCCCGGGTATCATTTTACCCTTATAATGGTCAGTCTGTGCCTTACTTAGTCTAACGATCATTTGGAATAAATCGATGAATGTGAACTTCATTTCATTTTGTCATTTGTTTCTTCGTCAGTTTCATTAGGTGACTTTAATAACACTTAAAAATCAAATATCCCCTACTTTTTTTGAATAGTATATGTATGGTAAAAATGGACAGTTAGTAATTGAAAAAATACATTCTGAAAAACTGACCCTCCCACAATGAAGTAAGATGACATAAATGGCGTCTAACAACAGTTTATTTATTGCTATACAAAGTTTTGAGAGGGATTTGAAGCAAATTTTTGAAATGAATTATGAATGCTTTTAGTTTTAGTTCAAAGATATCATCAAATAACAGAGTTTGTACGCGGGAAAGTATCTTTAAACATAAAAAAAAAACTTTTCCACTTCAATAGGGAAACTGACCATGGCTACAAGTTATCATATATTATATTATACAAAACATTTCATGTTTCGAGACGTCTCCTAGTCTGCCAAGTTTGTTTACAAAATGTAAACCACGTGTCTTACTGTTCGTACCTTATTCCCATAAGAGCTCTTGTAGGGGAAATAACTCGTGGAAACTAACAATTTAAAGGTGTTTGCAAATGTTTATTCTATACCCGGTATTATAGTTTCGATAGGCCATAGTAATAAATAGTTTAAGCTATGAGTCTTAGATTGGTACCAGAATGTCATGACGAATCTAATTATTTGTAATATCTCAAACAAAAATGGAGACGTTACAACATACTGACACTGATACCTGTGTTTTGTCATGATATATCAGCCAGCAGTGGACCAGTGGAGTGGGGACAACTTTGAACTAGACTGTAGGCTACTTTGGTAGGTAGCCTATACACGTGAGAGAGAGAGAGAGAGAGAGAGAGAGTTTAACGTCCACTCGACACAAACTAGGTCATATCGGGACTTACACATGGTTCAATTTTATTTTAATAATTTGCTTGCGAGTAGGGTCTTTAGCAGTGGAGCTAGAGGAGTAGGAAATTCGGACAACCTGGAAAAAACCCACGAGGTTGGACAGGCGACGTACCCTAGCTACTCCTTGTCAGGTACAATCGTAATTTTCCATTGTAGTTTCCCTGAGTTACAGTGTCTAGTTATTTGGATTGGTAAAAAAACCCAGAGGTCCTGTGTACATGAAATTCCCATGACAGTTGGCATTCGATTTATAGGCCATAGTTCCGAGATTTGAACCCTATTTTGTTCAAAAAAGTTTCCCAGAATTTTCCAGCATAGATACTCTCTGTCAGTGTCTAGTTATTTGGATGGGATGGAAAAACGATAAAATAAAGAAGAAGGAAACTGTAAACAAAATTTTGACCAGACAAAATGTTTATTTACATGCATGTTTGCATCCCAAATAATATCAAATATTTTCATAGTTGAGCTACATACATGGATAGTCGTAGAAAATATGTAGATGTATTAAATACAAAATTAAGGCTTTTATGAGTTCTTCTTTCCATAAAACATAAAAAGCTAGCTCACTGAATACAACAATGAAGCATATGATATAGCCTAATAAACAGTTTGTAGATTTTCTAACAATTTATATGAAATTACTGATGATTTATAATACAGGAATTTAAGAATCAGAATTCCCAAAGTTACGGAATCTTAGGTTAATTCCTTGATTTGGAAATCCGAATCTAGGGAATCTAGGAAATCTGGGAATTGTGGGAAATCCGAATCCTTGGTTAAAACCTGAAATAGGAAATCTGGGAAAGCCTTGATTAAAGGGATGTCCAAATCCTTGGTTGAATCCAAATCCTCTGTTAAAACGCTGTCCACCATCATCAGCTGAAAGGCAATATACAGCATATATTTAAATTTACGGTTTAATTTCAGATGATAGAATTATCTGATTACTGTTTTAATAGGAAATGTGTACATGTTTTCTTAGATATAAACACAGGAGAAATTAACTATAAAATTTTGTTTGAATAGCTGGGTAATTATGGCCTATGCTAAATTCAAGATGAGAAAAATTCCAGTAGCCTCTTCGGGTCAAGTATAAGGCTCTGTTTTTTTTTCTTTGCAACTAAACTCAAACCACATTAGGGTATATGAAAGTAGGAGGGTCGTTTGGCCGAACGGTTTTGCTCAGGGATGTTAATCGGCTGTTTTTTGTTGGCTTTAGCCGATTGATCTTTGATCATTCCCTATGCTAAACTCAAGATGAGAAAAATTCCAGGAAGCTCTTCATGTCAAAGGGTCTGTTTTCTTTGCAACCTAAACCCAAACCACATTAGGGTGGCCGAATGATTTAGCCTGTACATTTTAGATCCTATAGGCCTAATGTCAGTCATTGAATCCAACACTAGGGTCACCTGTCCAATCTCCTGGGTCACCTGTCCAATCTCCAGGGTCACCTGTCCAATCTCTAGGGTCACCTGTCCAATCTCTAGGGTCACCTGTCCAATCTCCTGGGTCACCTGTCCAATCTCCAGGGTCACCTGTCCAATCTCCTGGGTCACCTGTCCAATCTCCTGGGTCACCTGTCCAATCTCCTGGGTCACCTGTCCAATCTCCTGGGTTTTCTCCGGGTCCTCCAGTTTCCTCCCACTGCTAATGACCCATTATATGTGCAAGCAAATTTTTGTGTTAGTCTCAAAATGACCTATTTCTCTCTCTATATATGAAACATATCTTACCTTTGCAGACCAAAATAACCATAGCAACAAACAGAAACATAGTAACCAGATTTCTAATAGATGCCATCTTTATTTATTACAGTGCTTTTTCCTGTAATATAATAATATTGTAAATGTATTTTTTTAGCTAGCTGTAAGACTCTTTTATATATTTAAAGATACATTATGTAAGATTTAGATAATGACTGACCATTCTTGCTATAAAAGTTTAAAGATACATTATGGAAGATTTAGATAAAGAGCCCACTGTTCTTGCTATAAAAGTTCAAAAATAAATAATGGATATGTTGAAAATTTTAGTCAAATTAATTTATCCTGAGCAAAGTTAGTAATGATTGAAGTTTTGACAATTGTCCAGTAGGCTACCATTTGCCTTGATAATGAACGAAGTCTCAATCGGCATCCATATCAACGTTAAACATGATGAGTCCATAATTTTTCCGACGTGGTTTCCCCTTGTCAGTGATGAAGGACCGAGAGGCTGACAAGGACAGCTGTCTAGTCATTTGGATGGGACCAAAAACTGAGGTCCTGTGTAAACATTGGCCTGCACATAAAAGATCCCTTGTCAGTTGGAATTCGATATAAGAGTAGGCCATAGTGCCGCTGTCCGGGCAAAATATTTCCTTCATAGCACACTGTATGGTGTATGCCCGTCTTCATTAGCCCAATCGGAACATAACAGTAGGATGTTAAATCCCATTTCATTTCATTTTCTTCATCAAATTCTGTGAGAGGTTCTTTTACATGCACACCAATGTGTACACAGGACCTCATCTTAGTCCCATCCAAATGATTAGATGCTGTGCCTTGCTATGAGGGAAATTTTGCCGGGGCAGTGGCACTATGGCATACTCTTATATCAAATTCCAACTGCCAAGGGATCTTTTATGTGAACGCCAATGCATACACGGGACCTCGGTTTTTCGTCCCATCCGAACGACTAGACAGCTGTCCTTGCTAGGCCTGCCGTCCTGCATCACTGACAGTAAGAAACCACAGTGAAAAATCTTGAGAAATTTTCTCCTGGTTAGTGAGCTAGCGCCTTATTCACTGAGCCACCGTGACTCGCCATCAGAGCCAGATTTTCATTATAAACTTACCCAGGCCTGGAAATAACAATTTTAGATATACCTGACCAAATGTCAGGCACTAATGAAGTAGTACCTGACATTTGTTAACTTAATGCCGGACATCTGTTAATAATATCAATAAAAAAGAAAAATCAGTGCCGGACAAAATGACAGGCACCAAAGATTTTTTGCCTGACAAAGCCTGAATCTGTGCCTGACATTGTCTGTGACAGGTGCCGTGTTTCCAGGCTTGCTTACCTGATCTAAGTAAAGAAGAAAGTTCACCTTGTACTGAAATCAGAGATGATGAAGATGTGTATAATCAGTACCTATATTTATAGTCTACATGTATGAATGAAATTGTTTATTATTTACTCGAGGGTCATAAGGTCATGTTCTATACATTGACTGATCTTCAGCTTTATTTATTTGTTGTGGGGAGTTTTTTTGAGGTTTGGATTTTTTAGACTACACGTTTGTTGGTTTTTTGTCCCCCGCCTTTCGAAGAAAGCAGGGGACTATTAAAATGGGTTTGTCCGTCTGTCTGTCCGTCTGTCTGTCCGTCACACTTTTTGGGACACAATAACTATCTTCCTAATTGAGCTAGAATGTTCAAACTTGGTGTATGTGTTGATTAGGTCAATGCCTTGTTGGTTGATGCTTTAGGACAAGATAACTTTGATAGAGAGTGATGAAACTTAAGTGTATAGTTGATAATCAGTTTGATTGCTTGATACTTTAAAAAAAATAAATGTGCGATAAATTAATGTGTCATCTATTTATTTTGGTATTTTGGCGGGGGACATCAGCCTCACTGTTGGCTTGTTTTATTTTAATATTGGGACAACGACCGACTGTATTTTGTTTCTATTCATCTGAATTGATTGGTCTATACTCTCAAACAGTTTGTTTGTTTGTTTGTTTGTTTGTTTGTTTGTTGTTGTTGTTTTCAAATGAATTTAAATAAAGGGTCAGAAAGATAGATGGTCTATTAATGTCTTAGTAGCAAAAAAATGTATCCTATTTTATTATGAATACATACTGATATTATGCTCTCATAATTAAGGTGAATCCAATAATAATAATATCTGTATTGAAATTATTCAAAATTAACATTATTTATAAAAATAACATACTATTTTTGTCATGTCTCACATGTGCTAGGGAGGAGAATTATGCCAGGACAGCTTTTATATATCTGCTGCCAACTGTCAAGGGTTATTTTACGTGCACGACAATGCATACTCAAATAATGCATGTTGGACAAAGTGGATTTAATATTTGAAAATATGTAACAAGAATGTGACCGTCCTAAATATATGGGGAGTTGTCATATCAGGTATTTTGAATGAATCATCCAAATTTGGGGGGGTTTTTGTTTGTATCTGGTCGATTGGATGGCCGAAGGGTTAGCGTGTGCACCCTGTATCAACCTCATGGGATTTATCCCAGTCCTCTGGTTTCCTGGGGGGCGGGGAGGGATTTATCCGAGTCCTCCTGTTTCCTGCGGGGTGGGGGGATGTCCGAATGGTTAGCATGTGCGTGCTGTATCATAAGGTCTGTCATTGAGTCAACTGCCGTGGTTTTGATTCCCCGGATGTACGTGAGATCGGGTGTTTGATTCCTGCATTGACCGAGAAAGTTCATCCAGATTTTCCAGCATGGTTCCCCCTTGTCAGTGATGCAGGACGGAGAGCCTGACAAGGACAGCTGTCTAGTTATTCGGATGGTACGAAAAACAAAGGTCCCGTGTACACATTGACATGCACATGAAAGATCCCCTGACAGTTGGAATTCGATATAAGAGTAGGCCGTAGTGCCGCTGTCTATGCCCTTCTTCATTAGCCCAGTTCGGAGCAGAACAGTAGGACATTAAACTCCATTTCATTTCATTTCATTTACAAAAGAGAGAACGAGTGTAAATTAAATAGAGGCCTATTATTATAAACATTGTATAACCTATTATTATATACAGGCTTATATTAATTTTGATTTTAATTGTTTATTTTAGGTAAAATAATGGCAGAGAGTAGTGAATCAGCTACTGTAGATATTAATCCAAGTTTACGGATGAAAATAACATTAAAAGGAATATCAGCTAAATTTAACGATGTGCATCATATATCAACAACAACACTAGCTACCTGGTTAAAAACACCTGATCACACTATCATTTTATTGGTAAGTTCACCAGCCAGATTCTTTTAGAAAATCAAATTCAGAACAGTGACCCAGCGAGTAATGTAGTAATAGTTAGATGATTTACACTGTAACCCGGGTATCATTTAATCGGGGGAGGGGGTTGGATACCCGAATGGTTAGCACGTTTCATTTAGTCAACTGGCGTGGTTTCGATTCCCGGGTTGTATGTGACAAGGAGTAGGGTTGTCTGTCATTTAATTTCGTGTATCTAGCACTAATGTGTCTCACATTCGCTTAATATCAAATCTTTGTTAAAAATTTGTAAAATTCATTTATAATCACCCAAAATCATCTAATCTGTACTTGTCTCCAGTTTAAAGCTGACTGATTAATTTTGACAATGCCTTATATCAAGACAAAATGTACCTCATAGCGCAATGCTCGGCTTATGCCTTACTTCATTACACTGGGTGGGGCAGAAAAGTAGGACGATAAACTCATTTTATTTAGGGAGTTACAGTGCCTCAGTGAGTAAGACGTTGGTTTGCTAACCTAGAGGTTCTATGTGCGATCCCTGTGTTGTCCAAGATAGTTCATCAGGACTTTCCGGCATAGTTGCCGCATGTCAGTTGTGCAGACGGGGAGTGCCTGACAAGGGACAACGAAAAACTGAGGTCCTGTGTGCCCATTGGCGTGCATGTAAAAAAAACCTTGGCAGTTGGAATTTGATATAAGAGTAGCCCATAGTGCTGCTGCCTTGGCAAAATTTCCTTCATAGCACACTGTATAGCGTATGCCTGTCTTTGTTGTATTTTTTAGGATAGCCGACCAGAAGAAGAATTTATCGTTAGTCATTTACCAAAGGCTGTCCGTGTTGATCACGACACAAACAACATAGACGATATTATCAAGTCTTTACCTCAATTGAATAAAACAGAAGAGAAAACTAGAATAATCTGTTATTGTTCTATAGGATATCGATCAAGTCTACTGGCTCAAAAACTTCAACAATATTATAAAAATACACGTAAGCATTGAAAGTGATAGTTGCATATTTTATAAGAAAGTGAAAACATAAGCCTAATGCACACTAGAGAGTTAGGAGACACAGTGGCTAAGGGTTGGGTGTTCGATCCCTGCATTAGCCGAGAAAATTCATCGGGATTCTCCAACGTGGTTTCCCCTTGTCAGTGGTGCAGGAAGAAGGGTCTGTCTAGTCTTCGGTTGGGACAAAAAAAAACAAGGTCTTGTGTATACATTGGCATGCACGAAAAAGATCCCTTGACAGTTGGAATTCTATATGAGAGTAGGCCATAGTGCCGCTGCCTGGGCAAAATTTCCCTCATAGCACACTCTATGGCGTATGCCCGTCTTCAATAACCCTAGTCGAAGCAGACCAGTAGGACGTTAAACCCCATTTCATTTTTCACTAAGAGATTTTTTCCTTGCCAACATCGGGAGCGAACCTAGGAACTCCTAGTTTAAAGTGAGTAAGACGCTGGCTCGCTAGGCAGGAGGTCACTGGTTTGTTCCCGATTTTGATCACTAAGAGATTTTTTCCTTGCCAACATCGGGAGCGAACCTAGGAACTCCTAGTTTAAAGTGAGTAAGACGCTGGCTCGCTAGGCAGGAGGTCACTGGTTTGTTCCCGATTTTGATCAAAAAAGTGCCTCAGGATCTCCCAGCACGGTTTCAGATCAGTTATCAAAGGACACAGACCAATTTTTTCTGACGGGCTGTATGAGCCGTAATCTGAGTCGACAAGACATAGACCATTTTTTTTCTTCTTTTTGGGTAGGGTCGCCTGTCCAACCTCATGGGTTTTCTCCGGGTCCTCCGAGTGCTAAAGACCCCTATGCGCAAGCGAATTATTGAAATAAAATTTAACCATATGTTAGTCCCGAAATGAGCTAGTTTGTGTCGAGTGGACATTAAACCCCTTATCTCTCTCTCTTCTTTTTCAAGTAGTTTTATCCTGCACCAAGCCTTAGGCCCGTTTTCTATGTACTTATTTTTGTGGATTATTTCATATTCAGGAAAACAAGGACCAAATTACACGACTGCCTGTTAAAATTTTTTAAAAAATATCAATTGATGAATATGCCTTTTTTTTTTCTCCAGAAACTGAAACAAAACCAGATATTTACAACTTAGAAGGATCGATATTTAAATGGGCCAATGAAAACCGAGCTATGGTAGACAGTGTTGACCAGCCTACTATATATGCTCATCCATATAACAGTTTGTGGGGGAAATTATTAAACAAAGAACTTAGAAAACTCAACTGATATCAAGGCTGCTGATCATTGTTAGGTGGGTTGGATGGCTGAATGGTTAGCATGTGCGCGCTGTAACATAAGGTCTGTCATTGTGTCAACTGGCGTGGTTTCGAATCCCCGGTTGTATGTGACAAGGAGTAGTGTCGCCTGTCAAACCTCATAGGATTTCTCCGGGTCCTCCGGTTTCCTCCCACTACTAAAGACCCCTACGCGCAAGTGAATTATTGAAATAAAAATGAACCATATGTTAGTTCTGAAATGACCTACTTTGTGTTGCGTGGACGTTAAACCCCATTTCTCTCTCTCTACTCAAGGGTATCCCCACTGAAACCCATGATGTTAGGCAGGCATCACTTCTCATTTTTCAAACCTATGACATTATGCTTACTCAAAGACATCTCCACTGAAACCTATGTCATATATAGATAGGCAACTTTATTAGTGATATTAAAGTTTCCCTTTCAAATAAGCTGTGTAGTGTGGGCGTATTCCACACTTTGTGTGGCTATCTTCTTTGTCATAGAAATTTTTTTTATACATTTTTACACTTTGAATGATTATTTTTTGTTGTGGAATATGGAATAAATTTGTTACTTTTTTATATTTAGAAATTATTAATTTTTTTTGTTACATATGGTATCAGTGGTTAGTAGTTATAATTTCTCACCAATGGGTTGAAACACCTGATATTTTTTTGACAAAGAGATATATATGTAAAGAAAGGCAGCCGAGCAGACCCAGCTGGAAAATTTATTTTAGCTTTTTGAAGCTTCAAATATACTTTTTACGTGTTTATATAATAAAGGATATGCTGATTGTACCTTCTGAGGTTATGTAACATATCGACAACTAATAAATGGTACAAAAATTGCATATCTTGTGTCTTATCAGGTGGAACAAAGCTGGTATATACAAGACAATTTGCCGCAGGTTCGAAACAAATGGAATAATATGAAATGGGGTTTAACTTCCTACTTCTCTGCACCAACCAATGAATATCGTGGACAGCTAATATAAGTCTAAAACATCGTTCAAATCTGGATACAAGCACTAAAATTTGAATGGTTGTCTGGTTAGGGTCATTTATTGAGAAAATCCTGTAGGCCCGCCACTCGAATTTTCAAAATGACTCATTTTCCAAGATGGCAGCGATTTTTGTTTTTTCTTTCACAGAATATTACCCACTTGACCAACTGAGAGTATTTCTATTGGCCACATTCTCGAGTTGCTAATGGGCTTGTTTTTCAAAAGAGTAAAATGAAATGGGGTTTAACATCCTACTGTTCTGCTCCTACTGGGCTAATGGAGACTGGTATATACCCGGGCAGCAGCACTGTGTACGCCAGGGGATTTTTTATGTGTACGCCAATGCATACACAGGTCCACGGTTTTCTGTCCATCCGAAAAACTAGACAGCTGTCCTTGTCAAGCGCCACCGTCCCTGCACCACCTCGGAAAATCCTGATGAACTTTCTCGGCCAATGCGGGGATCGAACGTGCAACCCCTAGACTAGCGAGCCAGCGTCTTACCCACTTAGCCACCTTGGTTCCCTACAAAAGAGTAGTGCTCAAGGAGTTTTGTGCCAATTTTGATACTTGTGTCCACATTTGAACGGTTTCCGTTCATATGTCCCGCTGCACTAAATAAAGATTGGCAGTTTAACAAAAGATAAAAAAACATGAAGATCGTTATAAATATATTTAATAAACAAAAAGTATTAAAATATGTGATATAAAGTATTAAAATATGTGATATAAAATATATTCAAACTAACAGTATAAAATCTGTTATTATACATAATACAAAATATATTCAATTTAACAAACAATATGAAATCTGTTACACGTAATACAATTATAAACATTTAGTTTAAAAAACAAAACAGCATTTATTCAGATCAACAATATAATTAATAAACATATTAGTTTAAATCTAAACAGCATTTATTCAGATCAAAAATAAAATTATAAACATATTAGTTTACAACTAAACAGCATTTATTCAGATCGAAAATAAAATTATAAACATATTAGTTTAAAACTAAACTGTATTCATTCAGATCAGAGTTTAAATAAAAGAAAATAATAAAATATGCCACAATAATATGCACATTATAACTAAATAAAACGTATTCATTCAGATTGGAAGAAAATTATAAACAGTATTCATTCAGATAACAAATAAAAGAAAATACATGTAAATTAAAAATATCATGCACTGTCTAACTAAACAGATTGGAAATAAAATTATAAACAAATTAATTTAGAACTTAAACCGTGTTCTTTCAGATTCAACATAAAATTATCAACATATTAGTTTAAAACTAAACAGTATTCATTCTGATCGAAAATGGAAAATCACAACCTGAAGGTTGGCTTATTTATAAAATAATATTTTTACATGTCTTAACTAGACAATAATGATAACAAATATAAAACTAAACAACCAATTATTAAAACAAATTACACTTTGAAATGCACCGTGTTGAAAACATAAAATGCACAGCAGTGAAAACAGATAATACTATGAAATGCACAGTTGTGAAAACAGATAATACTATGAAATGCGCAGTGTTGAAAACAGATTATATTATGAAATGCAGTGTTGAAAACAAATACTATGAAATGCAGTTTTGGAAACAAATTCTACTATGAAATGCAGTGGTGAAAACTAATTATAATATCAAATATGCAGTGGTGAAAACAGATGGTACCATGAAATGCACAGTGGTGAAAACAGATGGTACCATGAAATGCACAGTGGTGAAAACAGATGGTACCATGAAATGCACAGTGGTGAAAACAGATAATACTATGAAATGAACAGTTGTGAAAACAGATAATACTATCAAATGTACAGTGTTAAACAGATAATACTATCAAATGTACAGTGTTAAACAGATAATACTATCAAATGTACAGTGTTGAAAACAGATAATACTATGAAATTGACAGTGTTGAAAACAAATTATACAATGAAAAGGAATAATTCACTGTCTTAAAGATACATTATGTAAGATTTAGATAAAGAGCTGATCACTCTTGCTAATATAGCTCAAAAATAGATAATGTAAAATGAAAATATTGAAAATATCATTCAAATTACTTCATTCTGAGCCAAGTTATCACTGTTTGTAGTTTTGACAAGATGTGTACATTGTGGTAATCAGGGTACTGGATATTCGTGACTTAGCCTCGCTTTCCCATTTTTAAATTAAATTTTTAAATCGTGAACCGTTATAATCTAGTTAAAATCTCGAGTATTCGATGCCATCAAGAGTTGATTATGGTCTTGTTTTGTTAATAAATGTCTTATTAATAATTTAGATAAAATTTCAGGCCTAAAGAAATACCTGCAATAGGCAGATTTAGCTCTTGAATAATGTATGTTTAATTAGAGATAGATATATATTCAGGCAACAAAATCTATCACCACAGCAGCTAAGTTATCTAAAATAATCTTTAGTCATAGATTAATTAAACATACATTATGCAAGAGCTAAATCTGCCTATTGCAGGTATTAATTTATAATTAGACATTAATTAACATATCCAGACCATATGCAACTCTCGATGTCAACGCTAGCCTGCGATATTCATTGGATTATGATACGATTTGCTGCTCAGCTTTCATTCATGATTTAATCATGAAATGGATACTCGAGACTATGTTTTTATCGTACCGACTTTAGTAATGACAATCGTTTTTTTTATCGTACCGACAAAAATCTTGGTTCAGAGTGGATCAATTTGACTGAAATTTACAGCAAATTGCCTTTATATTATCTAGTTTTTAACTATTATAGTGAGAACTGCCAGCTCTTTATCTGATCTCCCATAATGTATCTTTAAGCGTTTTTTAAGGCCCCAACAAACAAACACCTCTATTACTCAAAACTAAAACCAAAACTTGAAACCGGATGAGTTTAAAACAATTCAATTTCAGTATTGTTATTATAATATACCACACTTCCTAGTTCATGATTTAATCCAATATCGATCGTAGATAGTTGATCATGAGGTATTTTATGTACTCTTAATTCTCTCAAATTCGGGTTTTTAATCAGAGTGTATGCTAGATTCCATCGTATCCATGCTTTACTTGTCTTGTTCTTTTTTCCTAAAATAGAAAAAATAGAATGAAGCAGAGCAGGTGCATGTCTAGAGGTTGGTGGAGGGGGTGGGAGGGTTCTAGCATAGAGCATATGCTAGGTGTATATAAAAACACCATAAAATGTGGGTGTATATAAAAACACCATAAAATGTGCGTGTATATAAAAACACTATAAAATGTGGGTGTATATAAAAACACCTTAAAATGTGGGTGTATATAAAAATAATTTACCCATTAATCAATCTGATAATATCATGTATAATGTATTGGACGTTAAGTTTGTAATAAGCTATACAAGCTCCTTAGATGGACCCAACTAAACTCCCTATATCGTTATGGCGCCCGCAAGACTAGTAAATTGTTCTCTAATACGGGTAGGTATTCACATATCTCAGGCAGTTTGAGACGGACTAAGAAACAGCAGTTTCTATCTGTCCAGGGATGTACCGGTATAAATATATCATTTTTCTCTAAGGTCCATTTTTGTCGGTCTAATGCATATGTAATGGGACCATTTCCATGTCACCGTCAAAACCGCGTGCGGAAATGCTGCAAAAACATGTACATGTACATGTAAAACTGGGTTAAGGGTTAATAGTACCTGTTTGTTTCTCTTCTATTTTCGGACCCCAGATATGACTGATAAATACACGTAATATGGGATGATTGTGGGCCACATCCAGATACAGCATACTAACATAGGAGAAAAACCCTGAAATAAAACAGATACAACGTAGGAGAAATAATCAAACAAGTTTCCTTTGATTCAGGGGCGTTGGGTGGCCAAATGGTTAATATGCATGTTAGATCATATAGGGGCTGTCATTGAGCCAAGTGGCGTGGTTTCAATTCGCCACTTGGTTGTAACGAGTAGTGTCGCCTGTCCAACCTCTAATGTTTTAACCCATTAAGTGAGAGAGAGAGAAAAATGAGATGTAACGTCCACTTGACACAAACTAGGTCATTTTGGGACTAGCATATGGTTTTTAATTTTATTTCAATAATTGGCTTGCGCGTAGGGGTCTTTAGCAGTGGCAGGAAACCGGAGGACCCAGAGAAAACCCATTAGGTTGGACAGGCGACCCTACCCGTTGTCACGTACAACCAGGGATTCGAAACCACGCCAGTTGACTCAAAGACAGGCCTTAGGATACAGTGCGCACGTGCTAACCATTCGGCCATCCATCCCCCTAACCTATTAAGCCCTTCTTTTAAATCACCCTGACATGTGGTAACAATATATAGCTTGCCAGCCTATTGTTTAAAAACCATGTTTATCATAATGTTCAAAACCTTGTATTAATGGGTTATGGACATAACGGCCAAAAGAAAAAACCGCCAAAAATTTCTGGTCATAACGGCCAAAACATTGGTCATAACGGCCAAAATATTTTTTGGTAATGGTTTAATGAATCAAAATATTAAAAAAACAGAAGAACAAAAACAATTTTAATATATTTTATTTTTGAATGGCCATAAATTATTTTATAACAAAAATAACAACAACAAAAATAAACACGGAGGCATATGTTCGTGATTAATTGAAAACAAATATATTAATTCAAAAGAGGAAGAAGAAATATCAGGAATGCGACGTATTAAAATACAATGTGTTTTAACACTTAAAGATACATTAAGTGAGATTAGAGTTGACTAAAGTTAATATCCGATTGAATTTAAATTTATACACAGTGTTTAAGGTCATGGGACAAAGAAGCCTATTGATTTTAAGCGACATCTGATAATTACTGCCAGTTATGACCCTTGATCACATTAAAAACTCTCTAGAGGCTAAAGTTAATATCCGATTGACTTTAAATTCATACACAGTGTTTAAGGTCATGCAATGAAGAAGTCTATTGATTTTCAGCGATTTCTGATAATTACTGCCAGAGTTATGGCCCAGGACTATCTATTCAACGGGTCCATGGTGACGGGAACATATCCGTTACATCATGCTAGCACTCAAATATCCATTCTCATATTCTCTCCAAGCATGGTAAATCTCTTCTTGGGCGTTCGTACATGTTCGGATGAAATAACTCCTCAATTTCCCTTCGAACAATAATGCGGCTTGAAGGGGCAACATGTCGACTTCTCCAAAAAGAAAGCTAATCAGCTTATACATCCCCAACTGTTGCTCACCAGCCTTGTGGTTGATGTGTCGATGCCACCCTGAAATAAAATTTAACAAATAATTAAATCCATGTAGAATAAAATGGTATATTACATTATAGGCGACCATGCATTTAAGCTAGATAAAACTTAATTTTTGAATAGTCTGTACATACCTTCTATGTTATTGTTTGTCCTTATTGTCTGGTTAAACACACTCCAAGATGACATTTTAAAAAGGCTATGGTCAATCCATTGACGTTCCATATAATCCATTAACTCAATTAGTTTATCGTTTGTGGTTTTACCCTGAAGTTGGTAAAATGTCACGTACAGTACGTGTGACTTTGGCAAAAAAGGTAAACTCATTAGTTTTTTTTATGAAGCTATGGGTGCCACCATGAACTTTATATTTATTCTGAAAAACATAAAATTAAAATTATCAAATACATATGCATACACTGTATATAATTCTGAAAAACATTAATATGATCTTCATAACATATGGAAAATGCACCGTATACATTTATTTATAATCTAAATAAATAAATTGATAAAACATCTGAACCTACCTTTCAGAAGAAGCTAATAGTGATGATTCAATTGTTGCATTTAGTGAAAAGTTTCCAACAGGGACATTGCAGACAGAACACACAAAACTGATAGTCTGGTCTTGGGCTCTTAAGTAGTCTTCCTTCGAAATGTCTGTACCACATAATCTGTGTGTCCAACTACCACATACATCACAAGAAACAGCATGCTGAATTTTTTGACAGTTTTGGCACAATAAACACACTTCATTATGATACAAGAGTAGAGTCAAGCATTTGATCTGGTTTTTTTTGTTTTTTTGTTTTTTTTAAATAGTTTATTTACAAAAGTCATAGGTACACTCATTTATGAATAATAATATTTACAATGCAATATACATTTGATAATTTAATGTGGTAGGCCTATAAACAGTTCAATATATTAATTATATTGTATGTATGCTAGATTTATTTATTTGTTTATATTTACAATCGTTATAAACAAAAGTCAAATTACACTCATATATACAATTTAATGAGGTATATATATACAGTTCAATATATTTTTACGCTAGATTTATTTATTTATATTTACAGTCTTTATATACATAAGTCACTATTAAATAATATATACAATCAGTAATATACTACAGTTCTCTAATATGTGGGTCAGCAGCTAACTAAATAAAATGATCATTGTAATGGCAATCATAAATAATACACTTTATAAAATAATATACATTTTAAGTTGTCATCTTAGCAAATATAGATCAACGAATGATTATGATTCTACTACTTGTTAGTTGTGTTTTACGTCCGCTTCCACCGAGGTGATCACTTCATTTTAATTTATATATAATCTAAATTGTCGTGAGAACATGAGACAAGAATGCCTCAACATTATACAAAAATGGTCCAATTAAAGAAGGCTAATTTAATAGGGGGCTTCAACAATTACATAAAAAAAAAGCTTTAAACAATGGTGTCTTTTAAAAGTTGAAAAAGTTATAAAGGATGTTTTGATAATCATTGAGACAAGAATGTCTCATCATTGTGAGAAAAGGCTCGAATTATACCAGATGGTTAATTTGGGATAATGTTGTGACAATCACATAAGACAAAAGAACTTTAAAACTTTATAAATTGCAAGATTGAAAAAGTTATAAAGGATGTTTTGACAACCATTAACAAAATTTTAATTATTTTTTTTTAAATCTAAAACTCTGTAAACTTGGCTATTAAGGGCAGGTAGGAGAAAATTTGGGAGTTGTGACCAAAATTTTTTTTGGCCGTTATGACCAAATTATGTTTGGCCGTTATGACCAAATTTTGGCCGTTGTGACCAAATTTTGGCCGTTATGACCAAATATGTTTTGGCCGTTTTTGCTTTTGGCCGTTATGTCCATAACCCGTATTAATAGAGATCTTACTCAAAAATAATAATGAAAGGGGGTTAACGTCCTACTCCTAAACTGGGCTAATGAAGACGGGCATACGCCATACAGTGGGCGATGAGGGAATTCCAACTGCCAAGGGATATTTTACGTGCACACAAATGTATACACAGGACCTTGGTTTTTCGTCCATCCAAATGTGAAATGAAATGAATTGAAATGGGGTTTAACATCCTACTGTTATGCTCCTAAACTGGGCTAATGAAATGAAATGAAATGAAATGAAATGGGGTTTAACGTCCTACTGTGTTGCTCCAAACTGGGCTAATGAAGACGGGCATATGCCATACAGTTTGCTGAGGGAAATTTTGACCGGACAGCGCCACTACAGCCTACTCTTATATCGAATTCCAACTGTCAAGGGATCTTTTACGTGCATGCCAATGTGTACACGGGACCTTGGTTTTTCGTCACATCTGAATGACTAGACAGCTGTCCTTGTCAGGCCCTCCGTCCTGTATCACTGACAAGGTGAAACCACGCCGGAAAATCTGGATGAACTTTCTCGGCTAATGCAGGGATGGAAATTACTCAAAAAACAATGTGTCTCTATCATACTCTTCAAATCTTCATATTTATAGATACATTATATAAGATTTAGATAAAGAGCTGGTTGTTCTTGCTATAATATACTATTAAAAAAAAGTAGGGGATATTTGATTTTGGGGGCATAATACTAAAATATGCAAATGACTACGAAAAAAGTCACTATAGAACCTAACAGAAGAAACATTTCCAGTTACATGTGACGCCCAAACGCACCAATAGCTACCGCATGGAATGCAGGTGATGCTTGGGATCATCATGGGGGTCCAACCCAAGATTTGCACGACTCTGACTTTGAATGTTACAGTCATTGTGGCATTGAATTCCAGGGTGGAAACATCAGTTGAATTGTTTTAGTGACCAGAAAACAAATTTTGATATGCGTCGGCTTACCCAAAATGAAAGGTTACGTGCCCTTGGCAAGCTACGGATCGGCACAACACAGGCGGTTGTGGCGCGGACGATGAATGTTTCTCAGTCTGTCATAAGCAGGCTATGGTCCAGATACCGTGATACACAATCTGTACAGGACAGACCACGCTCAGGTCGACCAAGGGCGACAACTCAAGCCCAGGATCGATTTATCCGTACCTTGGCCTTGAGAAATCGTGTCATCACAGCAAATCAGATCAGCGCTCGTCTTCAAACAGACACTGGTGTGAGAGTGAGTGGCCAGACGATTCGGAATCGACTGCATAGGGGTCACCTTCGCGCCCGACGTCCTCGCGTGATCCCTTGTTTGAGAGATCATCACATTCAGGCAAGACGTCGTTGGTGTAGGGATCGTCAACACTGGGATAATCGACGCTGGAGCAATGTGATGTTTTCAGATGAGTCAAGGTTCACTGTTGATTTTTTGGACAGACGTAGGAGGGTGTGGCGTCGTCGAAACGAGCGCTTCCAAGACGTTAACGTCATCAGACATGATCGATTTGGGGGTGGTTCTGTATGGTGTGGGGAGGCATCACTGTTGCTGGAAGAACGGCTTTACATGTTGTTGCAGGGCGTGTTACAGGCCAGTACTACCGGGACAACATCTTGGCAGTCCATGTTGTGCCGTTCGCACGACTTCATGGCTGCCGTTTCATCTTCCAGGATGACAACGCAAGATGTCACAGGGCCAGGATCGTTACAGGTTACCTCCAACAACAGAACATCATCACATTACCTTGGCCAGCACTGAGTCCCGACCTCTCCCCCATCGAGCATGTCTGGGACATGCTTGGACAGAGGTTACGCCAACGTCAACAACGTCCTGTCAATGTCCAAGAACTTGCTGCTGCGTTGCAACAGGAATGGGACAATCTGGACCAAAATGACCTTAGACGTCTCATTAGGAGTATGCCACGTCGGATCAATGCTTGTTTGGCAAACAGAGGAGGATTTACCCGTTACTGACTTGGTTGTGATGCTGTGGTAACTTTGCTGTTTGACCCCGGGTATCATTTTACCCTTATAATGGTCAGTCTTTGCCTTACTTAGTCTAACGATCATTTGGAATAAATCGATGAATGTGAAATTCATTTCATTTTGTCATTTGTTTCTTCGTCAGTTTCATTAGGTGACTTTAATAACACTTAAAAATCAAATATCCCCTACTTTTTTTGAATAGTATATATGGTTGGTGTAATTCATTATTATACATCTGGATCATGACGTGGCTTTTTAAATGTTGTAATAACCAGAAGCCCTTTAGGAAGGATGTTTTACCGGTGTCCTCTTATCAAATTGAATCTAGAAATATCATATAAATTTATTCATAAAATGGTCCAGTGATGCATAGCGTACGTTTTGTCACTAAGGCTAAACAGAGAAGAGAGAGAGAGGGAGAGAGAGAGAGGGGCGGAGAGAGAAAGAAATTGGGTTTAACGTCCACTCAACACAAACTATATGTCATTTCGGGACTAACATGGACAAATTTTATTTAATAATTCGTTTGCGCGTAGTGGTCTTTAGCAGTGGGATGAAAACGTAGACCCCGGAGAAAACCCACGAGGTTGGTGGACAGTCGACCCTACTTCTTATCATGACAAGCGAGGATTCGAAAGCAGGTCGATTGACTCAGTGACAGACCTTATGGTGCGACGCCCACGCATTAACCATGCCACCCCCCCCCCTCCCAAGGCTATAGCAGAGACAAGCAATTTGATTGATTGAGACTTTGGATCATAACAACTCTGCTTTTAATTTAGGTAGATTGTTTACAATTGTTGTAGATTATGGGGCGCCGTTTGTAAAATAATTATTTAATTTTTTTTTATAGTAAAAAACATTAGATTTAACTCCGAATATATATATTTAGATAAATATTAGAACAAAAATGGCATATATGTAAATATAAAAAAATATTGTAGCTAAAAGTCGAGTTTTTGGTCTATGAAAAACTTTAAATGTTATATCTTGATTTCACATCGCTTAGTTAAATATATAGCTAAAGGTGCTGTTTTTCGTAGGTATAAATACTAAATCACAGAAAAATCTAAAGTTAAACATTTAGCTAAATATATAAACATTTAGCTAAATATATAAACATTTAGCTAAATATATAAACATTTAGCTAAATATATAAACATTTAGCTAAATATATAAACATTTAGCTAAATATATAAACATTTAGCTAAATATATTAACATTTAGCTAAATATATATATTTAGTTAAATATATAAACATTTAACTAAATATATAAATATCATGCTAAATATATATGTTTAGCTAAATGTATAAATATTTAACCATGGACCTTATAATACAGGTCCATGATTTAACTAAATATATATTTGTGGTCCCGCCTTCTATTATCGTAAGCGACACAATAAACTGCGCATAAAATGATGACGTGTACCCGACACGTGAGCCTTGGCACAATAGGCCTACTAGCAATTAGAAATGGAAGCTAACCACGAACTTGTAACCCGAATCACGGCCGCGGTACTCCGTGCCGTTCGCACAGATCAAGGCAAGGTGCAGTCAATGGAAAGTTGTACAGTACGTCATCGTTTAGTGTGAAGTCGCTTACAACAATAATTATTTTACAAACGGCGTGGTAGGTTGCGCTTTGTAAATTTAACTATATGTTTAGCTAAATATATAATTATTTAGCTAAATATATAATTATTTAGTTAAATATATAAATATTTAGCTAAATATATTTAGTTAAATATATAAATATTTAGCTAAATATATATTATTTAGCTTAGCTAAATATATATTATTTAGCTAAATATATATTATTTAGCTAAATATATAAATGTTTAACTAAATATATAACTAAATATATAAATGTTTAACTAAATATATAAATGTTTAACTAAATATTTTAACATTTAACTAAATATATATTTAGCTAAATGTTTAAACATTTAACTAAATATTTAGCTAAATATTTATATATCATCAAATCTCTTGTTTTGGTCTTAATATTCAATGCTAAATGTTAAATATGAAAATAGAGACAAATCAACAAATATTTATATATATTATGTTAAATATTGAGTTTTTGTTGTATTTTTAGTTTAAATATTAAAAGTGAAAAATTTGCAGAAAAGTCGAGATATTTATATATATAGTTAAAACTATATATATAAATTTAAATTAAATCTAGTGTTTTTTGCTATATAAAAAGCTAAATAATAAATTTACAAACGGCGCTAGGGAGGAGAATTATGCCAGGACAGCTTTTATATATCTGCTCCCAACTGTCAAGGGTTATTTTACGTGCACGACAATGCATACTCAAATAATGCATGTTGGACAAAGTGGATTTAATATTTGAAAATATGTAACAAGAATGTGACCGTCCTAAATATATGGGGAGTTGTCATATCAGGTATTTTGAATGTATCATCCAAATTTGGGGTTTTTTTTTTGTATCTGGTCGATTGGATGGCCGAAGGGTTAACGTGTGCACCCTGTATCAACCTCATGGGATTTATCCGAGTCCTCTGGTTTACTGGGGGGGCGGGGAGGGATTTATCCGAGTCCTCCGGTTTCCTGCGGGGTGGGGGGATGTCCGAATGGTTAGCATGTGCGTGCTGTATCATAAGGTCTGTCATTGAGTCAACTGCCGTGGTTTTGATTCCCCGGATGTACGTGAAAAGACGCTGGCTAGCTAGCCTGGAGATCGGGTGTTTGATTCCTGCATTGACCGAGAAAGTTCATCCAGTTTTTCCGGCATGGTTCCCCCTTGTCAGTGATGCAGGACGGAGAGCCTGACAAGGACAGCTGTCTAGTTATTCGGATGGTACGAAAAACAAAGGTCCCGTGTACACATTGACATGCACATAAAAGATCCCCTGACAGTTGGAATTCGATATAAGAGTAGGCCGTAGTGCCGCTGTCTATGCCCTTCTTCATTAGCCCAGTTCGGAGCAGAACAGTAGGACATTAAACGCCATTTCATTTCATTTCATTTACAAAAGAGAGAGCGAGTGTAAATTAAATAGAGGCCTATTATTATAAACATTGTATAACCTATCATTATATACAGGCTTATATTAATTTTAATTTTAATTGTTTATTTTAGGTAAAATAATGGCAGAGAGTAGTGAATCAGCTACTGTAGATATTAATCCAAGTTTAGGGATGAAAATAACATTAAAAGGAATATCAGCTAAATTTAACGATGTGCATCATATATCAACAACAACACTAGCTACCTGGTTAAAAACACCTGATCACACTATCATTTTATTGGTAAGTTCACCAGCCAGATTCTTTTAGAAAATCAAATTCAGAACAGTGACCCAGCGAGTAATGTAGTAATAGTTAGATGATTTACACTGTAACCCGGGTATCATTTAATCGGGGGAGGGGGGTTGGATACCCGAATGGTTAGCACGTTTCATTGAGTCAACTGGCGTGGTTTCGATTCCCGGGTTGTATGTGACAAGGAGTAGGGTTGTCTGTCATTTAATTTCTTGTATCTAGCACTAATGTGTCTCACATTCGCTTAATATCAAATCTTTGTTAAAAATTTGTAAAATTCATTTAAAATCACCCAAAATCATCTAATCTGTACTTGTCTCCAGTTTAAAGCTGACTGATTAATTTTGACAATGCCTTATATCAAGACAAAATGTACCTCATAGCGCAATGCTCGGCTTATGCCTTACTTCATTACACTGGGTGGGGCAGAAAAGTAGGACGATAAACTCATTTTATTTAGGGAGTTACAGTGCCTCAGCGAGTAAGACGTTGGTTTGCTAACCTAGAGGTACTATATGCGATCCCTGTGTTGTCCAAGATAGTTCATCGGGACTTTCCGGCATAGTTGCCGCATGTCAGTTGTGCAGACGGGGAGTGCCTGACAAGGGACAACGTATAGTCATTTGGATGGCACGAAAAACTGAGGTCCTGTGTGCCCATATGCCATAGGCCATAGTGCTGCTGCCTTGGCAAAATTTCCTTCATAGCACACTGTATAGCGTATGCCTGTCTTTGTTGTATTTTTTAGGATAGCCGACCAGAAGAAGAATTTATCGTTAGTCATTTACCAAAGGCTGTCCGTGTTGATCACGACACAAACAACATAGACGATATTATCAAGTCTTTACCTCAATTGAATAAAACAGAAGAGAAAACTAGAATAATCTGTTATTGTTCTATAGGATATCGATCAAGTCTACTGGCTCAAAAACTTCAACAATATTATAAAAATACACGTAAGCATTGAAAGTGATAGTTGCATATTTTATAAGAAAGTGAAAACATAAGCCTAATGCACACTTAGGAGACACAGTGGCTAAGGGTTGGGTGTTCGATCCCTGCATTGACCGAGAAAATTCATCGGGATTCTCCAACGTGGTTTCCCCTTGTCAGTGGTGCAGGAAGAAGGGTCTGTCTAGTCTTTGGTTGGGACAAAAAAAAAAACAAGGCATGCACGAAAAAGATCCCTTGACAGTTGGAATTCTATATGAGAGAAGGCCATAGTGCCGCTGCCTGGGCAAAATTTCCCTCATAGCACACTCTATGGCGTATGCCCGTCTTCAATAACCCTAGTCGAAGCAGACCAGTAGGACGTTAAACCCCATTTCATTTTTCACTAAGAGATTTTTTCCTTGCCAACATCGGGAGCGAACCTAGGAACTCCTAGTTTAAAGTGAGTAAGACGCTGGCTCGCTAGGCAGGAGGTCACTGGTTTGTTCCCGATTTTGATCACTAAGAGATTTTTTCCTTGCCAACATCGGGAGCGAACCTAGGAACTCCTAGTTTAAAGTGAGTAAGACGCTGGCTCGCTAGGCAGGAGGTCACTGGTTTGTTCCCGATTTTGATCACTAAGAGATTTTTTCCTTGCCAACATCGGGAGCGAACCTAGGAACTCCTAGTTTAAAGTGAGTAAGACGCTGGCTCGCTAGGCAGGAGGTCACTGGTTTGTTCCCGATTTTGATCAAAAAAGTGCCTCAGCACGGTTTCAGATCAGTTATCAAAGGACACAGACCAATTTTTTCTGACGGGCTGTATGAGCCGTAATCTGAATCGACAAGACATAGACCATTTTTTTTCTTCTTTTTGGGTAGGGTCGCCTGTCCAACCTCGTGGGTTTTCTCCGGATCCTCCGGTGCAAAAAACCCCTATGCGCAAGCGAATTATTGAAATAAAATTTAACCATATGTTAGTCCCGAAAGGACCTAGTTTGTGTCGCGTGGACGTTAAACCCCTTATCTCTCTCTCTTCTTTTTCAAGTAGTTTTATCCTGCACCAAGCCCGTTTTCTATGTCCTCATTTTTGTGGATTATTTCATATTCAGGAAAACACGGACCAAATTACACGACTGCCTGTTAAAATTTTTTAAAAAATATCAACTGATGAATATTCTATTGTTTTTCTCCAGAAACTGAAACAAAACCAGATATTTACAACTTAGAAGGATCGATATTTAAATGGGCCAATGAAAACCGAGCAATGGTAGACAGTGTTGACCAGCCTACTATATATGCTCATCCATATAACAGTTTGTGGGGGAAATTATTAAACAAAGAACTTAGAAAACTCAACTGATATCAAGGCTGCTGATCCTTGTTAGGTGGGTTGGATGGCTGAATGGTTAGCATGTGCGCGCTGTAACATAAGGTCTCTCATTGTGTCAACTGGCGTGGTTTCGAATCCCCGGTTGTACGGGTCCTCCGGTTTCCTCCCACTACTAAAGACCCCTACGCGCAAGTTGTACGTAACAAGGAGTAAGGTTGCCTGTCCAACCTCATGGGTTTTCTCCGGTTTCCTCCCACTACTAAAGACCCCTACGCGCAAGTGAATTATGGAAATAAAAAAGAACCATATGTTAGTTCTGAAATGACCTACTTTGTGTTGCGTGGATGTTAAACCCCATTTCTCTCTCTCTACTCAAGGGTATCCCCACTGAAACCCATGATGTTAGGCAGGCATCACTTCTCATTTTTCAAACCTATGACATTATGCTTACTCAAAGACATCTCCACTGAATCCTATGTCATATATAGATAGGCAACTTTATTAGTGATATTAAAGTTTCCCTTTCAAATAAGCTGTGTAGTGTGGGCGTATTCCACACTTTGTGTGGCTATCTTCTTTGTCATAGAAATTTTTTTTATACATTTTTACACTTTGAATGATTATTTTTTGTTGTGGAATGTGGAATAAATTTGTTACTTTTTTATATTTAGAAATTATTAATTTTTTTTGTTACATATGGTATCAGTGGTTAGTAGTTATAATTTCTCACCAATGGGTTGAAACACCTGATATTTTTTTGACAAAGAGATATATATGTAAAGAAAGGCAGTCGAGCAGACCCAGCTGGAAAATTTATTTTAGCTTTTTGAAGCTTCAAATATACTTTTTACGTGTTTATATAATAAAGGATATGCTGATTGTACCTTCTGAGGTTATGTAACATATCGACAACTAATAAATGGTACAAAAATTGCATATCTTGTGTCTTATCAGGTGGAACAAAGCTGGTATATACAAGACAATTTGCCGCAGGTTCTAAACAAATGGAATAATATGAAATGGGGTTTAACTTCCTACTTCTCTGCACCAACCAATGAATATCGTGGACAGCTAATATAAGTCTAAAACATCGTTCAAATCTGGATACAAGCACTAAAATTTGAATGGTTGTCTGGTTAGGATCATTTATTGAGAAAATCCTGTAGGCCCGCCACTCGAATTTTCAAAATGACTCATTTTCCAAGATGGCAGCGATTTTTGTTTTTTCTTTCACAGAATATTACCCACTTGACCAACTGAGAGTATTTCTATTGGCCACATTCTCGAGTTGCTAATGGGCTTGTTTTTCAAAAGAGTAAAATGAAAGGAAATGGAATGGGGTTTAACGTCTACTGTTCTGCTCCGACTGGGCTAATGGAGACAGGTATATACCCGGGCAGCAGCACTGTGTACGCCAAGGGATTTTTTATGTGTACGCCAATGCATACACAGGTCCACGTTTTTTTGTCCCATCCGAAAAACTAGACAGCTGTCCTTGTCAAGCGCCACCGTCCCTGCACCACCTCGGAAAATCCTGATGAACTTTCTCGGCCGATGCTGGGATCGAACGTGCAACCCCTAGACTAGCGAGCCAGCATCTTTACACATTTAGCCATGTGGTTCCCTACAAAAGAGTAGTGCTCAAGGAGTTTTGTGCCAATTTTGATACTTGTGTCCACATTTGAACGGTTTCCGTTTATATGTCCCACTGCACTAAATAAAGATTGGCAGTTTAACAAAAGATAAAAAAACATGAAGATCGTTATAAATATATTTAATAAACAAAAAGTATTAAAATATGTGATATAAAATATATAAAATATATTCAAACTAACAGTATAAAATCTGTTATTATACATAATACAAAATATATTCAATTATAAACATATTAGTTTAAAACTAAACTGTATTCATTCAGATCAGAGTTTAAATAAAAGAAAATAATAAAATATGCCACAATAATATGCACATTATAACTAAATAAAACGTATTCATTCAGATTGGAATAAAATTATAAACAGTATTCATTCAGATAACAAATAAAAGAAAATACATGTAAAGTAAAAATATTATGTACTGTCTAACTAAACAGATTGGAAATAAAATTATAAACAAATTAATTTAGAACTTAAACCGTGTTCGTTCAGATTCAACATAAAATTATCAACATATTAGTTTAAAACTAAACAGTATTCATTCTGATCGAAAATGGAAAATCACAACCTGAAGGTTGGCTTATTTATAAAATAATATTTTTACATGTCTTAACTAGACAATAATGATAACAAATATAAAACTAAACAACCAATTATTAAAACAAATTACACTTTGAAATGCACCGTGTTGAAAACATAAAATGCACAGCAGTGAAAACAGATGGTACCATGAAATGCACAGTGGTGAAAACAGATGGTACCATGAAATGCACAGTGGTGAAAACAGATAATACTATGAAATGAACAGTTGTGAAAACAGATAATACTATCAAATGTACAGTGTTAAACAGATAATACTATGAAATGTACAGTGTTAAACAGATAATACTATGAAATGTACAGTGTTGAAAACAGATAATAATATGAAATTGACAGTGTTGAAAACAAATTATACAATGAAAAGGAATAATTCACTGTCTTAAAGATACATTATGTAAGATTTAGATAAAGAGCTGATCACTCTTGCTAATATAGCTCAAAAATAGATAATGTAAAATGAAAATATTGAAAATATCATTCAAATTACTTCATTCTGAGCCAAGTTATCACTGTTTGTAGTTTTGACAAGATGTGTACATTGTGGTAACCAGGGTACTGGATATTCGTGACTTAGCCTCGCTTTCCCATTTTTAAATTAATTTTTTAAATGGTGAACCGTTATAATCTAGTTAAAATCTTGAGTATTCGATGCCATCAAGAGTTGATTATGGTCTTGTTTTGTTAATAAATGTCTTATTAATAATTTAGATAAAATTTCAGGCCTAAAGAAATACCTGCAATAGGCAGATTTAGCTCTTGAATAATGTATGTTTAATTAGAGATAGATATATATTCAGGCAACAAAATCTATCACCACAGCAGCTAAGTTATCTAAAATAATCTTTAGTCATAGATTAATTAAACATACATTATGCAAGAGCTAAATCTGCCTATTGCAGGTATTAATTTATAACAAGCCAACAGTGAGGCTGATGTCCCCCGCCGAAATAGGAAAATAATTAGAGGACACATATAAATTTATCACAAATTATCTTTTACAAAGTATTGAACAATCAAACAGTATATCTTTACTTATAGTCTAACAATCAAAGTAGGAGAGTTATTGTTTTCCAAAGTCTCGACCAATCAAATTGCGTATCGCTCTGCTTACCCTGAGCAGAAAATGCTCATTATCAAACTTAGTCAAGGTATTACTGTAATGAAACTATACACCAAGTTTCATCAATCTCACTTAATTAGAACTAAAGTTATCGTGTCCCAAAGCATCAACCAATCAAATTGCTTATCTCTGCTTACCCTAAGCGGAAAATGCTCATCTTCGAACTCCATCAAGGCATTGACCTAATCAACGCATACACCAAGTTTGAACATTCTAGCTCAATTAGGAAGAGAGTTATCGTGCCCCAAAGTATCAACCAATCAAATTGCTGCTTACCCTGAGCAGAAAATGCTCATTATCAAACTTAGTCAAGGTATTACTGTCATGAAACTATACACCAAGTTTCATCAATCTCACTTAATTAGAACTAAAGTTATCGTGTCCCAAAGCATCAACCAATCAAATTGCTTATCTCTGCTTACCCTAAGCGGAAAATGCTCATTTTCGAACTCCATCAAGGCATTGACCTAATCAACACATACACCAAGTTTGAACATTCTAGCTCAATTAGGAAGAGAGTTATCGTGCCCCAAAGTATCAACCAATCAAATTGCTTATCTCTGCTTACCCTAAGCGGAAAATGCTCATCTTCGAACTCCATCGAGGCATTGACCTAATAAACACATACACCAAGTTTGAACATTCTAGCTCAATTAAAAGTTATCGTGTCCCAAAGCATCAACCAATCAAATTGCTTATCTCTGCTTACCCTAAGCGGAAAATGCTCATCTTCGAACTCCATCAAGGCATTGACCTAATCAACACATACACCAAGTTTGAACATTCTAGCCCAATTAGGAAGAGAGTTATCGTGTCCCAAAGCATCAACCAATCAAATTGCTTATCTCTGCTTACCCTAAGCGGAAAATGCTCATCTTCGAACTCCATCAAGGCATTGACCTAATAAACACATACACCAAGTTTGAACATTCTAGCTCAATTAGGAAGAGAGTTATTGTGTCCCAAAAAGTGTGACGGACAGACAGACGGACGGACGGACGGACGGACGGACGGACGGACAGACAGACGGACGAACCCATTTTAATAGTCCCCTGCTTTCTTCGAAAGGCGGGGGACAATTAGACATTAATTAACATATCCAGACCATATGCAACTCTCGATGTCAACGCTAGCCTGCGATATTCATTGGATTATGAAACGATTTGCTGCTCAGCTTTCATTCATGATTTAATCATGAAATGGATACTCGAGACTATGTTTTTATCGTACCGACTTTAGTAATGACAATCGTTTTTTTTATCGTACCGACAAAAATCTTGGTTCAGAGTGGATCAATTTGACTGAAATTTACAGCAAATTGCCTTTATATTATCTAGTTTTTAACTATTATAGTGAGAACTGCCAGCTCTTTATCTGATCTCCCATAATGTATCTTTAAGCGTTTTTTAAGGCCCCAACAAACAAACACCTCTATTACTCAAAACTAAAACCAAAACTTGAAACCGGATGAGTTTAAAACAATTCAATTTCAGTATTGTTATTATAATATACCACACTTCCTAGTTCATGATTTAATCCAATATCGATCGTAGATAGTTGATCATGAGGTATTTTATGTACTCTTAATTCTCTCAAATTCGGGTTTTTAATCAGAGTGTATGCTAGATTCCATCGTATCCATGCTTTACTTGTCTTGTTCTTTTTTCCTAAAATAGAAAAAATAGAATGAAGCAGAGCAGGTGCATGTCTAGAGGTTGGTGGAGGTGGTGGGAGGGTTCTAGCATAGAGCATATGCTAGGTGTATATAAAAACACCATAAAATGTGGGTGTATTTAAAAACACCATAAAATGTGGGTGTATATAAAAACACTATAAAATGTGGGTGTATATAAAAACACCATAAAATGTGGGTGTATATAAAAATAATATACCCATTAATCAATCTGATAATATCATGTATAATGTATTGGACGTTAAGTTTGTAATAAGTTATACAAGCTCCTTAGATGGACCCAACTAAACTCCCTATATCGTTATGGCGCCCGCAAGACTAGTAAATTGTTCTCTAATACGGGTAGGTATTCACATATCTCGGGCAGTTTGAGACAGACTAAGAAACAGCAGTTTCTATCTGTCCAGGGATGTACCGGTATAAATATATCATTTTTCTCTAAGGTCCATTTTTGTCGGTCTAATGCATATGTAATGGGACCATTTCCATGTCACCGTCAAAACCGCGTGCGGAAATTCTGCAAAAACATGTACATGTACATGTAAAACTGGGTTAAGGGTTAATAGTACCTGTTTGTTTCTCTTCTATTTTCGGACCCCAGATATGACTGATAAATACACGTAATATGGGATGATTGTGGGCCACATCCAGATACAGCATACTAACATAGGAGAAAAACCCTGAAATAAAACAGATATAACATAGGAGAAATAATCAAACAAGTTTCCTTTGATTCAGGGGCGTTGGGTGGCCAAATGGTTAATATGCATGTTAGATCATAGGGGCTGTCATTGAGCCAAGTGGCGTGGTTTCAATTCGCCACTTGGTTGTAACGACGAGTAGTGTCGCCTGTCCAACCTCTAATGTTTTAACCCATTAAGTGAGAGAGAGAGAGAAAAATGAGATGTAACGTCCACTCGACACAAACTAGGTCATTTTGGGACTAGCATAGGACCCAGAGAAAACCCATTAGGTACGAATCACGTACAACCAGGGATTCGAAACCACGCCAGTTGACTCAATGACAGGCCTTAGGATACAGTGCGCACATGCTAACCATTCGGCCATCCAACCCCCTAACCTATTAAGCCCTTCTTTTAAATCACCCCGACATGTGGTAACAATATATAGCTTGCCAGCCTATTGTTTAAAAACCATGTTTATCATAATGTTCAAAACCTTGTATTAATGGGTTATGGACATAACGGCCAAAAGAAAAAACGGCCAAAAATTTCTGGTCATAACGGCCAAAATATTTTTTGGTAATGGTTTAATGAATCAAAATATTAAAACAACAGAAGAACAAAAACAATTTTAATATATTTTATTTTTGAATGGCTATAAATTATTTTATAACAAAAATAACAACAAAAATAAACACGGAGGCATATGTTCATGATTAATTGAAAACAAATATATTAATTCAAAAGAGGAAGAAGAAATATCAGGAATGCGACGTATTAAAATACAATGTGTTTTAACACTTAAAGATACATTAAGTGAGATTAGAGTTGACTAAAGTTAATATCCGATTGAATTTAAATTTATACACAGTGTTTAAGGTCATGGGACGAAGAAGCCTATTGATTTTAAGCGACATCTGATAATTACTGCCAGTTATGACCCTTGATCACATTAAAAACTCTCTAGAGGCTTAAGTTAATATCCGATTGACTTTAAATTCATACACAGTGTTTAAGGTCATGCGATGAAGAAGTCTATTGATTTTCAGCGATTTCTGATAATTACTGCCAGAGTTATGGCCCAGGACTATCTATTCAACGGGTCCATGGTGACGGGAACATATCCGTAACATCATGCTAGCAATCAAATCTCCATTCTCATATTCTCTCCAAGCATGGTAAATCTCTTCTTGGGCGTTCGTACATGTTCGGATGAAATAACTCCTCAATTTCCCTTCGAACAATAATGCGGCTTGAAGGGGCAACATGTCGACTTCTCCAAAAAGAAAGCTAATCAGCTTATACATCCCCAACTGCTGCTCACCAGCCTTGTGGTTGATGTGTCGATGCCACCCTGAAATAAAATTTAACAAATAATTAAATCCATGTAGAATAAAATGGTATATTACATTATAGGCGACCATGCATTTAAGCTAGATAAAACTTAATTTTTGAATAGTCTGTACATACCTTCTATGTTATTGTTTGTCCTTATTGTCTGGTTAAACACACTCCAAGATGACATTTTAAAAAGGCTATGGTCAATCCATTGACGTTCCATATAATCCATTAACTCAATTAGTTTATCGTTTGTGGTTTTACCCTGAAGTTGGTAAAATGTCACGTACAGTACGTGTGACTTTGGCAAAAAAGGTAAACTCATTAGTTTTTTTTATGAAGCTATGGGTGCCACCATGAACTTTATATTTATTCTGAAAAACATAAAATTAAAATTATCTAATACTTATGCATACACTGTATATAATTCTGAAAAACATTAATATGATCTTCATAACATATGGAAAATGCACCGTATACATTTATTTATAATCTAAATAAATAAATTGATAAAACATCTGAACCTACCTTTCAGAAGAAGCTAATAGTGATGATTCAATTGTTGCATTTAGTGAAAAGTTTCCAACATGGACATTGCAGACAGAACACACAAAACTGATAGTCTGGTCTTGGGCTCTTAAGTAGTCTTCCTTCGAAATGTCTGTACCACATAATCTGTGTGTCCAACTACCACATACATCACAAGAAACAGCATGCTGAATTTTTTGACAGTTTTGGCACAATAAACACACTTCATTATGATACAAGAGTAGAGTCAAGCATTTGATCTGGTTTTTTTTTTTTTTTTTTTTTTTTTAAATAGTTTATTTACAAAAGTCTTAGGTACACTCATTTATGAATAATAATATTTACAATGCAATATACATTTGATAATTTAATGTGGTAGGCCTATAAACAGTTCAATATATTAATTATATTGTATGCTAGATTTATTTATTTGTTTATATTTACAATCATTATAAACAAAAGTCAAATTACACTCATATATACAATTTAATAAGGTATATATATACAGTTCAATATATTTTTACGCTAGATTTATTTATTTATATTTACAGTCTTTATATACATAAGTCACTATTAAATAATATATACAATCAGTAATATTCTACAGTTCTCTAATATGTGGGTCAGCAGCTAACTAAATAAAATGATCATTGTAATGGCAATCATAAATAATACGCTTTATAAAATAATATACATTTTAAGTTGTCATCTTAGCAAATATAGATCAACGAATGATTATGATTCGTTCGTTCGTTTCTGGGGTTTTACGTCCACTTCCACCTAGATTATGATTATGATTCACTTCATTTTAATTTATGTATAATCTAAATTGTCGTGAGAACATGAGACAAGAATGCCTCAACATGATACAAAAATGGTCCAATTAAAGAAGGCTAATTTAATAGGGGGTTTCAACAATTACATAAAAAAAAGCTTTAAACAATAGTTTCTTTTAAAAGTTGAAAAAGTTATAAAGGATGTTTTGATAATCATTGAGACAAGAATGTCTCATCATTGTGAGAAAAGACTCCAATTATACCAGATGGTTAATTTGGGATAATGTTGTGACAATCACATAAGACAAAAGAACTTTAAAACTTTATAAATTGCAAGATTGAAAAAGTTATAAAGGATGTTTTGACAACCATTAACAAAATTTTAATTATTTTTTTTTAAATCTAAAACTCTGTAAACTTGGCTATTAAGGGCAGGTAGGAGAAAATTTGGGAGTTGTGACCAAATTTTGACCGTTGTGACCAAATTTTGGCCGTTGTGACCAAATATGTTTTGGCCGTTTTTGCTTTTGGCCGTTATGTCCATAACCCGTATTAATAGAGATCTTACTCAAAAATAATAATGAAAGGGGGTTAACGTCCTACTCCTAAACTGGGCTAATGAAGACGGGCATTCGCCATACAGTGGGCGATGAGGGAATTCCAACTGCCAAGGGATATTTTACGTGCACACAAATGTATACACAGGACCTTGGTTTTTCGTCCATCCAAATGTGAAATGAAATGAATTGAAATGGGGTTTAACATCCTACTGTTATGCTCCTAAACTGGACTAATGAAATGAAATGAAATGAAATGGGGTTTAACGTCCTACTGTGTTGCTCCAAACTGGGCTAATGAAGACGGGCATATGCCATACAGTTTGCTGAGGGAAATTTTGCCCGGACAGCGCCACTACAGCCTACTCTTATATCGAATTCCAACTGTCAAGGGATCTTTTACGTGCATGCCAATGTGTACACGGGACCTCGGTTTTTCGTCACATCTGAATGACTAGACAGCTGTCCTTGTCAGGCCCTCCGTCCTGCATCACTGACAAGAGGGAACCACGCAGGAAAATCCTGATGAACTTTCTCTGCCAATGCAGGGATCGAACTTACTCAAAAAACAATGCGTCTTTATCATACTCTTCAAATCCTCATATTTATAGATACATTATGTAAGATTTAGATAAAGAGCTGGACATTCTTGCTATAATAGCTCAAAAATAGAGCGCTGGACGTTCTTGCTATAACAGTTATATTAGAGATACATTATATAAGACTTAGATAAAGAGCTGGACGTTCTTGCTATAATAGTTATATTAAAGATACATTATGTAAGATTTAGATAAAGAGCTGGACGTTCTTGCTATAATAGTTATAGTAAAGATACATTATGTAAGATTTAGATTAAGAACTGGACGTTCTTGTTATAATAGTTCTATTAGAGATACATTATGTAAGATTTAGATAAAGAGCTGGACGTTCTTGCTATAATAGTTCTATTAGAGATACATTATGTAAGATTTAGATAAAGAGCTGGACGTTCTTGCTATCAAAAATCACCCTACCTCTATCATACTGTTCAAAACCTCGTAACAATAATGGTCTCTCTAAACAGCCAATCATAAACAAAGAAATAGAGAAACTTTTGATTATTCTCAGGATGGATGAAATGAAACCAACAATCAAATTGTTGAAAATCCAATAATAACCCAGAAATTCAAAACATCGCCTAAAAATGAAAACATAAAATTGTTAAAGAATTCTGATTTACGACAGCTTGGAAAACAATCAACAGTAAGAAATGAAATAAGGTCAAAATGTCCAATCTGTTTGCACCACCAGGGCATGCGCACTGTGCTATTGTGCTATGTGGGAAATTTTGCCTGGACTGAAGTGTTTGTTTTCGGTTACTTTGTAAGCAATTCCAATTTGTACATTGGATAACATACTGCAAAATACCGGGAAACTTTCTTGGTCAACACCAGAAACAAAACGAATGAAAGCTGACTTGTATCCTGAACCCTGGTAGATTTCCGTACAGGATTAACAGCTGAACCAAGTTTTGGCCCCCCAACATATTCCACTATAATATGGTGATGTGAGCAGAACTGAACCCTGGGCCCCAGTAGACTTCAGTACTGGATTAAAAGCTGAATTGCACCCTGAGCCCCTGTAAATGTCTGTACTGGATTAAAAGATGTATAGATCTACCTATTATCTATATTTAACGGTCTGTATTGATCATCTGGATTTATCTTGGGTTGAAGAAAGAAAAACCTTGTTAACAATTTCTGTAGTAAAAATAACACCCATGTTATCACTGGTAAGCTGAAATTAAACATACAAGGATATAACACCAGCACATATATACTACAGTGCGGGCCCGTAGCCACGGGGGGAGGGGGGGCTATGGGGGGGGGCTTACCCCCCCACCCCAAAAACAAATCGTATTAGCCCCCAAATATATTTCGCCAACAATGATTTCATAGGAGGGTTCTTAGCTGGCCACACCCTCAGCCCCTCCCAAAAATTCCGTAGCCCCAATGGTATTTAGGGAGAGGGGTTTTACATAGACTAACTAAGCCTGTTCCCCAATCCCATTCAGACAACCTGAATAAAATATTATTTAAAAAAAAGAATTGTCATTTTGACACCCTGTAAGCTGGTGACTGGGGAATTTCGCTACATATAACGTCATACATAAAAATATCTAGTTCTAGTTCTTAGATAGTCTCGGTCACCCAGAACCTCCTAGTCTTCAACATTCGGAGGATCTGGGACTGTTGTCAATATTTGACTAAAAGTCCATTGCCCATGCGTAATCGGGAGTTTGGTTTTTAATGTGGTTGATTATCCAGTCTCTTTAGCCAACTCAAGTAAGAGTTGTGCCCCTTCCCACAATAAATCCCATAATTCTTGCATTAATATAAACAAACATGAATCGTGACGACGAATTAGGATTAATTTTCAAAGCATAGATATGGCCCATGAAGAGAGAAAATAAAATAAAAAATTAAGAGTGTTAGATATTGAACTTGCATGCAATCAAATGGATTTTTTGAAATGACATTCTTAAATTAATTTCATGGGCGTAAACATCTTGCTTTAAGAGGAGTTACCTCCCTTATACATTGTTTATGACAATGTAATAGACCGGATTATCTAGACAATTTTTCTCAAATGTTGATAACGCATCCAGACTAATATTGCATCCAGACTAAAATTCATAGAATATTTTTCTGGATGATAGAGACTAGTTCTTAGAAAATCCTTACCAAAAATCTGATACGCGAGGTTTTTTATTTTGTATTTCTATTTTGTCAAAGGAAAACTCTTGCCATACTGGGCTAAATGACTTCTCATAAACATCACATTTCAAGGCCCTACATTTATCTTGAGCGATGTATACTCCTTCAAGACGTTTGAGCGATGTATGATTATCCAGTATCATTAAATGATTGTCAGTAACATTTATCAAGGTTGTGTACCTAAATGGAAAGGGAGTCATGGTGGGTAAAAAGCTTGCTCGCTAGCATAAAAGTTGCGTGTTCGATTTTTCGGCATTGTTTTCTCCGTGTCAGTGGTACAGGACAGAGGGCCGAACAAGGACAGCTGTCTAGTCATTCGGATGGGATGGAAAACTGAGGACCCGTGAATACTTTGCCGTGCATGTAAAAGATCCCCTGGCAGTAGGAATTCAATATAAGAGTTGGCCTGATCCGATGCCCGGGCAAAATGTCCCTCAATTGTCACAAAGTTTTAAGATTGTTATAAAATAAAATTACTTACATGAGATATTGTGCTACTGTTTCAATAGCATCAGCTAATAGATCTATTTCATTTAGAACATAGCATCCTCCTATTATTATAGACAATATTAACCAGACAACGACAGTACAGATAAGGTAGCCTATCAAATGAAAAAAAATAAAATGGGATTTCATGCTGTATTTGTCTGGTCCATTCGGGATATCGAGGACAGTGTAGCATTGCTACTTCAGCAGACAAACACTGTCAAGACCAATAGCATCATTTCTATTTCACCTGTTGTGTATATCATTCATTATTTTGCTTTTCATGGGACTGTACAGCATAGTGAATGCTTAGAACTAGCCCAAGGATTAGTTTATCTGATTGGATATTTGTTATTATTTATTTCTTGTAACGTCTGTCTTGGCTACTGGTTTATCTTGTTGGGTGGGGTGGTGGTGGTGGTGCTTATCGAGTGACCCGGTGGTTAGCGTGTGAATGTTGGATCAGAAGGTCTGTCATTGAGTCAGGTTGTGTTGTTTTGATTCCCTGCTTGTACGTGACAAGAAGTAGGGTCGCCTGTCCAACCTCATGGGTTTTCTCCAGGTTCTCCGGTTTCCTACCACTGCTAAAAACTCCTACACGCATGCGAATTATAGAAATAAAATTGAACCATATGTTAGTCTCAAAATGACCTAGTTTGTGTCGAGTGGATGTCAAACTCTCTCTCTAAACTCTCTCTCTAAACTCTCTCTCTCTCTCTCTCTCTCTCTCTCTCTCTCTCTCTCTCTCTCTTCCTGGTGTTGTTTTGCTTGCAGCATTGTCCTAACTTGAATGCAACCAAATACTTTTGGATTTTTTAAATGTTTTTTTACCTGAAGAAATAAGGATATTTTTGAACAAGTGTTTCAGAGGAAGAGAAAATCAAATATGGCCTAGTTATGGTTGTGAAAGTATGAAACTACTTACCCCATAAAGTATAGGCTATCAAATAACCTTTAAACTTCAAACTCCATGCCTGAAAAGTGAGATAAAAGTTTTAACGAGAAATATCTTCACCGGGGATAATGCAGATGAACGATAACTGTACTAAGAGACCCATCTACTTTGAGAATAGATCTCTATCTCTCTCTGGGGAGTTGGATGGCCGAATGGTTAGCACGTGCGTGGTTTCGATTTCCCAGTTGCACATGCACGCTGTATCATGAGGTCTGTCATCAAGTCAACTGGCATGGTTTCGATTTCCCGGTTGTGCGTGACAAGGAGTAGGGTCGCCTCTCCAACCTCGTTGGTTTTCTCCAGGTCCTCTGGTTTCCTCCCACTGCTAAAGATCCTACACGCAAGCGAATTATTATGTTAGTCCCAAAATGACCTAGTTTGTGTCGAGTGGATGTTAAACCCCATTTTTCTCTCTCACTCTGTCCTGAATGGCATCCATATTAAAAATTGGATATCATGTAGATTAAAGAGTCGGTCAAGCCAGGCTAAGTAATTAGCTTTAATTGAATTTTTACCGCCATTATTAAAGTGGGTAGCCGCAGGTTCGCTAACCTAGAGGTCAGGGGTTCGATCCCGGTATTGGCAGAGAAAGTTTCTCAGGATTTTCCTGCACGGTTTCCCCTTGTCTGTCCTGCAGGATGGAAAGGCTGGCAAGGACCGCTCTAATGGGACTAAAAACCGAGGTTTGTCGTGCTCTTTAAAGAACCCTCGACATAGGTCGCTGTCTGGGTAGAATTTCCCTTATAGCACACCGTGTGACATATGGAAAGTCAAAAATCATTCAAACCCTTGATATATTCAACTACTTACCACAACTTCTATTGGTGAAGATTTCCTAAATTCATTGATGAGTTGACTGTTTTCACCTTTATATAACTTTAATATATTCTTCCTAAAAAATAATATTCTATTTAATATTCTATCTATGAAATAATATACTATTTAATATTCTTCCTATAAAATAATATACTATTTAATAATCTTCCTATAAAATAATATACTATTTAATAATCTCCCTATAAAATAATATTCTATTTAATATTCTTCCTATAAAATAATATACTATTTAATAATCTCCCTATAAAATAATATACTATTTAATATTCTTCCTATAAAATAATATACTATTTAATAATCTTCCTATAAAATAATATTCTATTTTTAATATTCTATCTATGAAATAATATACTATTTAATAATCTCCCTATAAAATAATATACTATTTAATAATCTTCCTATGAAATAATATACTATTTAATAATCTTCCTATAAAATAATATACTATTTAATAATCTTCCTATAAAATAATATTCTATTTTTAATATTCTATCTATAAAATAATATACTATTTAATAATCTCCCTATAAAATAATATACTATTTAAAAATCTCCCTATAAAATAATATACTGTTTAATATTCTCCCTATAAAATAATATACTATTTAATATTCTTCCTATAAAATAATATTCTATTTAATAATCTCCCTATAAAATAATATACTATTTAATAATCTCCCTATAAAATAATAAACTATTTAATATTCTTCTTATAATATTTTTACTATAAAATAATATACTATTTAATATTCTTCTTATAATATTTTTACTATAAAATAATATACTATTTAATATTCTTCTTATAATATTTTTACTATAAAATAATATACTATTTAATATTCTTCTTATAATATTTTTACTATAAAATAATATACTATTTAATATTCTTCTTATAATATTTTTACTATAAAATAATATACTATTTAATAATCTCCCTATAAAATAATATTCTAGTTAATAATCTCCCTATAAAATATTATTCTATTTAATATTCTATCTATGAAATAATATACTATTTAATAATCTCCCTATAAAATAATATTCTATTTAATATTCTCCCTATAAAATAATATACTATTTAATATTCTATCTATGAAATAATATTCTATTTAATAATCTTCCTATAAAATAATATACTATTTAATATTCTTCCTATAAAATAATATTCTATTTAATATTCTTCCTATAAAATAATATACTATTTAATAATCTCCCTATAAAATAATATTCTATTTAATAATCTCCCTATAAAATAATATACTATTTAATAATCTTCCTATAAAATAATATTCTATTTAATATTATATCTATGAAATAATATTCTATTTAATAATCTTCCTATAAAATAATATACTATTTAATATTCTTCCTATAAAATAATATACTATTTAATAATCTTCCTATAAAATAATATACTATTTAATAATCTTCCTATAAAATAATATTCTATTTAATATTATATCTATGAAATAATATTCTATTTAATAATCTTCCTATAAAATAATATACTATTTAATATTCTTCCTATAAAATAATATTCTATTTAATAATCTTCCTATAAAATAATATACTATTTAATATTTTTCCTATAAAATAATATTCTATTTAATATTCTTCCTATAAAATAATATACTATTTAATAATCTCCCTATAAAATAATATACTATTTAATATTCTATCTATAAAATAATATTCTATTTAATAATCTTCCTATAAAATAATATACTATTTAATATTCTTCCTATAAAATAATATTCTATTTAATATTCTTCCTATAAAATAATATACTATACTATTTAATAATCTCCCTATAAAATAATATACTATTTAATAATCTCCCTATAAAATAATATACTATTTAATATTCTATCTATAAAATAATATACTATTTAATATTCTTCCTATAAAATAATATACTATTTAATAATCTCCCTATAAAATAATATACTATTTAATATTCTATCTTTGAAATAATATACTATTTAATAATCTCCCTATAAAATAATATACTATTTAATATTCTTCTTATAATATTTTTACTATAAAATAATATACTATTTAATAATCCCCTATAGTATATTTTAATCTTTATTAGCCTATTCTGTGCAGGAAAAGGAAAAAAATTGGATGTTAATCCTAATTTTATTCCTTATTTCATTGATTTCTTTTATTCATGACATCTTACCTGTATCTTAACACAACTCTTACCTGTATCTTAACAAAAGCATATAGATATGAAACGAGGCCACCAACAAACCAATTACTGAAGCAACATACCAATCATCTAAAAAAAATATTATTCAATTCACAAATTACATTTAACAAAACCAAATAATAATCCAATCTGATCAAACCATAGATCCTATTTCGTTTCTATTTTTTTTTTATTGTTCAAAATTTCGTTTTAATTGTCTTTACTACACTAGGATCTGGAAGAGTTGTTATCATTGACGTGTTCTGGATGGTGTTAGGGATTAGCCAATGAAACGGTTTGTTACGGCGAGCTTTAGGTGTGTTTTGCATGGAACTGTGGGTAATCCATTAGAAACATCAATGCTGATTGGTTAATCAAATGTCTGACGTCATAGGGTCAAAAGCGACTTGTATGACCTCTGACGCGACCTATCGCTACAACTTGTCAAATCTTCATGTAATAGAAATGAAATGAAATGAAATGGGGTTTAACGTCCTACTGTTCTGCTCCTAAACTGGGCTAATGAAGACGGGCATACGCCATACAGTGTGCTATGAGGGAAATTTTGCCCGGGCAGCGGCGCTACAGCCTACTCTTATATCGAATTCCAACAGCCAAGGGATCTTTTACGTGCACGCCAATATGTTCACGGGACCTCGTTTTTTTCGTCACATCCGAACGACTATACAGCTGTCCTTGTCAGGACCTCCGTCCTACATCACTGACAAGGGGAAACCACGCCGGAAAATCTGGATGAACTTTCTCGGCCAATGCAGGGATCGAACATCCGACCTCCAGACTGGCGAGCCAGCGTCTTACTCATGTTATAGAGGCCATCGAAAGTATAAAAACAACGAAACGAAATATAGATCTTTATTATATGATCCGTAGTGGAATACCGCGTTTTATCAGTGAAATAATGAAAATTATGAAAACAATATGGCCGACACGCCGACTTGTCGATCGTTACATTCTCAAAGGTATTCATACACCAGAAGCAGATAAAGATGTAAAGCGGTCTAACCCCCCGCGTTGTCAAAGCGGACAAAGTAGTCCATGTTGTTTTTACCTAAAATGATTGTAAAATCATAAAATAAATAGAACATTTGTCGTTTTGTCGTGAATAACATATTTTATTTCATCTCGAAGCAAGAAAACGTTTATATAAGTTTATAAGTTTTCTTGCTTCTCGATGAAATAAAATATGTTATTCACGACAAAACGACAAATATCCTCTATATATTTTACTCAGATTGATAATAATGTTGATAAAAGCGCCAATAAGTAAATCTGTAGTAGGGTGTCTAGTGGTCTTTAGCGTTGCTTTAGAATTACAAGGTCTGTCATTGAGCAATTTGATTACAATACAGATCTATATTTCATTTCGTTTTTTTATACTTTCGATGGCCTACACTACATGAAGATCTGACAAGTTATAGCGATAGGTTACATCAGGGGTCAAAAGACCGACTTATGACCCTATGATGTCAGACATTGATGTTACTAGTGGATTACCCACAGTTCCGTGCAAAACACGCCTAAAGCTCGCCGTAACAGACTGTTTCATTGGCTTATCCCTGACACCATTCAGAACACGAGTTAAATAACAACTCTTCCAGATCCAAGTGTAGTAAAGACAAGTAAAACGAAATTTTGAACTATAAAAACGAAACCGGATCTGTGATTTAACCAGATTGTTCATTGAGTCAAGTGGCATGGATTCGAGCCTAAGATTGTACATAAAAAGGAGTAGTGTTGCCTGTCCAACCTCATGGGGTTTTTTTTCGTTTGCCTGGAGTGGGTGTTAAACCTAAGTTATCTCTATCTCCCTCTTCCTCTAGTGCTGGAATATTCATCTTCGTTTTCATCATAATATATCCAGCTTATATCAGAATCATGACACCAAATTTGTCCACAATTAAATATTTTCCTGAAGCCAGAATTTATATGTAAATTTAAACTGAAACCGGATTTGACCAATTTGCTCATGTGACAGGTTCATGAACAGCAGACGAGCATGTAAAATAAACCTTTGGCAGTTGGAATTTGATATAACAGAAGGCCATAACGCTGCTGTCCGAGCAAAATATCTATAATAGCACACTATATGATGTGAATATAAGGAATAAAAGATTATTATCTAACCATAAACTAAGGAATTAAGGATTATTATCTAACCGTTAACTTACACATGAGGATTAAAGAAGGAATAAAGGATTATTATCTAACCATTAACTTACATGTGAATATAATGAATAAGGGATTATTATCTAACCATTAACTTACATGTGAATATAAGGAATAAGGGATTATTATCTAACCATTAACTTACATGTGAATATAAGGAATAAGGGATTATTATCTAACCATTAACTTACATGTGAATATAAGGAATAAGGGATTATTGTCTCACCGTCAACTTACACGTGAATAAAAGGAATAAAGGATTATTATCTAACTGTCAACTTACATTTGAATATAAGGAATAAAGGATTATCATCTAAAAATAAACTTGAGAACTGGAGTTCCACAGCTCTAAATGTATGATTTGAAGACTGTACTATATCTATATATCGTCTGATTAATTCTTGAAAGTAACTCGGCAGATATATGAACCATAGAAATACCTATAATACAAAAAAAAAACAACGATTATATTGTCGTACAATCAGGGGCCATAATCAAGGAGGTTTTGGTCTGAAATGTGTGAATATCGAAAGGGAATAAGACCTTTGGGATATAAGGATAGTTTTATCAAAAACGGGTGAAAATTGTGACCTCTTGAAGGTCCACAACCTTGATATATATACGATATTTTTACACTATTTGCGTACGAGGGGCGGCCATTTTATATGGCAGTTTTCGTCCGATTTTCACGAAATTGGACCTCAACAGACATTATGGAGTAATGGTGATATATTCTAACGGTTTCTTAAATCGGATAAAAATTGCGACTTCTAGAGGGACCACAAGCTAAAAACGTGATTTTTCGTACAATCAGGGGCCATTATTCAGGATGTTACGACAGGGACCAAGATCTTTGGGTTATAAACATGTACTTCAAGTTTCATTAAAACCGGATGAAATTGTGATCTCTAGAGTGTCCACAAACTAAAAATGTGATTTTTCGTACAAGCAGGGGCCATAATCCATGAAGTTATGGTCCGATACATGACAATTTCGACAGGAACTGAGATCGTTAGGAGATAGACCATATTTCAAGTTTCCTCAAAATCGAATAAAAATTGTGTCCAAATATCATGTTCAGGACAACTGCTTGACAAAATAATTCAGTCCTCTACCGCTTGATCACTGTGGCCCCAGTCTCAAACTGACCAAATTGTTACAGGTATCATTCCCGTAATTTCTTTACCGTGGGATTCAACATTCCATATTGTATAATCCACTCACCAGATAAACAATGGTAGTAGCTATAGTACTAGCAAATACAATATTTATAGGATACTTAAAATCTGGACGACATTTATATATTAACCAATGAAGTCGTCCAAAAGATGTACTGAAATGAAACAATAAAAGATAGTCACGCTCTTTCTCTACTTGGGGATGAAATAAAATAAAATGAAATGGGGTTTAACGCCGTTCTGTTCTGCACTGACTGAGCTAATGAAGACGGCTATACAGTGTGCAATGAGGAAAATTTTGCCCAGACAGTGGCTCTGTGGCCCACTCTTATATTGAATTCCAACTGCCAAGGGATCTTTTATGTGCATACCAATGTGTACAAATGACCTTAGTTTTGGTCCCATCCCAACGACTATACGTCATCCCTTGCCAGGCCCTCCGTCCTGCACTACTGATAACGATTAACCACACCATAAAATCCCATTCATAAACACACATTTTAAGTTTCTTAAAAATCAGATAAAAATTGTGAAGCTTAAGAGTGTCCACAATCTAAAAATTTGATTTTTCGTAGAATAAGGGCCATAGTCCATGAAGGTATGGTCCGATACATGCCAATATAAAAAGGAACCAATATCTTGAGGAGATAGACCTATATTTCAAGTTTCCTCAAAATCCGATAAAAATTGTGACCTGTAGAGTGCCCACAAACATATTGAGAACGGATGTCCGGACGGAGAGACAGACAGGGACAACAGCATAATACGTCCACATCAAAATGTGGACGTATAAAAATTGGGAACTGTAGTGTGTCCACAAATAAATTGTTGCCAAGACTCTGACCTCCTTAAGGGGAGATAACACATCTTGGGGGAAAACCAAGCTAAATATAATTACACATAACAATAAAACAGTACCCTTTTAGAATAATAGAAGTAACGTATCCCCCGCACACAATGCTAAAGATCAACATGTACTGGCAATAATAAATGAATGTTAAATAAATGATTTTGAAATTGTATGATATAATTATATGTACAGATGATGTTATGATAAACCCTATAATGTAATAATACTTACTGTATGATGTACCTGTTATGTAATTTTTGTTTGAATAAATATTATTTTAAAAAAATTAAAAAAAAAATTGTGGTCAGACGGATGGACAGACAGGGGCATTTAAACTATTGTCTACATAAACTTACCCATAATCTATCTTGTAATTCTTAAACAAAAACTCAACATATCTCACTTGATGTGTACTGACAACATCTGTAAACTGTAATATACAAAATATATAGTGTGGTCTATGTTAAAACTGAAAACTCATCTATAGCCTATACATATTCAACATAATGTATTAATTATCAAGAAGTCAAGAACCCAAACCTTCAGAAATCCATGGAGTACATACTAAACTCAATATGACTAGCGATTTAGAGTGATGACCTTTAACAATAGCCCACAAATTTCGCTCAAGATTTTGGTTGCTACCATCATAGTCCTTAATCACTGGTTGTTTGAGACTAAACGATACTCTCCGTCAACCAGTCCACTTTTACTATATGTAACGCATTGGAACATTATATAAAACATGAGTTTTAGGAAGGACTATTTTTCAATTTTGTAAACACATGTTTCAGGCAACCCTTGCTTTGCCTCGGGTTTGAAATGAAATAAAATAAAATAAGAGTTTAACATCCTACTATTCAAGGAGGAGGGGTAGAGAGAGAGAGAGAGAGAGAGAGGGAGAGAGGGGGAGGGAGAGAAATGGGGTTTAACATCCTACTATTCAAGGAGGAGTAGAGAGAGAGGGAGAGAGTGAGAGAGAGAGAGAGAGAGAGAGAGAGAGAGATATGCGGTTTAACCCCCACTCGACACAAACTAGATCATTTCGGGACTAACATATGATTCAATTTTATTTCAATAATTCGCTTGCACGTAGGGGTCTTTAGCATTGGGAGGAAACCTGAGGACCCGCAGAAAACCCACGAGGTTGAACAGGTGACCCTACTCCTTGTCACGTACAACCTGGGGATCGAAACCACGCTAGTTGACTCAATGACAGACCTTATGATACAGCGCGCACGCACTAACCATTCGACTTTCCCCCCCACCCTCCAATATTTGAACATTACAGTACATGTAAAGTACGTGTTTATCAAATTCGTTTCGATAGGGTTCCTCCTAATCCCATGTTGACGATGGCCGATAGTTTAAAATAACTACTATACCTTAGTAGTGAATTGTTTAGTTTTGATATTTGTATATAATCGTTTTATAAACAGCAGGAATAGCAGCACGTCACATACGAATGCTGGTAAGAAATAGAATAATATAAAAGCCTGAAAATATACATTATATCATAAATACACAGTATATAAAGAACATATACTACAAGAAACATAGAACTAGAATACTAATATTCTAACAATCTGATTAATACACATATTCTATTTCGTTTCGTTTTTTATAGTTCAAAATTTCGATTTACTTGTCTTTACTACACTAGGATCGGGAAGAGTTGTTATCATTGACGTTTTCTGGATGATGTGAGGGTTTAGCAATGAAACGGTCTGTACAGCGAGATTTTGGCGTGTGGTGAACGGAACTGTGAGTAATCCACTAGAAACATCAATACTGATTGCATTGGTTAATCAAATGTCGCTCGTATGACCTCTGACGCGATCTATCACTGCTCCCGTCAAAAGGCAAAACCTAGTAACTCACTTTTTTATCAAAATTGAGTTAGGACCAAATTTGTAGTTACTAGGGTATGTGCTTCCTGTTGTTGTACTAGATCTTCCAATCTTTTGATTTTGCAAGCAGTTACACCCATGACACAACCTAGCAACTTCCTTCATTTGTCCAGAATACCACAGCAAAACCTAGTAACTCAATAGTGAAATCAATGGATGAGCTGGGGTTTAATATTCATTCATTACGTTTTCCTTTGTTTTCTCAAAATAAGATAAAAGTGTAGGCCATCGAAAGTATAAGAAAACCAAACAAAATATAGATCTGTATTTTAATCAGATTGTTATTCTAATTTTATGATAAAAAACAATAAATGCTCTCAACAACAACATCTTGTACTAGTAAACAGAAATTACAACTTACCGGGGAATATCCAAAATCATTTTCAATCGCCTCCATCATGTGTACACCAAAACTACAAGTTGAACAAAAATCAAAAATAATTTAAACAAATATAATTAAAGATACCTTCCGAGAAAAGTATTTATCAGGTGGTTATTTCCAATAAAAGTATGGCAATTTTGGTATATATGGAAAGTAGAAACATCCAATCTTACTAGAAAAATACTGGATTCCCTGAAAAACACCTGTGGAGCATTTGATGTCAAAGGTTGCACATGAAGATCGTCTGATCTTCCAGCGTTAGTGAGCGCTTGATGTATATTTTGATAAACAATAGTTTCTAAGATAAAAAACCACAGAAATAGACGTGGGCAGGAATTTAATTAGGCTTTGATATTTATGATAAATGGACAACATTTAAAGACAACAACATCGTCTATATGCAACAAATTCTCCTCCGACTTCGCACCTGTTGCTCAGTCGCGCGTCAGCCAAGTCACGTGAGACAAACATGACTTCTTTTAATAGACTTAATTTTTATAGCAGGGGTATTCCCCCGTGAAAACAATGTTTCAGGAAGGATTTGAAGCAAAATTTTGATAGATTAACTAGTTTGAATATGTTTTAAGTCCAAAAATATCATCAAATTAGCCAGTTTGTACACGGGAAGGTATCTTTAAAGATACATGTACAAAGATTCCTTTGAGACTCATTTCATCAATTTAGGGGTATCAAGTATTGAATCTAGTGGGGTATCAAGTATTGAATCTAGTGGAGTATCAAGTATTGAATCTAGTGGGGTATCAAGTATTGAATCTAGTGGGGTATCAAGTATTGAATCTAGTGGGGTATCAAGTATTGAATCTAGTAGGTATCAGGTATTGAATCTAGTGGGGTATCAAGTATTGAATCTAGTTGGGTATCAAGTATTGCATCTAGTAGGGTATCAAGTATTGAATCTAGTAGGTATCAAGTATTGAATCTAGTGGAGTATCAGGTATTGAATCTAGTGGGGTATCAAGTATTGAATCTAGTAGGTATCAAGTATTGAATCTAGTGGGGTATCAAGTATTGAATCTAGTGGGGTATCAAGTATTGAATCTAGTAGGTATCAAGTATTGAATCTAGTGGGGTATCAAGTATTGAATCTAGTAGGGTATCAAGTATTGAATCTAGTAGGGTATCCAGTATTGAATCTAGTAGGGTATCCAGTCTTGAATCTAGTAGGGTATCAAGTATTGAATCTAGTAGGGTATCCAGTATTGAATCTAGTAGGGTATCCAGTATTGAATCTAGTAGGGTATCAAGTATTGAATCTAGTATTGAATCTAGTGGTGTATACAAAGTCAGAAAGATTTAACACAAAGTATTTTAACATTACCTTCCAAGTGTATAGCACAGTCCCACAATTGATCCAATCAATGTATGACGAGTTGTGATCGACAACAGGAGCGGAGCATACACCGCAGCAACAAAAAACATTCCAAATAATAGTACGAAGGCTACAAACAAAAGAAATCAACAATCCTAATTCGCATTTTGTCACATTATAGCCAATAACATGTGTGGGCGCTGGGTCCTCCTCATAGACAGTAGGGGGACCTTAAAGCCAAGTCTGGAGATCAGGCAACTGTCAGGCACAGATTCAGTAAATATCACAGGCTAGCGATGACATCGAGAGTTGGTTATTGTCTGGATAAGTTAATTAATGTCTTATTATTAATTTAGATAACATTTCAGGCCTAAAGAAAGACCTGCAATTGGCAGATTTGGCTCTTGTAAAATATATGTTTAATGCCGGATGTTTTGTCTAGTACATCTAAAATCAATATATCCATAACCGTACTTCGGGACCATTGATGGGGGCTTCACGTGGAACCACACAAATCCTTAATTTCTCCACCGTCCATAAAATATGCATACAGCTCATAGACTGGAATAGTGGGGTATGAGAGAAAATCTCTTACATCGAATTCCAACTGCCAAGGGTTCTTTTAAGTGCATGTAAATGTGTACACTGGAATTGTATTTCTATCCTATCTGAAGGACTATACACTGTCCATTGCCCTGCCTTCCCTCACCAATGACAAGGGCGAACTACCCCGGAAAATCACAATGAATTTTCTAGGCCAACGTTAAGCCCATGTTTGACATCCGGCACCAGGCACCTGTTCACCTTCTTCAGAGACAAACTAGGTCATTTTAAAACTAACATATGGTTCAATTTTATATAAAAAATTCGCTTGAAGCTAGTTGGGGTCTTCAGCTGTCAGAGGAAACCGGGGGACCAGGACACAATGTCACGTACAAGCGGGGAATCAAACCCATGCTACACGTGACTCAGTGATGCAATGTGCATGAGTAAAACCTTAAGGCCACCCAACCCCACCATCCGGGGATTTGTATAGGTTGTTATATTAAACATATAATTATATATTGCCTACCTTTAACAGCTGGTATAGCATCAACTCGCCCTGTTAGTGTCAGCAAATCCATTGCTAGATATCCTAAACTACAACTAGCTGCACAGTACATCTTTCTATCCTTGTATCCATCTAAAAATCTCACAGGTCTGTAATAATAAATCAAATCAAATGGGATTTAACAGCCACTCGACAGAAACTAGGTCATTTCATGACAAACATGGTTCAATTTTATTTCAATAATTCACTTGCGCGTAGGGGTCTTTAGCAGTGGGTGGAAATAGGAGGACCCAGAGAAAACCCACAAGGTTGGACAGGCGACCCTACTCCTTGTAACGTACAACCGGGGAACCGAAACCACGCCAGTTGACTCAATGACAGACCTTATGATACAGCGCGCACATGCTAACCATTCGGCCATCTAACCCCCCAATCCCCCCAAAACCCAAATGACACATATTAATTAATTGTACATTATCTTTTTCAAAACTATCGAGCAATCAAACTGATTATCTATACTTAGTCTTAGCATAAAATGTTCACGATCAAACCCAGTCACTAAGTTTCATAAATCTCCATCAGTAATAATCAAAGTTACGTTATCTTGTCCAAAAGCATCGACTAATGAAATTGCTTAGCTCTGCTTAGCTTTAGCAGTAAATGTTAAACATTGAACTCAGTCAAGACATTCACCTAATGAACATCTACATCAAGTTTAAACATTTTACCTCAATTAAAAGCAGAATTGTTATGTTCCAAAGTCTTGATCAATCAAATTGCATTTCGCTACATAGCCTAAGCAGAAAATTCTCATCATCGAACTCAGTCAAGGTATTGATATAATGACGGTCTACTCCAGTGATGGGATTTCAAAATTTTTCTTGTCGGACATTTTTTCCCGACAATAAAGGGGCATAACTCTTATCTTTATTTAAGCAGGCGTGTTCGAACCACAATTCAGAATCACGTGTCAACAAAATATTCAAATTCATACGTAATAAAAAAATAGGTGCCCCTCGTTATTTTTCATGTACTGTATTCAAACTTGTGTCAATAAGACTCTTATATATGTTGTCCCTTTCCAGACCCTCCTTTCTGCACCACTGACAAAAGGGAATCAATGTTTGAGTAGACTTACATTGGCACAGATGGTCTTCCATACAATAAATCTGGTCTCACCGATTTCCTCTTCTCCAGACAGGCAAATAAAACAATCAGCAACAACTAGACGTAATAGAAATGAAATGTAATGAAATGAAATGAAATAAACTGAGCTAAAGAAGATGGGCACACCCCATACAGTGTGAGAGAGAGAGAAATGGGGTTTAACGTCCACTCGACACAAACTAGGTTATTTCGGGACTAACATATGGTTTAATTTTATTTCAATAATTCGCTTGCGCGTAGGGGTCTTTAGCAGTGGGAGGAAACCGGAGGACCCAGAGAAAACCCACGAGGTTGGACAGGCGACCCTACTTCTTGTCACGTACAACCGGGGATTCGAAACCACGCCAGTTGACTCAATGACAGGCCGTATGATACATCGTGTGAAATTGTATACGTATTTATAACATCAATGATAAATATATTATGGTTGGTGTAATTCATTATTTATACATTTGGTTCATGAAGTGTACGGGTGTACGGGCTGAATGTTAGGGGGAGTGGGGGGGGGGGTTAGAACCTGAAATACCCGAAAAATTTAGGGTTACAGACGGTGGTGCCAATCAACAAAAAGAGGCAAGGCAAGAGAGTAGCGCATACCGTGTAGGACACCTCCCCCCCCCCCCCAAGAATATTTGGAAAAGATTACTCAGGGGCTGACCCTCATTCCAATCACCCAATGAAATGTTTACCGTTCAGGGAGAGGGGCGGAAAATTTGAAAATTGAACTGCCGCAAATGCGTTTTCCAGCCCCTGATACATCAACTTCATGTGGTCTAATATAGCTTTCCTTAGGAGACTTACCTAAATCCCAAATCCCTCGAAAATTTTGAAAATTTAACGTTGAAATGCTTTTTGCTGCTATTCTAGATGAAATAATAATGTTCGTTTTCACTTTACCTGTCTGCCCGAAAAGTCAGATTGCTCAAAAGTCAGAGGGGCAGTTGCTTTGCGACAAGGTTGTTAAATTATACATTTCAAGATGTTGGCCTGATAAGCTGAGAGATAGGGTCTTACCGAAATGATGAGTCTACAAAAATCTAAAATAACAGATAAATCAGCCATAATTGTAAATCATTAATTTTCTCGCAAATATCTTTAAATCTTCTTAAACCTTATCTTTAAACCATCAGTTTATTCAGCCACCTGTCAAAAGTAAAAGAAAAACTATTACATTAAATGAAAAGACTGTTAAATGGTTAACTGAGCATACAGGAGGTTAATCTGGTAAATAAGAGGTTAACTGAGCATAGAGGAGGTTAATCTGGTAAATAAGAGGTTAACTGAGCATACAGGATGTTAATCCGGTATATAAGAGGTTAACTGAGCATACAGGAGGTTAATCTGGTAAATAAGAGGTTAACTGAGCATACAGGAGGTTAATCTGGTAAATAAGAGGTTTACTGAGCATACAGGAGGTTAATCTGGTAAATAAGAGGTTAACTGAGCATACAGGAGGTTAATCTGGTAAATAAGAGGTTAACTGAGCATACAGGAGGTTAATCTGGTAAATAAGAGGTTAACTGAGCATAGAGGAGGTTAATCTGGTAAATAAGAGGTTAACTGAGCATACATGAGGTTAATCTGGTAAATAAGAGGTTAACTGAGCATACAGGAGGTTAATCTGGTAAATAAGAGGTTAACTGAGCATAGAGGAGGTTAATCCAGTAAATAAGAGGTTAACTGAGCATACAGGAGGTTAATCCGGTAAATAAGAGGTTAACTGAGCATACAGGATGTTAATCCGGTAAATAAGAGGTTAACTGAGCATAGAGGAGGTTAATCCAGTAAATAAGAGGTTAACTGAGCATACAGGAGGTTAATACGGTAAATAAGAGGTTAACTGAGCATACAGGATGTTAATCCGGTATATAAGAGATGAACTGAGCATATAGGAGGTTAATCCGGTATATAAGAGGTTAACTTAACATATAGTATTTAATATAGTATGTAGGAGGTCAATGTTAATATGCAGTATGTAGGTGGTGAATGCAGTATATAGGAGGTTAATTTAGTATGAAAGAGGTTAATTTAGTATGAAAGAGGTTAATGTAGTATGTAGAAGGTTAATATAGTATGAAAGAGGTTAATGTAGTATGTAGAAGGTTAATTTAGTATGAAAGAGGTTAATGTAGTATGTAGAAGGTTAATGTATGGTGGGGGGGAGTTAGTATGAAGGAGGTTAATGTAATATGTTAGAGGTTAATTTAGTATGTAAAAGGTTAATGTAGTTTGTATGGGGGGTGAAGGCGGGATTTATGTAGTATGATAGAGGTTAATTTAGTATGATAGAGGTTAATTAATTTAGTATGTTAGAGGTTAATTTAGTATTTTAAAGGTTAATTTAGTATTTTAAAGGTTAATTTAGTATGTTAAATGTTAATGTAGTATGACAGAGATTAATTTAGTATGATAGAGGTTAATTTAGTATTTTAAAGGTCAATTTAGTATGATAGAGGTTAATTTAGTATGATAGAGGTTAATTTAGTATGTTAGAGGTTAATTTAGTATGATAGAGGTTAATTTAGTATGATAAAGGTTAATAAAGGTTAATTTAGTATGATAGAGGTTAATTTAGTATGATAGAGGTTAATTTAGTATTTTAAAGGTTAATTTAGTATGTTAAATGTTAATGTAGTATGACAGAGCTTAATTTAGTATGATAGAGGTTAATTTAGTATTTTAAAGGTCAATTTAGTATGATAGAGGTTAATTTAGTATAATAGGGGTTAATTTAGTACGATAGAGGCTAATTTATTATGATGATAGAGGTTTATTTAGTATAGGGGTAAATTTAGTATGATAGGGGTTAATTTAGTATGATAGAGGCTAATTTATTATGATGATAGAGGTTTATTTAGTATAGGGGTCAATTTAGTATGATAGAGGTTAATTTAGTATGATAGAGGTTAATTTAGTATGATAGAGGTTAATTTAGTATGACAGAGCTTAATTTAGTATGATAGAGGTTAATTTAGTATTTTAAAGGTCAATTTAGTATGATAGAGGTTAATTTAGTATGAAAGGGGTTAATTTAGTATGATAGAGGCTAATTTATTATGATGATAGAGGTTTATTCAGTATAGGGGTTAATTTAGTATGATAGAGGTTAATTTAGTATGATAGCGGTTAATTTAGTATGATAGTGGTTTTATTTACTATGATTGAGATTCATTTAGTATTTTAAAGGTTAATTTAGTATGATAGAGATTACTTAGTTTGCAAATGGGTAATTTAGTATGAATGAGGTTAATGTAGTATGAAGGAGGTTAATGTAGCATGATTGCTGTTAATTAAATGGTTAATTTAGTATGTTATAGGTTTATTTAGCATGATAGCGGTTAAATAAATGGTTAATTTAGTACGTTAGAGGTTAATTTAGCATGATTGCTGTTAATTAAATGGTTAAATTAGTATGTTAGAGGTTAATTTCGTTAGAGGTTAATTTAGTATACAAACGATTAAAATGTTAATGGTATATGTAGGATGTTCATTCAGTATGTTTATGCAGAGGTTAATGTATAGTAGGTTAGAGGTTAATGTAGTAGGTTAAGAGGTTAATTTACTCCACTTTTTTTTATGTATTTTCCATCCTAATATTATGTCATAATGTATAATTAAAATGCTGCCCAAAACGGTGTTTTGTGTAATAGAATATCTATCTATATTATTAGTTATTGTCATATTCATGTATTAAATGTTTTGTCTATTTTGTCTTTAATGGAGATGTTCCGATACAATGAAATTTTATCTTGGGTCAGGTTAAACCTGTGCCGAAAATGTCACTGGTGCACTTAATGCATAAATAATAAAACAGTGGCCAGGTGATTATATTTACTTAGTCTCTAAGCATTAAATGTTCACATCAATCAGGCGCGGATAAAGTATTTTTTGCAGGGGGGGATCAAGGTTGGATAATTGCTTAACTAATTGCGGTGGGCATAGCACACCTCCGCGAGCGCCAAAGGCGCTAAAGGTTATAACAGGGAGTCTGGGCGCCCTCCCCCAGAAAAATTTGGTAAATTAGATTCAATTTGGTGCATTCTGACGTATTTCCGGAAGGTAAATTCCAAAATTACAGGTATAAAAATCGCCAATAAAATCGCATAAAATGTCCTTAAAATGTTAATGGGGAATGCTCCCTTCACAGGTGAGAAACAAAATATCTTCAGATACCATATTATGGTTGTTCTTAACAAGCTTTATTAGCAGTATCAATTTACTTTTAGTACTAATGAATATGTTATGTATCAAATTTTTAAAAAATCTTATAAATTCCGCTAGCATATTTTTTTATTTTTTTTTTAAATTTGATAAAATAAATGACCAGGTTTTTTTCTTATCAACGCTGCCGATAAAATTAAAAAGCAAACACAACAATATTCAACGTCAACAGGCGAACAGCGTTAATAAAACTCTTTAAATTTCAATAAACTTATATTTTCATAAAGTACGGTATTATATTTTCATAAAGTACGGTATTAAAAAATTGCCGTCGTCAATAGGCGATTTGCCGTGGGTCAATTGGTCCGAACGGCATTTTATGCTGTCGACGTTTTTGGCTAATTGCCAGAGCTGTGACTATTTGTTTTTGCCCACAATGGAATGAAAGTCATGACTCAACTCAATGTATACAAACTCGCAATTTTTGGGTCAGATTCAGGCTTTTAGATTTAAGTTTCTCGGACCCTTCAAATTTTCAAGCCTGAGCAGGACCCCCCCCCCCCCCCCCTGAATCCGCGCCTGTCAAACCCATCAGTTAGAACTTGGCCGATAAGTGGCCTATCGGGAAAAATTGGTATCGGGATTGAATAGGGAATAAGCCAATTGCATTGCGCGGAGGTCGCTCTTCGGTATGTTTTCAATGCGTACTGATAGTACGTAAGATCACAAACTAGGACACCTAATTAGGCTAGTTGAATTTTTAATTTAAATGTGTTGTGATAAGTAATAACAAATTTATTAACTATATGAAATAAACAATGGTCCTCACAACAGTTATTTGTCTATCACGATTTACGATAATAAAACGATAGAAGCTAGATGTCAACAATGGCTCATCATTGCATACCGGGCTGAAATGAAGCGTCGCAAGTCTTACATTTGGCCTTTTTACTTTGATCACTGTCTTCGCTTATCGTGAAGTAGTTCCAAATCTTAATACTTCGCGGTATTTTTCCTTTCACTTTATCTATAGTTCACTGCTGGTATTGTCTGCACACTATCATATTGAGTAGTAGTTTTGGAAAAGGCGGGAATTTTGGAAACGGCGGGAAAATGTCACACGGTTTCCGCGTAAATGGAATGAAGGATGCACGGGGGGGGGGGGGGTATCCCTTTGATGTCACGTGATTACTCAGACATCTCGGCTTCCAGATGCCAATTAAATTGCTTAGTTCTGCTTAGCTTTAGCAAGAAATGTTAATCACTGAACTCAGCAGGACATTCACCTATAAATTTAAGGGACATCTACTATGGGGCGCCGTTTGTAAATTAATTATTTAGCTTTTTATATAGCAAAAAACACTAGATTTAATTTAAATTTATATATATAGTTTTAACTATATATATAAATATCTCGACTTTTCTGCAAATTTTTCACTTTTAATATTGTGCCAAGGCTCACGTGTCGGGTACACGTCATCATTTTATGCGCAGTTTATTGTGTCGCTTACGATAATAGAAATATTGGCGGGACCACAAATATATATATAGTTAAATCATGGACCTGTATTATAAGGTCCATGGTTAAATATTTATACATTTAGCTAAACATATATATTTAGCATGATATTTATATATTTAGTTAAATGTTTATATATTTAACTAAATATATATATTTAGCTAAATGTTAATATATTTAGCTAAATGTTTATATATTTAGCTAAATGTTTATATATTTAGCTAAATGTTTATATATTTAGCTAAATGTTTATATATTTAGCTAAATATTTAACTTTAGATTTTTCTGTGATTTAGTATTTATACCTACGAAAAACAGCACCTTTAGCTATATATTTAACTAAGCGATGTGAAATCAAGATATAACATTTAAAGTTTTTCATAGACCAAAAACTCGACTTTTAGCTACAATATTTTTTTATATTTACATATATGCCATTTTTGTTCTAATATTTATCTAAATATATATATTCGGAGTTAAATCTAATGTTTTTTACTATAAAAAAAAATTAAATAATTATTTTACAAACGGCGCCCCATAATCTACAACAATTGTAAACAATCTACCTAAATTAAAAGCAGAGTTGTTATGATCCAAAGTCTCAATCAATCAAATTGCTTGTCTCTGCTATAGCCTTGAGAGGGGGGGGGGGGGTGGCATGGTTAATGCGTGGGCGTCGCACCATAAGGTCTGTCACTGAGTCAATCGACCTGCTTTCGAATCCTCGCTTGTCATGATAAGAAGTAGGGTCGACTGTCCACCAACCTCGTGGGTTTTCTCCGGGGTCTACGTTTTCATCCCACTGCTAAAGACCACTACGCGCAAACGAATTATTAAATAAAATTTGTCCATGTTAGTCCCGAAATGACATATAGTTTGTGTTAAGTGGACGTTAAACCCAATTTCTTTCTCTATTCCCCCCCCCTCTCTCTCTCTCTCTCTTCTCTGTTTAGCCTTAGTGACAAAACGTACGCTATGCATCACTGGACCATTTTATGAATAAATTTATATGATATTTCTAGATTCAATTTGATAAGAGGACACCGGTAAAACATCCTTCCTAAAGGGCTTCTGGTTATTACAACATTTAAAAAGCCACGTCATGATCCAGATGTATATAGATAATGAATTACACCAACCATATATTTATCGTTGATCTTATACATACGTGTACAATTTCACACACCGTCTTCTTTATATAATATTTTATCGTTGAAATATTTATTCAACAGGGAAATTACTTAAACCAGTGAGGTGTTACCATAGAAATAGAAGATGTTTACAACCGTCTGAATGGTGGGCTTGCCATTGGGTCAACTGGTGTGGTTTCAAATTCCCTGTTTGTACGTGACTAGGAGTAGGGTTGCCTGTCCAACCTGATGGTTTTCTCCAGGTCCTTCGGTTTCCTCCCACTGCTAAAGACCACTACGCGCAAGCGAATTATTGAAATAAAACTAAACCATATGTTAGTCCCGAAATGACCTAGTTTGTGTCGAGTGGACGTTAAACCCCATTTCTCTCTCTCTCTTCCCTGAATGGTAGGTTCTCACTATCAGGGTTCATGGCCCGAAAACGCGAAGTTTTCCAAATTGCCTTTACGCTACGTCCCCCCCCCCCACCACCACGATTAAAGTGCTACAAATTGAATCGTGCAGTAATCGTGGTTGTCTTTAATTATTATATATCGAGGTCAGTCGTAGCAATCACATTGACCGTACCGAAACGTATCTGCGCGTGGCAGATCGTGGAATCAACAGGAACAACCCTATCGTAGCACATCCCATGACAGTGGTTAACCTGGCATTTGAGGTGTGGGGGCGGGGGACCTTAACCGCCGTCATACTGTTCTGCTCCGACTGGGCTAATGAAGACAGGCATATACGCAATGCAGTGTGCAATGTGGGAAAATTTGCCTGGGCAGAGGTACTATTTCCTACTCTTATATCGTATTTCAACTGCCAAGGGATCTTTTAACGCGCATGTCAGTGTATATATGGGACCTCGGTTTTTCGTTCCATCCGAATATGGCGGACAGACCTAGTTTATTAATAGTCTCCTGCTTTCTTCGTAAGGCGGGGGACAAAAAATATTTTAGAACAAATTTGGGGGTCCCTTTTCCCTAGGCTGCAGACCTCCTCTGCATCAGCGGTCTTAGCTGCAATTATCTTATGTAAATTTCCTTATCAATTTACCGATAGGCCTACCTGAGCGGAATATGCCCATGAAGTTGTGATCAAGACTTTCATTGACCATGCGCACGGAACGACGAATTCTGCTGATACTCACCTCAAGAAAGTTAGAAACATCCGAATGGCAATAAAATAATACCTCACGAATTCGCTGTCCAACAACAAAAGCAACAGTTACTTATTTTTCCACGAATTTAGTCTCGCTTCATCCAGCCTTTATGCCTTCTTTGTCGTGGTACAATTTAGACATATTTGAAGCTACAAAAAAGACCTACGTCAAAGCTTGCAATGCGTCTTTTATGCAGAGAGCCAGTCGAGAAAAACGCCTTTGATTGACAGTGCGATGGACGACCTTCACATTAGAAGTTAAAACAAAATATATTTGACTTATTATAAATGTAGACCTGGCTTAAGTTTTCTTTAGAAATTGATGCAAAGGATCAAAAATTATTTATGTAATTGAAAAGAAGAGTAGACTACCCAGTTCTCCTGGCGAAGTTTCCCTTAAAATAAAACACACTGCATGACGTAGCTTGCGGGTCGATCCCGGTTGGTGAATTAAACCTCATTTTTTGAGAGAGAGAGAGAGGAAAGGCTATGTATCTGAAGTTTGTTTACAATCGTTATACTTGTCTGTGGGGATGTAGGGGTAGGGTAGGCGGGGCAGGGATTAACGTGTGCAAGAACTGAAGAAGAGTCAATAAGGTGGTTTCGATTTGCCGCTTGCACGTGATAACTTCAACTTTTTATTTGCTTATTATGTCCATAAAGGACAGTATTCAAAGCATACATATACATGAATATACATGCATACAGGGCCCTTATTCACGAAAACTTAAACTAAGATACAATCGAAATTTTAAGAAATACTGCAATTCGATTGGCTGACCAGTAAAATCAATTTGCATATATCCAATGAAGTTGCAGTATTTCTTAAAATGTCGGTTGTAACTTAGTTTAAGTTTTCGTGAATAAGGGCCCTGAAATATTTGACATGGAATAATTATTGGGATAACGTGAGATGAAATGAAATGGGGTTTAACGTCCTACTGTTCTGCTCCAAACTAGGCAATGAAGAAGGACATACGCCATACAGTGTGCTATGAGGGAAATTTTGCCCGGACAGCGGCACTACGGCCTATACTCTTATATCGAATTCCAACTGGCAAGGGATCCTTTACGTGCAGGCCAATGTGTACGCTGGACCTCGGGTTTTCGTCCCATGCTTATTATGTTCATAAAGGACAGTATACAAAACCTATATGCATACAAGTAAATGAAATGAAATGGAGTTTAACGTCCTACTGTTCTGCTCCTAACCTGGGCTAATGAAGACGGGCATACGCCATACAGTGTGCTATGAGGGAAATTTTGCCCGGACAGCGGCACTACGGCCTACTCTTATATCGAATTCCAACTGCCAAGGGATCTTTTAAGTGCATGCCAATGTGTACACGGGACCTCGGTTTTTCGTCCCATCCGAACGACTAGACAGCTTTCCTTGTCAGCCCCTCCGTCCTCCATCACTGACAAGGGAGAACCACGCCGGAAAATCTGGATGAACTTTCTCGGCCAATGCAGGGATCGAACACCCGACCTCCAGGCTAGCGAGCTAGCGTCTTACCCACTTAGCCACGTGATCCCCTATATGCATACAAAGATATATCTGACATGGAATAATATTGGGATAACGTGAGATAATAAAATGATAATGTAATGAGATATACACACGTACCATTGGGATGATACAATGATAATATAACAATGAAAATGTAATGTTATAACAATGTAAAAAAAAGATAAAATGAAAGTTTAAAATATATCATTGTATATAAAATTATCAAATATTGAATAAGAAACGGGAAGTGACGTCAAACATGACAAACACGAGTTGTCCTTCTATATATCTGACTTAAGTAACGAACTATAACAGACAAACGATCGAATTTCATTTCACTGATAATTCAGTTGAAGATAAAAAGTTGTTATATGAGACGATGAGAGGATATCTGACAATTCAAAAAAAGAATTGGCTGTCAGTTGATAAAAGGTAACGAACAAATTAGAAAAAGTCCGTGCATTACCATGTTTTTATTAAGAACAGAATGAATAAAAACGGGGGAATGCACGTGATTTTTCTATTTTTCTCGGGGTCCCTTATCTAGTAACAGCCAATTCTATTTTTGAATTGTGAGATACCATCTCTGCACCGCCCCATATAATAACTTATCAACTTATCAACTTTGAAGTGATCAAGGGCCATAACTCTGGCAGTAATTATCGGAAATCGCTGAAAATCAATACAATAGGCTTCTTCGTCTCATGACCTTAAACACTGTGTATAAATTTAAGATCAATCGGATATTAACTTTGGCCTCTAGAGCGTCCACAAGATTTTTTGAAGTGATCAAGGGCCATAACTCTGGCAGTAATTATCGGAAATCGAAAATCAATAGGCTTCTTCGTCTCATGACCTTAAACACTGTGTATAAATTTAAAGTCAATCGGATATTAACTTTAGCCTCTAGAGCGTCCACAAGCAATTGTGGACGCCGGACCGACAGACCGACGGACGGACGGGGGGCGACGACAATTTTCGACCACATTTAAATGTGGGCGTATAAAAACTCAACTCTTGTGCTATGAGCATACAGTCAGTGTGGAATAGCGCTATACAAATGTTCACATTCTTCTTATTATTATCAACACATGGAAGAGTGAGAAATTCTAAGCCAGCATCATCGCTTGATCAAGCAGCTAGACAGTTCAGCAAGAAATTTTGAGACAAGATAAATGCAGTATTCCTCTATATTTTGGCGCTTAAATTTCATACGTACTCAGACTTTTATTTTTAAGACTATGTTCAAATCGGGATAGCCCCCCCCCCCTTTAAATTCGGTTCTGCAATTTATCTTATCATCATATCTTACCTTAATCAAATTACCTATCTCTTAACGTGCGCAGTAAATGCTCATCAAGTTGTGTACAAGACTTTCACTGAATCCTCCTAACTTATAACAAGAAATATCCGACTAGCACTAAAAGAATAACTCATGAATTCACTGTCCGACAACTTCATCGGTCGGTGGCAAAGCGAAAGTTGATTGATTTTCCACGAATTTAGTCTCGCCCCACCCAGCTCCTGTCTTCTGGAAGCTACGAAAAAGACCTGCAATAGTGAAATTCGGGACTAGTATAATGCAAGACTATTCGAGTCAATTTGATTGACAGTGGGATCAGGGGCGGATCCAGAGTTCGACCCCCCCTCCCCCCTGCTCGGCCACATAAATTGTTTTGTAAACCAACACTTTTTATGAGAAAGGTTTCTCGGCCGTGTGCTTTATCCTTTATCGTCAGATTTGGGACAGGATGGGCACTCAAGTCAAAGCACGATATAATTGATATCGACATTATGCGATATCACAATTAATGCTTTGCATCCATGAAATTGAATCACAAAGTCATTGTATTAATTCATAATAAAAATTGACGTCAAACGAGGTGTTGAATTTCTCTGTTTAAAAAGCTCAATGTGTAGGCCTATGTATATACGACAAAATGACGATAGAGACCAAGCGGAAGGGGGGGGGGATACATTGTCTCAGGAACATGACCCCGCCCCCCCCCCCCCCTGCAAAAATTCCTGGATCCGCCCCTAGGGATGGCCGACCACCATATCCAACGTTAATAGATTATCTACTCTGTTATCTAGCAAATATATCTAACTCGTCCAAAGTCCATAAAACAGTTGAAAATCAGCGCGTTTGTATTTCATGCAATGAACCCCAGAGCCTATAAATTTGTGTAGAGCTATATGAAAATTATTATGGAAAAGAAATGAAATGGGGTTTAACGTCCTACTGTTCTACTCCAACTGGGCTAAAGAAGACGCAGATACACAGTGTGCTATTAGTCGAGTAATTTTACCCGGACAGCGGCACTACGGCCTACTCTTATATAGAATCCCAACTGCCAAGGGTTCTTTTACAGTGTGCTATGAGGGAAATTCGCCCAGACAGCGGAGACCCAGACTATTCTGATATCGAATTCCAACTGCCAAGGGATCTTTTACGTGCACCCCAATGTGTATACAGGACCTCGGTTTTTCTTCCCGTTCGAATGACTATACGTTGTCCCTTGCACCACTGACAAGACGAATCACGCCGGGAAATCCCAATGAACTTTCTCGGCAAAACGCAGGGATCGAACACGTGACCTCCAGGTTAGCGAGCCAATTACATCTTACTCACTGAGCCACCGTGGTTCGCCAAAATTATTATCGAGATTCCTCATGTATTAATTACTTGATTCATACGTACTATTAATGTTTTTTGCATTCTTATATGGTTATATCATATTTCGTTGTTTCGATTCCCCGGTTGTGCGTGACAAGGAGTAGGGTCGCCTGTGCAACCTCGTGGGTTTTCTCAAGGTCCTCCGGTTTCCTCCCACTAGTTTGTGTTGAGTGGACGTTAAACTCCATGTATCTCTATATCTATATGATTTGTCCATGTAAATACCTATACTCAATCTGTTTCACAGAGTATTACGAAAGTATTCTAATATCTCTGTAAAAGATTACTGCCTTCAACACGTGGCGTCACATCACGCGGCGTCAATCATTGGCTGAATGGCGCGTGCATTGTTTACATAAGACGTTACTGATTCAAGCAGAATGGCAAAAATAAGAAATACTTTCTACCTACAAATACTTCAAACGTCTTTATTTATTTTTCTAATACATAAACAAAGATGTTTTAGAATTTAATTTGTCGGAGGAAAAAAAAAGTTAATATTTGTGGCTCATTAAGTCGCATCGCTGTCATCTTTATCAGTGATTGTAGCGGCCTAGCGAATATTCACTGCTGATCAGTGTGATCTAGACTATGTATTCTGGTTATATTTATTTATAACCATGTCTTATGTTTGTATTGTATCTGATCTTTTAATAGGTTGAAATCTGATATTTGGCTTATAAATGTTAACGTGATTTACATTAATGCAGGGGCTTAAAATTTATTTATGTAATTTGCGATAAGAGTAGGCGGATATCCTGGTGATTTCCCTAACCACACACTTATTTTAGCCGAGTTGTTAAAGGGCAGTGGGATATTAAACCGTCGTTTATTTCATTTTTAATGAAAACCCTTTATATCGATGGGTAGTGGTCATATCCTTGATTGTCTGATTATGTATTTAACAGGAGGTATATCAATAAACTATCTGATTCAGAAGTTTATTTAGGCCTACAATCGTCATACATAAGATAAGATTAT